GGAAAGTAAAGAACTTTCTCAAAACTGATTTCAAAATTTTCTTTTAAAAAATATTCCGGAAAACGGTGATATTTCGTAGAGAAAGTAATTATTTTCCACTCATGCCTCTAAATTTCACCCACTAACCTGCATTTGCGCCATTTTCTTTGTAAATAGCTATTTCCACACACTTAACTCGTTTGCCTAAAACTTTTGAACAAGATCTAGGCATATTTCGAAAAAACAAGTGAAAATGCTGAATCCAAACTTATTGACGCGCATGCGACCTTCTCAATTTTTTTCATAGTTACTTCACAAGTTTCTGTATTATCAGCATAGGCAGGGCCTCTATATCTCTAGTTGCTATATGGTCAATTCTGATGATTAAGTCAAAAAGTAAATATATTTGTAATAGATAACGCAAGCTAACACAGGCGCCTGCTACAAAAGGCATCAAATTCATCAAGTACAAAAACAAAAACTTAAGAATATTTGTTACTACATTATTCTTATTTTGAGTCCAGTTACAAGAAAGGGCACTTTAGTAGTGTTAAAATCGTATGCAATTAAGAACAATATATATGCGAAAGTTAGCTGAAGAGATGAATATCTAACTCATATGGCTACTAAACTGCCTATGCCAGTAATTCAGGAACTTATGAACTATTAAAAAAAAATTGAAAGTCATTACATGCGCATGCGCGAGATGTCAAATTTCGTGCTTAACCAATGACCTTACGGCGTTCAACAACCAAGATGCCTGTTTGGATGGGGCAATATTTTCTCAAAATATGCCTAGATCTCGTTAAATCTTCTGAGAAAACGAATTAAGTGTGTGGAAATCGCTGCTTACAAAGAAAATGGTGCAAAGTGCAGGTATTTGGATAACTGCCACTAAAAGTCAAGAAAGATATACTTTGAGACAAAGTATACTGCAATAAAGTTATTATGTACTTATTGGTTCGAGTTAACCGGATGAAATCACTTTTCAGAATATTGTAAGAATTCAAACTGTTACTTCAACGTACTGCGTTTGTTGAAATAGGAACTCCTATTTAAATGTAACGAGTTGCGCTTAATTTTCATTTAGCCTTTGAGGCTGTTTGGCTTCCGTGGCAGCCGTTCTTATCGATTTTATTAAATTCAGGAAATATAACTGTTTGCCGCGCGGGCCGTTCTCATTTAACAGAAAATATTTTACAAATTGTAGTAATAAAGGCCGCGATAGTAGGGCAGTAATAACGTGATTGTGTTCGGAATCGGTTTTGTATATACATTTTTGTGAAACCGCTGCCAATATCCGACACCAATTTAAGATAGCTCTGGTTGAAAATTACTACGTGTGCTTCTACGTTGCTATTATAAGGAAGCTTAGCTATTTTCAAACAATGCCACACTTTTTCTATACTAGCTCCTCTACGACAAATTTATGGCTCAAAACTACGTCCTATATATATAATTAAAAATTATTGTGGCATTTCATAAATTTAAAATTTCTTATTTGCGACATGACATGATAAATACCTTAATTTCCAGGATTTATTACTGGTGATCATATAATTTACGATTATATGCAGATTTTTTGTAATATCGATTTTCAATTTTAAAATTTGGAGTAAAATCTGTTCAAATAAAAACTTTTAAACTATAATTTCATTTTAATAATTCCAAATAACTTAAAACTATGTTTCCTGAAGTATAAAAGTCGATATAGGTATGAGCACATTATTTACATATTTATTTTGAATTAAATTTGCTACAGGGTTCTATTGGAGGGAGAAGCGTAATGTATAAGTTAAGTCTTTTGAGTTGCTCTACCGTTTTTTGAGGGTATCACTAACCAACACTAATATTTTTCGCAGCTTAAGTATCTATTATTAGGTAACGCAAATATACAAGGGGTTTATAAGAAACCTTTAAACGGCATGTTTAGTTTAATTCCCAACTTTATCTAAACTTTAATTAGTTATTTATAGAAAACACACACCTCTTCAAAAATAAATAAACTACTGAAAAGTGAAGTTATGATAGTTATGAAGTCAATAGTTTTAATTGGTTTTGCCGTTATTTTTAGTTTTGGTTAGTTTAGGAGTTCAATATTACTTGAAAACCCAAATAAAACTATAAGTTTTTAAAACCCGAACCTGGTGAGCATCAAAACTAGGGTTTAAACTATTCAAAACAAGGGCGCGGACATTGTGACAATAATGTCAAAGTAAGAATCTGTTCCTGCGAACCTCAGAATAAAAATAAAATACAATGACAAAGACGCCATATAAAGTGTATTATAAATAAATTATATAGAAAACGGTGAATCGAAAAGATGTTTATAAATACTGCAGGTAGGTTTTATAGCAGTAATGTAAATGTATTCCTTGACATTATAATATTCCTCATTTAAGTGCTACAAGAGTAACGAAAACGTTTCGGGAACAATCAATAGGTTTTCAAATTTTACAAAATAGGTAATAGTTTTCACCAAAAATGCATCAATGTCTATGATGCGCTTCCAGTGTTCGAATGTGTACCGTTTCATAGAGTGTCTTTGATTTTTATTATCACACAATAAACTATGCGAGTATCAATCAATCAATCAGTCTTAACGCATTTTCTTCGGGACGACCAACTACGATCAGATTTCGGAAATATACTTCCTAAAAAAATATTTAAGTACCATTCCGGAAAACGGCATTGTGGTGTGAAACGAAAATTTTTTGATTGTTACGAAAACGGTTTTATACAACGGACCAGGCAGGGAATTATTCGCGTCACGCTTTAAATATGGCGCTGTCTCGCTTTGGAGACATTAACGGATTTTATTTCCATGTTGATGATCACAACGAGCAAACAAAAGATTTAATATAAGACTTGGAGAATGTTGGCATGCCAATGACTAGTATAGTATATCTCAAAGTATTTCATGGTGCATTTAATGGACCCCAATTAACCTTTAAAGACATTATTACCTATTGTTGTTGGGTAAACATTCAGTAAATAATTTGCTATTTTTACATTTTCGTTATTTTAGTCACGGGTTTGTAAACGATCATATATTTTCGATAGATTTTAATAATAAAACTAAGTTTAATTCATATACAACATTATAGCAAAAACAAAATAACATACTGTCATGACAAAACTGTAGCAAAAGGCATTTATGAAAGTCAGTCATGAGGGAATTTCCCAGATACTGTTTAAGCCTCAATATTTGTAGTACAGAATCAGATGGCCAAACTCAGTTAACAGATTATTCAAAATAGAGACAAGAAAGGGAAAGCAGTAGAGGTCGCATTTTATTTCATCTGAGATGAAGGTAAATCCAAAATTACTAAGACATAATTCCAGTAAATTAATCAAATTAGCAATATTATAAGAGTACTATCGTTTGCAAACATTCTTTCTGTGCTGCGGAATTCAATCCATGAACATTTACTCCAAACGAAACTTTGTTAAATAGATAAGGAAGATATTTGTTTTTATGATTTCAGCAGACTCCGTTGACAAAATTTCTTAACTAGAATTATGGATGGATAATTAATTTTAGAAGGGGAATATTTTCCGCTTTTTTTCATATGAGTGCGAAGCGTCAAGGATAGTAATTTGACATTTGTCAATGTCATATTATTTTATATTATTAGATAATACAGTTGGCCAACTACGATAAAAATTGATGCGCTGCAGGTGCCATTGATATTTTCGTAGAGATGGTAATGATTTTGCGGTCGTGCCTCTATATTTCACCCACTAACCTGCATGTTGAGCCATTTTCTTTCTAAACAGCGATTTCCACAAAATTAACTCGTTTACCCAAAACATTTTCACAAGATCTAGGCGTATTTTGAAAAAACACTTAAAAATGCTGCATACATATATATATATATATATATATATATATATATATATATATATATATATATATATATATATATATATATATATATATATATATATATATATATATATATATATATATATACAATGCATGGATATTTAGATATATTAATTGCATCGGCTGATATATTAGTGGCAGTATGGAATAAAATGCGTTTCTAAAATACGATTTTATGAGAATATGGCGTCCGCATCAGAACAGGGATGTGTCCCAAATTGTTGTCTGCAAAGAATATTACGCATCCTAGCCTTATGAGGAACTTTTTGAAAAGTGGTTTCTAAATTATTTTTTTCAAAATAATAAATAAAATACCCGATATATAGAGACCCTGCCTATTTTGATAATATAGCAATTTTTGTGTGGAACCAAGGAAAATCCAAGGTCAGAGCAGAAAATGTTACTCCTACTTTAAATCCCAGTGTTATACATTTAATAAAGAATTGAATAACATTCTAGTTGAAAGCTCAAAAAATTCAACATATTATAAACATTGGAGACTCTTACATGTCTATACAAAACAATATATATATGACGACTCTAAGAGTACAACAGCATTAGATATAGATTTACAATAAACTTCACATATAATTTCAATTTATGGCTACCAATTATGCAAAAAACCTTAAAGGGTACCTATTTTAGAGCAAAACTAGACGTTAAAAAATAAATGTCTCGTTCTGAGTTTTTTAATGTAATGAATCTTTTAATTTTAAATACAATTTTGCCATCTTGCTTTCAAAGCATCTAAAGCAGGATTTTTGTAAAACTGAAATACACTATTCGTACGTTTCAAATTCACTCGAAACAAATATACCGTTCCCATGGGAAGAGAATCGTCTCATACACCTTTCGATATTTCGCAATTAAGTAAAAAACCATTGTCTCAATTTGATCGGGAATGACGAAATCTTTGAAAAAACTCTTTAAAATCGAATTACGCTTCGGGTTTCCATTAAATTGACCGTGTCAACGACAACATAATTCAAAAAAGATCATAAAGGAAATACAGTTCAGCGAATCATTATATTAAATGAACCTTAACGTTATAATCAGGGAATCTTCAACAAAACAAAGAAACGGCAAATAAAAATAAAGAACAGTTTAATGTAACTTTAATTCTTTGTTTCAGGTGGCGGACAAAATTCGCAACGATAATGATGATAATCGCAACTGTACCCAGAGTAAGTTTATTCAATTATATGTTTATTTATAGGCGGCTACTTCGTTTGGGTATAATTTAGACAGATAAGTTATGCTTTTTGTATTATATATAAGTGATTGCACTGTGCTTCCAATTCATCTTATTTTGTTTTTAAAGATGTCAAGTTAAATGGAAAACGAAATGTAATGCTAGCAGCCAACATTTTTCCTAAGTCACATTAAAAATACACCACTAACAATTTTCTGTGATATCAGCCTGTTTTATATACTTTTTAAATGAAACACCCCTTATATTTTATCACTTGTTTGTTTTCGAGATATTAGTAAAATTAAGAAATTTTCATTTTCATATAATTTCGGGAGTGATAAAATCATCCTTATATTTGACAAATTGCTAAGCTTTATTGAATGATTGAAATACGCGATTTAAATCTATAAATAATCCTAGACAAATATAAGAAATAAATACCCAAGGGTCGGTTAATGTTTTATATGTAGACACCACAAATTTTGGGTCCGATATCTGTAGTTGGAAAATTAACCGAAGAGCACAAAAATAACACAATATAGCACAATATATAGAAGATCCAAATCCAAATAATATTGCCATTATTATTTCTTTTAGGGGTGCATAAAAAATCAGATGCACAGAGAACTTCTGATAATGTCGTGGAATTTCGGAAAAGAAAAGAAACAATCCGAAACCTTTGTTAAATATCAAAAATCATACAATTAAAACAGCTTTTAACAAAATCTCCAAAACAAATGGAATAAGACATAAAGTAAACATAAACTATACAGAGTATTCCATTTACAAAATATAAAATAGGCTGATATCTCAAAGTGTTTTGATTTACATCGGAAGTATCGGGAAAACAGGGAGTTTAAAAATATTTTAATGATACAACTATGGATAAGTTTTTCATTAAGTTGCCAATATTAACTAAATTTTGGTCAATATTTTATTGTTTCATATATTTTTAAATATAAATAAATAAATGTTATTAAACAATTTTTTTATGATGTAAGAAATAACTTTTAGTCATTTTTAATAGTTTGACAGTTGAGATAGTAGATTAGTTAATTTTTAACAGTTTGATAATAGAAATAGGTTGACAAGTAAATATTGGAACATGTTTTTCTTTCCTTCACGCTTCTCGAGTTTTATGAGCCTGACGCAAAGAAGACTTTCAAATGGAGCAAGCAGTGTTTTGCCAAACAAGACTTGTCACGTGTCATTTGGGTATTAATAATTAACATGGAAAACCAACTAAAAACTAACCACAATTGTGAAAAAATATTGTTCACCAGTACGAGAAAGGGAAAAGAAGCAGTGAAATTTCCAGTAAATTGATTATAGTATTGATATTTTGCGGTAAAAAGAAGTTGTAAGCCATTTAATTAGAATATATAAGTCGGGAAGAAGAAATACATTACGAGTAGTAAGCGCAAGGCGGAATAGAGGAATTATAATGAATGTTAACAAATGTTCGCAAATAGTAAATGAGAGCGGTCTTACGTTTTATAAGGTATGTTTGATACGTACTTCTTTCTGTTAAAAATGTCCTATTTTTGCCTTATACGAGTAAGAAACAAAACCATGATAGATGGAAACTTAAGGAATCGTTACATTTAGGCCAAGATAGAAAAAGTTCTCTATAACGACCAAAGAGATTTTATGTCTCTGTGGGAGATTCCTCAAAGCGTATAATTTATTGAAATGCAGCAAAATATATCCTTCCGGAGGTTTTAACTTCCAACAGGACGGAGTCTGATGCCATACGGTCAGATCTACCAAAAAGTAGATCAGAGAACATGACTTTAAAGTTTTGTCACATCTCTGGAGACCTCTGTTCCGAATGTTCTGAAGTAGCTCTAACTCCACTGAACGACTTAGAGATTTGATGGTGCTTTCTTCGCATGAAATTGTCATTATATGCAGTACAGTGGTCTCTGACAAGTTCAAACAAATATTTTGATAGATGCCATAAGTTAGTAAAATTGTGAGATATGTGATTTATCTATGAGTTGCATCAAACATATAACTGTTAATTTTGAATGTTATCGGTATTATGTTACTTTATTTGGGAACTCAACCAAAAATATCGAATTTTCAGCTTGCCCTGAGGTAACAGTTCGTCCAGTTCGTCGATTTTGGATACTTTAGAAAATTTTTAATCGCTTGTTCGGATTGAAATAATTATCCTAGGAAGTTAGCAATGATATTTTTTATAATATCTCCCGGGCTACTCCGGCTAATAAATCGAACTTGCTGACATTTCGTTAATCATCCTGTTGGCTTCTTCAGAGCTAAACTGAAACAAGTTCTATTTATCAATAATCAACGCAGGAGGAATCCAGAAGATTTGTAAATAGTATAACAGTAGACTTTGGAAGATTCTTTGAAAAAAAAAATCTTTAGTTTTAACGAGGGAAATTCATTGTTTCAGAAATTACACTGCCAAATTCCGGAGAACGCGACGACAATAAGGAGCAACATTCTCAGCAGTTTGAAATTAGACAATATGACCGATCAGCCGACAGCAGAACTGAAAAGTAACCTGAATGAGACCAGAGAGGCCTTATCGCAAGGTGCCAGCGAACCGGAATCGGTAAGTAGTCAAAAAGTTTTACATGTGCATCAACATGCGCGTGTACGTTTTATAGCAGGCAATCGAACCAAAAGGTGGGATTGTTTGTGGTACAAAAAATGGTCTTCGTATAGCATTCAGTTTATTGGTTATCTTATATGTATCAATGATATTTATTAGACAGTACTTTATTCGAAAATCATGCTAAAATAGGAAAATATTCTAACAAACCTTTTATATTATATTATGTTATTAACTCAAATAATGCACGTACAGGGGTGAAAATTTAATTCAAAAGTTGTAGGGTTTAGTGTGTATGTTTAATATTACATGCTTATTTATATACAATGTGTGCCAAAAAATAGTCTATTAAAGTTAAACAATCAGAAATATTGAAAATTACACTTTTGATTTACAGAAACCCGTACTTTGTTTGTTATATTAACCAATCGTTGTTTATATATGAATTGGCATCATCAAAATAATAAAATTGATGAATGAATGGTTTAATAAATACCGTATAGCTACTTGAGATATAATAGAGGCCCTGCCTATGATAATAATATAACTTATAAAGCAATTACGACAAAAAAAATTGAGAAGGTCCATTCGACATGCGCATGCGCGAGATTTAAAATCTCGTTTTGTAACCAATAACCTTCCGACAGTCAACAACCAAAATGGCCGCTGACAGATCGTCAATAAATTTAGATGCAACATTTTTCCAGCATATACCTAAATTTCATTAAATGTTCTGGGAAAACGAGTTAAGCGTACGCAAAACATTTTTTAGAAAGAAAATGCAATTTAGTAGGTAAAATGTAGAGGCATGCGCAGGAAATCATTACCTTTTCTCTACGAAAATATCAATGCCGCCTAAGGCGCATCAATTTTTACCGTAGTAGGGTCACTATATCATCCGATAGCTATGTGATAAATTCTAATTCAATTGTCAAAATATATCCTCACGGCTTACTACTAAAACAGTTATATTTGCTTAAATTGCGTTATTCTAGTTTTATGCCTTTAATTTCAATACGTTTATAAATATGTGTTTTATATTAATATTACTTTTAGATCAAAATTAAAAAAATTCTGAATGAATGGTTTTACAAGTACTAATTCAATTGTCAAAATATATCCTCACGGCTTACTACTAAAACGAAATATTTGCTTAAATTATTAGTCTAGTTTTTCGTTGTTAACATCAAAACCTTTCAAAATAGGTGGAGTATCTTAATAATACTTTTAGATGTAAATAACAAAATTTCTGAATGAATTATTTGAGAAATACTACTTTAATTGTCAAAATATATCATCACTACTTATTACTAAAACAGTGATAATTGCTTAAATTCAATTATTCTAGTTTTTCGGTTTTAACACCAAAACAATTCAAAATAGCTAGGGTGTTTAAAATACATTTTACTCTTAATTTATATTTATATATTTTGAATCCTGTATACGTTAACAATACTTTAGATTTTTATCTAAAACTGTCAGTAGGCACTTATAATATTGCATGTAAACCAGTATTGATGGGCCAGTCATTAGGATCTTGTGTTTAAAATCTCTTACGCTCGAGAAACAGACCTTAATTTGATTTTTGCGTACTACCGTTTTCACTTTCAAACTTCATACTTTTCCATCATTACAGAAAGAAGACGTTTTGAATTAGTGGCACATGTAATTAGGACGTAAATTCATTCTGTATCAGAAACGTGACCGATTCGATTTGCTTCGCAACGAAAGGAAGACATCGCAAACGTGATTATTAACTAGTGCGTATAAAATACGTTTGCTTTAAAAACTTTTACTCCCAAAGTTCGGAGTAGCGTATAAAAAAAAGGTAGTTTTCATCAAAAACGTTTTCAAAATTCATTTTTGAAATCCGCATTTCTAAAGAACCGGGTTGTTTTCCGTTTTAAACTATAACTGAAACTATAGGTATGTTCCAATCAGAAGTAATTTCGAGTAATATAACATATAAACATACCCAGTTTTAAAATTTCGTTCCAACTACTTAAAATAACTACATGCATAATTCCTCACAGTCTGTCATTCCAATCAGTTGATCAACTAGTGAAATTACCACTCAATCGATTCTTGGATGAAATCGACAACCAACAGTTACAAAAGTAAACAGCCCCGTGAATTGGAATATGTTTTTTGTTGTTTTAGGAAATTTTAACCTATTCTAACCTAACTTATAGTTTGTTTTATTTGCTATAAAGAAAGGATTTATCTTGTTACATAGCACTTTTTTTGTTCTACAATTAATGCGAAAGTATTGATTGACTTTTATAAAAATTATAGAGACAAAGTCCAAGTCCAAGAAACTAAGAAAATTATAAAACTATTGGAGTCTAATATCAAAAGAAATTTCGGCGATTCTCAACACCCAAATTTCTGAAAACAACACGCGGAAAATAGGTGGACAGTGCTAAACCCTAACTTCAGAGGTTTTGCTAGTACCAGAGGCACACAGTGTAATCCCAGAGATATACAGACTAATAAACAAAACAACTGACATGAAAATGTCAAGGCAGAAAGTTCAGTAGTACGAAACAAACTAGAGGTGATTGTTTTGTACCAAATTCGTTAAGACAGACTCACCTACCATGAAAAGTGGTTAAGTTTTCTGCGCCAGGCCAATGAAGAAGTTATTGCTTTGATACGCGAAAGAAAGGAAATTAAGAAGCAGAGAAATCAATGTTTACGAAAAAAAATAACTTTGCATAATAATTGAAATTCTAAATAATCAATTAATTATTTTGTTAATTTTTCAAAGAGACTTCCACAGGCTACTGTAATATTTTTTACAAAACTTCTGCATTCCTCCTAATGAATTTCCACCACTTGTCCAAAAATTTCGTCAAAGACAAAATTCCATTTGAGATGCCAGGAGTTTACAGCATTCTATGCATATGCGGCAAAGAATACATTGGAGAGACTGGACGAAAAATATCAACTAGGCTCAAAGAACACGAAAGAGCCTTAAGTCTAAGACAAATAAACTCACCAGCAGTTGCCGAACATAATCACAAAACTGGACATAAAATTTTATTCGATAAAACTAAAATGCTTGCATGTAATCAATTCTTCTACCAACGAAAAATCCGAAAGTCTATAGAAATCTATAAACAACCGAATAATCTTAACCGCGACTCAGGTTTTTACTTGTCACCAATATAGGAATCAGTCATCCGAGACGGTGTGTTTAGCTCCGCCCCCCTGAAAAAATACATAAGCGGGTACAGAGTAAATAGGCCAGCCAGTTTCAGTCAAGCTCTGAAGAAGCGTTGTTTTTTTAATATCGTTGGACCATCTCAACCTAATAATAATTATTCATAATTTTTATATTATTGAGATAGTCAATAAAAAATGTATGACGTTTATTAAATAAAACACAAATTTATACATACATAGTAAATTTAATGTTTTTGTATAATATAAATTTTATTATAAATTCATCTTCTGAAGCTACATAATGTAGACAATTCGCACGGATTAAATTTTGGCCAGTTTAATATGCAACATTTTTTTTTCAGCACAAAAAACAATGCTCAATGATAGCGATTTTTATTTTGATTTTTCTGGAGTTCACAGTAATATCACAAATTTTATTTACGCACGTGCATTACGCAATATTATTATCATGTGCGTACAATAAGAGAATCTGTGGTTGGAACATACGTATCATTAAACATACCCTGCGAAAACGTTCACTGTTATAAACTGTTATGTTAACCTCGAAAGTACAAGCACGTTTCATTGATATTGTTTTGTAAATCTATCATTATTTCTGACCATCAGTCTAACGAGATCGAGGTAATTATTATTTCGTGGTGATACTCTGCGACTTAGTTTTGGGTTCCGTTATGTTTTCATGCAGATCGCTTCGTTCCTTACCTCTCTGATACTTAAAAACCCACATCGAGGAGGTACCCTATTTCAGTTATCCAGTTTACGTATACGTGATACATCCGGAGCTTCGTGGATTTGTTTTGGAAACATTAGTAGCAAAAATTTAAAAATTTGGAATTAAACTAATGTTAGGGGGGGCAATCTGGCTAAAATATTTTCAAACATACCGGAAGTTGGTGTCAACTTTCTTATTTTAAATGGAACTCCATATATATTATTGTTCTGGAGATCCCAGAAAATTTAAGCCATATCTTTTAACCAAATTTCACCGTTTCTCTTAGAAATTGACAACAACATAGTCGTCCCATTCCTCAACTCATCTATCTCTATATGGAAAACTATAAACAGTAATAGGAATATACAACCTAATACAAAGTAGTGTTAATTTGTAATAGGATAATTAGGTTTAAAAAAATAGGAGGTTTCTAATTGAAAAAAATTATTGTCCGGCCTCTACACGTCATTTTTGTCATAAAATGTTAAATATCTCAGTTATGATAAAATTTAGGTGTAAGGTGTTATATACGAAATACTTCAAGAATTTTCCGGGTAATCTAAAAAGATAATAATATGGAGGATGTTCCATTTAAAATAAGCAAGTTAACAACCACTTCCGGTATATTCGCCATCTTGAAAATATTTTAGCCACACTGCCCCTACCAAAATTAATTTAATTCCAAATTTTCAAATTTTTGCTACTAAATTAAGTTTGTTCAAAAAGTTTTGCAGAGGATTAAGGACAAGACAAGACAAGAAATTTCAAAATTCAAATGGCAGAAAAACTGTTTTTGTACATTTTTATTTTAAGAGTGGTATATTTATTGGAGCAACATCATAGAAAGTTGAGTGTAAAGTGTGTTTTTTTAATATATTTCTTTTCATTGCTTCGTTTTTTTCACAAATGTAGCCGCAAAAAGACTATGAGTACAATTTTAACCTAACCCTACCTGGTTTTCTCTATACTCCAATTGTATATTTCCTGAGACTGTGTGCTCTGATGCGGAGTCAGCATTTCCATATTCTTTTATTGCTAAAGTTGGACCTCTCTATCAAAGACAATGCTACAAAGAGGGTTATCGCCGAAACCAAAAAAAGCTCAAAACTTCAAAATACTATTCGAATACAATTTCCAAATAATCAGGTTTTAAAATATCTAATTCCTTTATGCAAAATGAAGAGATAATATTAATTGATATTAATTGTGGCCGCTTCACTAGTCGTTAATTCAGAAACTTGGCACATATATGAACTGGACAAACAATTATGACAGAAATAATAATTCAAATTTTCTCAACAAAGTACGACCCTATCTACTAAACTCTTGTAAATATGTCTTTGATTTTGTACCCATTATTTAATTTAGCGTAAGTATAATATGAATAAAGATAATTAAAAATTTTGTACTGGACAACATTTAATTTTTTATTAAAGTTCGAAGAATTATACAAAATTTGGTGATCATGTACAAAAACTTAAAAATTATAGACATCTACCTAACTTTACTAACAAACAAATAATTTAGAAATAATGAACTTCACTACCGCGTATTACCTCCTCGCCTGCTTGTGTTCGTCAGGGTAAACTTGTTTTTAAAATTTGGATAGTTGCTTGAGCAACGTTTTCCCATTATTTAACTTTTGCAGGCTAATTGGGACAGGGACATGACGGCGAACTAATCTTTTTCGTAATCCTTGCACATGTGGGGCCTGGCATTATCTTACACGTCGTCTATAAATACTGCAAACTGAGTAATATTTTCGAGAATTCTGCATTCATAGACTTCGGACGAATAGAAACCAGCATTGTTCGTGCCTCAAAACATATTTCCGAACCACCTCGAAGTGGCTCCTTTGGAGAGATAGTACAAGCATAAAATCTTTCTCCAGATCTGCCTCACTGAAGTTTCATCGGTCAACAAAACTCTTTTCCGGTAATCCACAGTCTTCTTCTTCACTTTCGTAGAAAAGTCAAAGCTCTTATGCATTTATCATTGCCTAAATGACTTTGTATTTTCATTATTTCGCAACGAATTTGATAAATATTGATCTAGCGAACTAATCCACACAAAAGAATAACCGATACTCAAACAGAAATTTCAAATAATGCACTTATCAAACTGGAAAAAATTACGTAAACGAAGTGCTTAACCTTTTTAACTCAATATTTATAAAAACAGTACAAAACTAGCAAAAACTAAAGTCAGAGCAGTTGTCCACTTCACATATAATGACGTAATCAAAAATGATCCGTATGTCTTAACTATATTGCTACCAATTTTAGAAAACTGACAAACAAATTACACCCACTAATGAACTAGATAAAGATGTCATGACGTAACTGCACAATTGCTCTAACTGGATTTTTCTTGACATAACCAACTAAGATGTCTAACACTAAATGCTTATATTTGGAGGATGGCTTTTAAATGATACAAATAACGAAACCGCTGTTTCTATAAACGTAATATTTTTGCGCAGTTATAGTTATCCAAATCTATTACTACCCCTAATTGAAATTATTGCGGTGGAGTGAATAAAGTAGACGACTTTTTTATTTTATTGAATAGTTCTTGTGCCGCCAACAAAAAGGGAAACAATAACATTGTTGAACCGCAGCGCCACGGCGAGAGATCGGAGATATAAATAAACTTCCCAATAGGTTATTTGAATAGCAGTTGTGCGGTACCCAAGAGCAGTAACGAAACAACTTACCTATAATTCTATTATAATACGCAGACGTAAAAAAAATGTGCGAGGAAATTACAGTTAATCAGCTGTTACGCGGTCAATGTTTGAGTCTTCAATCGATAAGAATTACCAACAAAAAGCACCTACAAGGAAAGCATTAATTTCCCCATATTACTAAGCGATTTATATCAACCTAAACTAAGCCAATTAGCAAACCACTTTTTTAGATCAAAATTGCAATTAGCTTTCGAATTTTTACTGCAGACTTTGATAATCAAAGACGAAACGCGTTACATTAGAACGAATTATCTTTTTTTGATTGAGCTTTATGTTTTGTCGATGTCAGAAGAGCCATCTTAATTTTTGCAGTTTTGATTATTTTTTTAATGATGTTAGGTATTACAAGTAACTCAGATAGTGAGAAAAGTCTGAACTCTGAAGAAGTGTTAGCATCATACCAACTACAACAGAATTCAGTATTGATGATTGGTATAGGAAAAACAGAACTGAGTCTATTTGCAAATCTACCTATATTTTTATACCTTTTCAACTTTTTTCAAAGATTCCTATAATGAGTCTCGCATATGAAACACCTATATTAAAATATAATATGTTACGCATAGGATAGCAAAGATAATTTAATATATTTATATGTAGCTATATACCTTTTATTAATGACGCAATAAATTCCACAATTTACTGTAAGACTTACAGACAATTGTGTAATTAACAAAAACAATATAGGGCGATCCATAAAGAATGCACAATCTCTAAGCTGGAGAAATTAGACACCACAACTTATAAAGAAAGTTTGCATTGAGCCGGGGCATTTTTAATTAGAAATGCATGAACTTCAATAAACCGCGAAGCCGATTTTTCTCCAAATGTTTGTCATAAAAAGTAGTATCTATCTATAGAACAGATCGAAAACGTCTTTGTCTCAATACAAAATTAAAATTACAATTACAAAAATTACAATACATCTTCTTGGCTTTTGACGGCAATTATTGATTGATTGATTGATTATTGAATACAATTACAATAAATATATACAAATTATCATACTCGTAGGTACGTTTTTATTCAAAACCTAATTTTGTTTTACACTTCAAGTGTAAAACAAACAGTAGATTTATCCCAAACAGCAAATAGTTGACCCAGGATGTTTTCCTTTATTTGAAGGTGCTTTTGTCTGACAGTTTTTACTGGAATCGTTTGGATACTGGATCATGCGTATCATGTTAGTTCCAACTGATTTCCTGAAGTGCACAATCTGTGCAGAGCACTTGTTTTTATTATATTGTTTTATCTTCTTTCAGTTAGCTTTCAGTTTATCCAAAATAAGAACCATCTGGATTTTCTAAATATATTTTCCTGGCAGTTTCAGTCAAGCTTTGAAGAAGCCAACAGGATGATTGGCGAAATGTCAGCAATTTCGACTAAGCAAAAACCGACGCAGGAGGAATCCAGAAGTTTTGTAAAAAGCGTAAAAGTAGCCTGTGGAAGTTTCTTTGAAAAATCCTAATATCCTATTAGATTAACCGGAATGTCATTCGCGTTGTAAAAGCGTTTCAAACTTTGAAAATACTCAATTTGTAATCGCACGAATACATTACCTCGTGTTGTAATTCGCTTAATATTCTGCTTTAAATAAAAGCAATTATTTCAGCAACCGAGATACCCATGCGATTGTGCTAAGAAATATCCTTGTATAAATATTTTAGTAAACTTTTTATTGTCTAGAATAAAAGCAGTTCTCATAAAATCTGCCAGTAACGATTGATTATAAAGCGGATTTTTTTAGGTAGTCTTTATCGGAGAATCTCCGAGTTACGTCCCATTACCAGCGCTTCGGAACAGAGATTTGCCTTCCGTGCCGGACGATGATGACTGGCAAACTCCCCTAGACACTTGGGATAGAGAATACAGAAGGTTTCGATTTAATAATACCCGAGTGCAACGTAAGTAACGTTATATTTTGTTTAAAATGATTCGCAAATGCAAAATGCAAATTAAGAAATTCTAAATATATTATGATTTTTAACAATACTAAAAAATTGAAAATTTAATATTAAATAAAGCAAACATGTGAAAATGAAGAACTTTCATGGCAACATGTTTCACATAGTAGAAGCATTATTTTTCTTACGTTGATACTGGGGAAACTTTAGACTCCTTTCGAGACAATCCCTATGGAATGTTTATTTTTTTTCAAATCACATGGTTTCGGTAATCTCTCCCACACACACAGCAATTCTACTCTTGTCGCTATAGAAAAGTTGTTCCAGTTATATTTGATGCACGAAAGTTTTTATTTGGCCCAAACCGTCACTGGAATGGCGATTATCAAACTTGTTCCGTAAGATACTATACTATTTGCAAATTTAAACAATGACAATGACAATAAAAACGAAGTATTACGGAGACACTTGAATCCATAGCTATAGGAAACTTTGGTAGAAGAGTAGAAGCTCGACACGATAAACCAGTTAGATACAAGGTTCTCAGTTTAAAATGTCAGAGAAAAAAGAGATTTTGAAAACCCCTCTGTACGAAATAATTACTTAGGCGCTTTAGTAAAATTTTAGTATATAAGGTAATATATTAAGTATATTATGTTAACATGATAAAGGCAGCAGGTTGATAGATATAGACCATATGAAAACATATATTTATTAAAAATTTCTTATTTTTTCCCATCGCATTAAAATTAAACAATTCATGGAAGAACCATAATATGTAAAAATGGTGTTCCATTTAAAACTATATATTTAAAATAACGATAAATAAGGAAGATGTGGTATTGTACACTATTGATGATTTAATAAGCAGATGATTCATTAAACAAGAAGCTTTAAAAATTACAAAAAAAAATTGGCATTCCCTTTATCAGAATCAGAATGTTCCTACTTTAAATAAACTGAAAAGAAAGCTAGAAAACGATGACACCACTTGGAAATGTAATTAGCTCCAAGAAGTTAAAAAGTATATAGCCGAAAACAGATACATAATTTAATAGAATATAATTTCTTGAAATGGATTTATTTTTTTAAAATATTATCACGCTCGCTTGCAGCAAAAAGGAACAAGGAACAAAACTAACCAAAAACTGAAATTTAAAAATAAATTATATCTACTTTCCCAGTTCCGATAAAGGGCAACTTTTTGAAGTGTTAAATTTACAAGTTGTAAAAACAATATGTATGTGATAGTTTAGCTGAACAAATAGGGCATATTGTTTTACATCTTTCTCCATATCATTATATCTATTCATCCCTATATAACACTCGTGGCACCAATTAAAATTAAATGTGGGAGCAGAAAATGTTACTCCTACTTTAAGTCCGAGTGTAATAATTATATATATATATATATATATATATATATATATATATATATATATATATATATATATATTGTTTATATTTTGTTTTTTCTTAGACCTTCTCTATATTTATGTTTAGCTTTTGGTTCTTGGTCTTTATATTAAAAGCGATTAAAATTTTTTGTCCATATATTGACGTTTCGGTCTTCTATGACCTTCTAACGAGACGCACAGTTTAGACATAAGTATTCTTACCAATAAACAACATTAAGCGGTAAACATTTTGATTTTACTTAGGTAATTTGTACTCATATTATAAAAAGTTTCTAGGCAGTATTTTCGAAGGTCGTAGAAGACCGAAACGTCAATATATGGACAAAAAATTTTAATCGCTTTTAATATAAAGACCTATAACCCAAGAACCAAAAGCTAAACATATAAATATATATATATATATATATATATATATATATATATATATATATATATATATATATATATATATATATATATATATATATATATATATATATATATATATATATATATATAAATTATTACACTCGTATCTTGTAATTTAAAATAAAGTTCACACACATCACAATCCGACCCAAAAGTCATCGATTATCAACTCTCTTGTTTACAGAACCGTAAAACTATCTCAGCCCGGGTGACTGAACCCAGAATTAAAACACCTTACCTCTCCTCTAATCTCTTCTCTCTCTAATAATTTCCACATTAAAGATATTAAGCGTTCGATCAAAAAATACACTTCACCACAACCTTCCAATAGCAATGAGGCCGAAAGCAATCCTACACTTGCCACTTACATTTAAAATATCACTGGCCACATATCAAAAGTCCTAAAGAAATATAACGTCAAAACCAGATTTACCAATTGTCCAAAATCTCTCGACATTTTCTGTTCGTCAAAGATACATTGGATAAACCGGACGAAAAATATCAACTAGGATCAAAGAACACGAAAGAGCCTTACGACTAAGACAAATAAAAACTCATCAGCTGTTGCCGAACAACTAAAATTCTTGAATGTAATCAATTCTTCTACCAACGAAAAATCCGAGAGTCTATAGAAATCTGTAAACAACCTAACAATCTTAACAGCGACCCACCTCTCACCAATATGGGAATCAGTCACCCGAGACGATGGTTATGCCCCTCATTTAGCTCCGCCCCCATCAAAAAATATATAAACAGGTACAGAGTAAAATGCGAGCCAGTTTCAGTCAAGCTCTGAACAAGCCAACGGGATGATTGGCGAAACGTTAGCAAGTTCGACTCGGCAAAAGCCGATGCAGGAGGAATCCAGAAATTTAGTACAAAGTGGAAGTTTCTTTGAAAAATTAATATTAGTATTTATTTTCAATTATTTAGTTGTAAAAAAAGTGGTTTAGATTTCCATTTAAAAAATATTGCTTATTAGGACACCCCTGAAATTAACACTTTTTATACAAGTTTGCGTCCATCGAGCGCCTGACTAGATAGATACAAGTACAATATTTCTGGCAAACATATTGCCTTAAAATCAATCAAAGAATTACTTTCCGAAATCGGGCGACGTATTAAAGAAAACATATACACAAAGAAATTAAGTTTAGCCAAGTGCTTTAGAAACTAACAAATCTACCAAAAACAAATATAATAAAATAAAAAAATAAAACAGTTCGCCACAAAGCATTTTTCAAAATATAGCGAAAATATGAATCGCCTTATACCCGCTCGATTGTGCACCGTCATGTTAAAAAGGAGAAGCGTGTTCTGAAGACGATACCTACTTACATGTATTAAGTACTTTAATACACAATCAATCGTGCACCGTTGCTCAGACGCTCAGAAATCTGCGCAATAAATGAAAAATATACAGAAGGACGCTAGGATGCTGGAATGTAAAAGTTTTCCCGTGTATATTGGACGCTAGCAAGTTACCTCTATGAAAGGACGCCGACATATTAGTATCGTAAAATTTCATAAAAATGATCTTCGTAAAATCTGGCCTAAGGAAACCCAACGCCATCTCGTTTACAAAACTCAAAAATATTCACTTGCTAGAGTAGGGATTTTGAAAAAAACGATACTGGACGCTCAGAGACAGATCCATGAAAGGATGCTCGGAAGATAGCGGGATGTACATTATATATATATATATATATATATATATATATATATATATATATATATATATATATATATATATATATATATATGAAAAATGTTACACATTAGCATAAAAAATAATATAGAGCCCATTGTAATTAATCTTAATCACTCTCACTCTGGGAGTAAAAGAGAATTAGATTTTTAATAAAAACGGTAAATCGTTAAATAAATAATTACTGATTTTTTTAATGTCATCTTATGTTCTATTAGCAATAATGTGATTCTCTTATCCGTAAATAAGCATAATATAACATTTGATCTTTATATTTTTAAAATACCGACTTTTCAAGTGTTTTATGACCTCGGCAGGTCATTCAGATAAGTGCTAGCAAAAGTCAAGACGATATACTTTTGAGACACCCTATGACTAATATTTACAAATCCTAAAGCAGCTTTTCCTATTCGCAAATATGATTTGTTTCTGGCGCAGTAACTATGAAACTCTGATCCGACTTTGCGTATTCGCCGTTTCTCTAAATGACTGATACGACGAAACTTCGTCTTGTGGTTCAGTTATTCGAGCGTCAATGCTCTCCGCAAAACTGTTACATTTTCTGTACCGATAAACATAAATCGGTAAATACGCAAAACTATGCTAGGCGATCAACACTTCGAGATCTTCGATTTGTTTATCGAATCGATTGAGCTTTTAAAACTGTGTCATCTTTTTACAGTTTTTGGTATTCTGAACGAACGGGTTTACTAGATCGGAAAAATTGTCTCCCATTTTTATACTGAATTTGAGTTATTTAGCGACTCTGTTATATTTAGAAAATTAGTAAATTAATAATTCACTCAGATGTTGGGAAACGAATTAAGCAAACCCGTTGGGTTGATGTGCGTGGCAAGTCTGTCACCCTCCTTTACTAAATGCTTATGGACGGACTTGACGTTGATTTTAACACAGTAGCGTTACAATGTTGTACCCTATTTGATAACGTAAAAAATTTTGTAATTCGGCATGTCACTTCTTAGGAGTCATCACCAACATTTTTTTAGAAAATTACACGTTGTTAGTTTTGGTTAGTCACCACTTTAATTTAACTGTCCCCATAAAACGCAGTCTAATTTATGAAATCTATGATTGATTTTTATGATTTTTATTTTATGTATGATATGCCCGTATGTCTTGGCTTTTGATGGCAATTATCGATTTAACTTGCTGACAGTAAGAAAACACCTGATCAATTGGTATTTCAGGACGGCACATCAGAGTCTTCCTTTCAAGGTGTTTTAAAAATATAAGGATTAAATATATATTTTATGTTTCTTTCGGGATTATATAATCCCAGTATTAATAGAAAATAGGACACACTAAATATACACAAATTAACAATAATTACCTAAATAAGTACGTTTTTATTCAAAATTTAATTGTTTCACTCTCAGAGTCGTCATTAAGATTAATTGCAATGGGCTTTATGTTATTTTGTTTGCAAATGTAACACTTCCAAAAGTCCGTTCCGTTCATGAATTCTTGAATTGCATTTTTAGTACTTAATGCATTTGATGCTCTATGCTTATAATTTTGAAAAGAGTTTTAAAAAAAATTTTGCACTTGCATCATCCTCATGACAGCCCAAGCCGGACTCCTTAATATTCTTCACAGATAGCAGCAAGCAATTTAGAATATATCCTTCTCCTGATGCGGTGTGAATTATAGTGCTGCATTTTCCCTTATTTGAAAGTGCTTTTCTCTTTAGATTCTGTATAGTGTGTATCGAACCAAGGTACACTTAGGTAAAATATACATCTATTTTTGGATCTCCACTTTTTAATTTCATGAAAGTAACTAAATCTCCAAATGCGAGGTCTCTGCGATTCGGTTTCATATTCTTTCTAACTTCCTTTACGGTTTATCCAAAGAAGGAACAATCTGGTTTTGGAGTTTTTTTTATCTTGTTCACTATTGCATAGACTGAGACATTGAAAATCAATACGTTTTTTTTTCTTGATATACTAACATTATTAAATTAACACCATAAGAATTTTTTTATTTGATTAATTTTTTATTGGGAATAAAAGCAATAATGTAATAGAAAAGGTACAGAATGTAAACACGGAAGCACAAAGAACCTATATATAAAGCCTGGCGTTTTATTAACTTTAATGTTATCGTTAAAAGCACTTTTATTCGTCACTTGCCTGAATCCACCTCGCTTAATAGTCGAACCCTGATTTTTTGTTTCGGTGCGTGCATTTTCGAATTAACTTGAATCGCAAAAAAGCATGAATCGTGATAATAGCTTTCTTGCAAAGAGGAAGTGCTACCAATTCCTCGAAATAAAGAAATTAAATTGCGTTTAAAATTTATATCGCAAATAACACATCGGCAAAAAGACTGTAAAAACAGGATGGCGATGTTAGCATTGTTGATTATGTTTAGAAATCGAAGCGCTAAAAGAAAATAAACACATTATCTATCCCTCAGTAAGTTGGAACCATATTGGAAACTTTTTTTATTATTAATTTATGGAAAAAAATTATTCTTCTTCTAAAATGCACAGTCATTAAATATCCAGATTTTTTTATTGACACAGACTGGGAAAAACTTACATGATTTCGGCGGCAAATTATTTTAACAATTTTTTCGTCGATTCAGCCAATAGTTTCAACAATATGTTTTTACCTCATAAAAATACGATCTCGCCAGATGTAGGTCTTGCAGAGAGCATGTATTTAAGTCCCTATTTACGTACAGAAGTTAGTAATATAATGTTGTCTGTCACTAAGAAATATTCAGCGGGTTTTGACAGCATTCTCTGCGTGATGTTAAGGCATGTGGTCGACACTATTGTAGAACCGATGACATCTCATTACCTTTTTGCATGGATCCTTCCCCAGCTTTCTAAAAAATGCGGTAATCACACCATTCTATAAAAAAGACGGTGCAACAATTAGTTCAAATTATAGCACTCCTATCCGTATTTTCAAAAATCTTCGAAGACTTAAGACTTTCAAATTTTTTGGAAAATCGAGACATTTTTCCGGCATGCAATTTGGTTTTCGAAAAAAGCGATCAACGCTGGATGCCATTCTTTCTTTATACAAGCGTATTCTTGGCAAGTTAGAAGAAAGGCAGCAGATAGCATGTGTTTTGTTCGATCTACAAAGAGCATTTGACTTGGTCGATGTTGATATTTTAGTGGACAAGCTTTGTTTATATGGTATTAGAGGTAACGCCTTAAATGGGTTAAGGTCTTCTTCTTCTTCTTCTTGGGAGTCGTACGCAGTTGGTTAAATCGCGAGATATCAGGTCAGTGAATTGCGGTGTACCTAAGGGAAGTTTATTCGGTCCTTTATTGTTTATAGTGTTTATAAATGATGTGTTTTCATCTTTTCCCCATACTTACTTTTCCCTTTTTAGAGATAATGCAGTTTCTACCCCTTCTGCAGCATCGCCTGAGCAACTTAACATTGCAACCTAACCCAATTTGATTACTTCTAATAGGTCACTTAAAACAAAATGTTTACCAGAAAGAAAGAATGATTTAAGAAAAATGTTGTGAAATTTCTCTAGAAATGATCAGGAATGTATTACGTGAATTTTCAAATAGAACGAATAGATACAGTAAACGGAAACGGTCCAGATATATATCGAGGCATTAGTGGAATGAGTACAAGTTAAGTACTTATTTGTATATTATTGTCGAGTCATATTCATGTTTTGACGAACCTCGAATAAGTTGTTTTCCCAAAATTAATAATAAAAAAGTTTCTCATATAGTTTCAACCTCTCCCTCAACAATAATAAATAAAGTTATTAATTTGTATCCTATGGAATATCCAGGATGATTTTTATTTACATACTTACCAAAAGATTGTTTGCTTTTTATAAGCATTTATCATAACTTTCTCCTTTTTTATGAATTAGTCAAAAACATTTTGTGCCAATTTTAATAAAACTTTCTTTTCTTTTAGTGTACTCATAAAAAAATGATTAACATCTTAAGATGTTTATAAGCAATTAAAATTTAAATTCCAATTCTTTGGGTATCATTTAGATGCACCATATTCACTTTTCTTACTGACAGAAATGTAATTGTAACAATTTAAGAACTTTACTGATACTAGCTACTTACCTGTTAATTTTAAAATATTAATATGTATTAATATTATTATAACATAATATTAATATTAAATTCGTTTTTTGTTCTTTTACTCATAAAAAGTAAAAGCCTATTTCTATGGGGAAATATGCGTGAAATTTGACACATAGTTCGAGAATGGATCTTAAAAAATGGTAATCTGTATTCTGTATATTTTCTGTTTACTACAAAAATTGCGTAAAACAAATGATAAATGTACGCGAGCATTTTTCTTGAAATCGAATACATGATTTTTGAATGAATTTATTCGATATTTTAGCTGTTCACTGTATACATAGGCGCAGATAATGAAACAATATCCCACGAGTAGGAATAGGGGAACATACAATTGATCAAAAAACAAAAAAATTGCCTTTAAATATTGAATAAAAAAACTATTAAATAACACCAACCCACTGATGGAGGAGAGAGGGCAACTATGAAATCTTAAATAGAAACGCCCATGGACAAAAAAAAAACTAAAATACAAATTCCAAAACAAAATCATTGTTTTTCCAAGTTTCAGTTTCAGATGAGGGCTTGCTTGAAATTTAAATCAAAGAATTTCGTAGGTGTTTTAACTGAGCACATCCGCTGCCTTTACGTAATACCAACCACTTAGTTCCAAGCAGCTAAGCTGGAAAGTGACCGTAAGTAGTAGAGATCGATTCGTGCTGATAAATGTATACACTGACCCACTTCTAGACTTCGTAATGATTAAGAACCTGCGTCGTCACGATTGGCTGGTAAATATTCCAGGATGCGCCGGTAGCAAAAAGAATCGTCAGTGACGTTAATATTAACTGTTGTATTAATGTTATTTTTGTTTATATCTTTCATATTGTCACTGCGTTTTGCGAAATTTTTTGGAGATATCGTAAATATATTTGCGATATTTTTCAAACAAGTAAACCTAACTAACTTAAAAGAAGAGAACTATGTAAACTTGAAGAAGTGAAAATGAAACGAATATTAAAGTACCAATGAAAGACAGAAATATTTAGGATCTCAAGGTCTGTCGTCTTGACTTTTGTCGGCAATTATCGAAATAATCTGCCGACGCCAATAAAACGCTTTACCAGTAGGTATTGAAAGACATAGGATACAGATTTTGCAGGTGTTATAAAAATACATATAAGGATTATTACGTAAGTAAGTACATTTTTATTCAAAATCTCACTCTGTTTTACTCTCACGGTCGTCAAGATTAATTAAAATGGGCGTCAATTTCTAAAGTGTGCTGTACCGCATTTTCTCAGCTCTCAACTGATATAGGTATTATTAATTAAATTTTTAATGATAATTTTAAATATTCGGACCTCACAATTGATTTATACGTGGTGCTTCAAATGCTCTATAGAGTTGATTATACGACGATATGGATTTAGAGGTAAACTACTACATACATATATTAATTTAACACTTCCAAAAGTTTCCCTTTATGGTATTCAAACTAAACATCATTTTTTAACAAATATTGCTTTTTATAACGGGACGCATCAATTTTTACCGTAGTAGGGAAACTATATTATCTAAAAGCTACATGGTCTCATTTCATTGCAGCTTCTATTTCAGTTCATCCAAAGTAGAAGCAATCTGGTTTTGTGTTCCTTCTTATCATATCTTGTTTACTATTGTTTTTTTCTTTCATTCGATACTTCACTGTCAACAAAATACTTTATAGCGAGTTCTGGCATTTATGTAAGTATGCATGTTTCCTTTAAAGCTTCTTGTTTAATGAATCCTCTACTTCTTAAACATTCAAACATATTTTTCGCAGTGGTTTCGATGCGATCTAACGGAAAAAATATTGATACACTCGTAAGAAGCTTTTTCGGAACTCACGATAAAACGGGTTATTCGACACTGCTACTGATATCAGCCTACACGTCGACACCTACCTGACTTGCTTCGGTCTCATCTCTTACTTATGAATAAATTATTGACTGTCACGTCAATAACAATAGATATGAAGGTTGTAATTATTTTTTGACTCAGGGTCCATCAGAAGCAGAGGCAGCTTACGATACAAAAAAAATTTTGACTCATATTAAATCATTATGGAAACCGTTAATAGCATCGCATACGGCTGCAATAATACATTACGTGATATCTGAATTATTCAATTTGTAAGTTTTTTCATGTGTGCAATAAGCCAATAATAATAAAAAATTGTCTCGCTTATTTTTAGGGAGTACAATCAATGGAGAAATTGATCACAACTCCTGCATTACATATTTTCATATATTGTTTGTTTTAACAGATATTGAAGCAGAATGTCAAGATGACTACATGAAAATTCGCATAGGTTTCAACGGCACGTTCACTGGACTTGTATATTCAGCAGGTAAGCGCTTTATCTTCCAAAATATTAAAGTCATTGTAAAATTCCCGTAATCTTTAGATGACAACTCATTATTATTTTAGGTCATGATATTTCTAAAAGGCTCATATTATTCTCAATCGAAAATAAACAATATTTGAGATTTTCCATTTAAAATTTAGGAAAATAGGTTCCCGTAAGTTTTTGAAATGACTCCTTATTCTGAGAGCCGCACTGATTTTTGCATTAAGTTACATACGGAACAGATATTAATTCTAGGTACCTTATTCAATTTCTGTGATGACATTGACAATAAAATCACTAAAAACTAGCTCACGTTCGCTAATAACCCACATGCTACCACGCAATTGCCACTAAAATAGGACACACTGTACAACATACGGCTATATACTGCAAATCCAAGACAGCTAGGACATATCTGAAACGTAAACATCAAAAAGTAGGCTTGGGTCACGAAAGACGCAACACGCTAGCTTTATTAATAATGAAGATACGCCGTAAAACCATCAAAAGTTGGACATACCGTACATATGCAATCCAAGAATTCTCCATTAGCCGCTAGCTAACAAGATAATATAGGAGCGCTCATTACACGAAAAATGTTGTTTCATAAAGTAAGCGTGAGTAAATATGTGCGCAAAACTGTAAACATACTGAATCGTTATGTTTAATATCAGTCGCCTTAGGTCCATCGAAAGGCCCTAAGTGCAGAAATCAGTCTGGCATCCGCGTTGCTTCTGCGTCTGTTCGCTCGTAGAACGTACAAAAATATAAATAGCTCTGGCAATAGAGAAATTAAAATTAATTATTTCTCTAAGGTTCCAGCCTTATACCTACAGGGTTGTTCAAGGTGAGTTTCCTATTAGACGTTTATGGATAATGACTTAGGTACGGTAAAAACCAGAAATGTTGATTACTTATGTAAGCGAATATGAGCTACCTATGTAAAATATTTTTGGCCATGCGGTGTGGCCAGATATACTCGTAACGTATAGCAACTTCCCTGTATATTATTACATTTTTAGATTCTGCGAAACATTCTTTTTTATGTAACAGGTACCATTCCTATTTTCAGCATTTTCGGAGATAAAAAATACTTTTTAAGAAATTTGACAAGAAACAACCCGTCATAAAATAACACATTTTTTCGCAACTCGTACATCTAAATACTTGAATTTTTGGTTGCGGTTCCCTATTAAATTGCTTTATTATAATATAGCATGAGAATTAACTTATCGCGTTCATAAAATAACGCCCAATTGGCAAGATATAAAAATCCGTGTTACTTGGGAATTTTAATTTAAAATTTAAAAAAATAAATTTTATCGCATTTCCTTACCAAATTTTCGAAACCTACGAAGAAGAGAACTTCAAATCCTGTTACAAACTCAGATGAAAATAAAACCAACGTTTTAGCATATCTTCAAACATTTCCACATACCTATTCCGAGAGCTAAAGACGATTTAGGCATATCTTATTCATCCATTCAACGGATTTTGTGAGATGAATACAAGAAGAGAGAGTTTCTGAAAAGAATTATTTGGACCGACGAGTCAAAATTTTCATGGAAGGCATCTTTAACAGAAGAAATAATCATTTCTGGTTATCAGAACATCCAAAATTTGTACGAGAAAAGCGATATGAACATACATTTAGTTTCAACGTGTCTTGTTCGATGGTGGCTAATAAAATTGATTTTTGTATCTACAACGACAATTTTAACGAGGAAAAATATCTGTAGCAGTAGTTACAGACGTTTTAGATAATTTCCCATTAGCATTACATCGCAGATGTTGGTTCCATCTTGATGGAGCTCCGGCTTATTGCACAAATAGAGTAAGTCAAAAACTTACAATTATATTGGAAAACCGATGGATAAGGCGTCTAGGTCTATGGAATTGAACATCGCGTTCCCCAGATATTACACCGATTGATGCCTACCTTTGGGGCGCTATTAAAGAAAGAGTGTATAATCCACCAGTTGGAACAATAAAAAATATGGAACGCCGCGTCAGACATGCTTTTCAGCAATTTGATCCAAACGAAATTCAAAGGAGGTCGTTTCAAGCATAATATCTAGTTGTACGTAATTAGAAACAATTTAAAACCGTTTATTACTCTTTAACATAAGTTTTGTAAATAACAGTTTCTATGAATATTATATTTTTGTTAGCAGATATATTTCCTTCCAGTTTCATTGTTACAATTACTCATTTGAAAAGGCTACTAACGAAATATGAAGCTTATTTATGTCTAAGAAAAATTTGTTTACGAAAAACGTCACCATTTGCGGCCACAGCCGGCTGCCCAGATGAAATGTGATTACTTTATTAATTTTTGACGAAGAAAAAAATGTGAGTACGCGGTTATTTGAAATCTCGTTTTCAACCAATAGGATCAATATGGTCGCTGACAGTTTTTCAACCACGCAGGTTTCAGTTTCAAAACACGCCTATATCTCGTTCAAAGTTAAGTGTGTAGAGATCGCTGTTTAGAAATTGGCGCAAAGTGCAGATTATTGGATGAAGTTTAAAGACTCGCCCATCTCTACAAAAATATAGCCGTTCGAGGCGCATCAATTTTTACCGTAGTAGGGTGACTATATTATCTAGTAGCTATGTGGTTTCAGCCAATGTAGAGACCCGTGCAACGTGAACTGAGCAACTGCTTATTTTTTACTTTTCTCACATTTGATATACTTTATTACAATTTCTTAGTTACTCGTAAACACAATTCTACAAGTTCCATTCTGTTTTAAGGTTACGCCTACGATCCCGACTGTATGTACGTCAATGGAACTGGACGAGACTACTACGAGTTTTACATCCAGTTGAACAGGTGTGGGACTCTCGGAAAAAATACCCACAACGAGGACAACAGGAAAACACCAACGGTAAGTCGTTATGAAATGTGTGAAAATCAAAATACGATATTATTCGTTTTTTTTATCAAATAAATTTCCAATACTATTTACAAATCTTTTGGATTTCTCCTGCGTCGGATGAATCGAACTTGCTGACGTTTCGCCAATCATCCTGTTGCCTTCTTCAGAGCTTAACTGAAACTTAACTGAAGCTTAACTGAAAGAACAACCGACACAAAAAAAATCCAGTAAATTGGAAAATACGATGATATTATTCGCATTTTAGAAAAACTTTATGTGGAACACCGTCACCGTTCAATACAATCCTTTAATCGAGGAAGAGTACGATGAACATTTTAAAGTGACCTGCGAATACGGATACGATTTCTGGAAGACTGTGACATTTCCTTTTTTAGACGTGGAGTAAGTATCAGTGACCCTTTCTAAGGATACCGTCCATTTTCCCGTTCTTCGTCCCCCCGAACACTGGGTGCGGATTGTAAAAAACTATTTTATTTGTTTGCTCATAATTCGATTATTTTTACACGTTATTAATATAAACAGATATTTTTATGCAAGTTGATATTGTAATCAGATGTGTAAATGTTTCAGAGCGGTTGTAATATCCTATAGAGTCACTTAAAATAAAAACATATGCTATTAATTAAATTAATCACCTTCCTGCATTGAAATACTAAGTCTTTTATAGACTAAACATATCCATGGATTTTTTATCATAAAAAAAGGAATATGATACTCTTTAGTAAGATCTCACAATCATTTAATAATCATATTACAATCACCGTTTTTACGTTAAAAGTGCCCTAATGCTGTTTTTATTCAAGTTCAACTAACACTAAACAAATCTATAATAACCAAAAAATGATGCAAAAAACCTGTCAAAAATACTTATTTTTATGGTTGAATGCACCATGCCTTCCCCTGGAACTGTGAGACGAGCCGACATAGCGAAAGTTACAAACTGTTTTCCCCTACAATTCATCTCAGCATTTCTCATATACAGGGTGTTATTGAGGCATTATATATCTTAATGAATGAATCTCAAGGTCAAAAATACTCTTTGCAGACTGTCCTAGGAACCTTCATCCTCTGATCATAGGCAAATTAGATTCGACGACACAATCCCCACATCGAAAGCAACCCGAGGACACAAATTCGGAAGGGTACGCGACATCCCTTAAAGAAGGTGTACAGGGATGACGGTTGAGCACATGAATGTGGGGTACATGGAAAACTCAGTCAGATTTGATACAAAATGCTTGTCCTGCAAATGCATCTTTCGGCGGTATAAAAATACTGGCAGTGATAAGCCAGGCAATAAGGTTATTACTATAGTGCCGGATTACCAAATCGTGCAACCTCACATTTAATAAATTAAAATATGAAAAAAAAACTATTTCATTATTTAGTAATTCCGCAATCATAGCTATCATAGCAATCCAGTTTAAACTTGGGTCGTAATTGTCTTTACCACAGCAGCTACAAAAACTTCCAGTTCAAGATTCTACATTGGATTGCGTTTTCATCATCATCATCATGACCGAGAGCTATGTAAATAGGTCAAGTTTGGGTCAATTTACACAAAAGTGTTTACTATTCCTTATTCTTATAATTTATAATTTAGTGTATTCCACTAAATAATTATAATTGCAGAGTGAGAAACTAGGGACGTCTTTAAGCAATGTTTGGGGTGAATATATTATAAAATTGCACCGGGGAACTGTCAGACTTCCAGCTATAAACATTATTTTGGAACCAGTTGTTTATGGTCCAAATCAATAATTACCAGACTTTTGATCCTTATTACTAATTAAGGCGCAGTTTGTAAACAAAACAACCCGAGTTAAAACTACAACGCAGATATATATTCTTAGTTAGTTTTGTACCATAACCGTATACCATTTACTAGAAAACAACATGGCAACAATGGGTTATTTGATCGGCATCGTAATTGTCAGTCTGGCAGCGTGTGGTTGCCTTTTTTATCGGATTTGTATTGGGGTGGGATCCTCGGTTGATTAATTAGGATATATGATGTCAGTAAAATAACACCCTGTAATTTAGCGAACATTCCAGTTGTTACAACCGTCATATATTACAATCGTACCCAGTCTACCCTATATCACATATCACATAGCTTTTTAATATAATACTATTTCGATGAATTCATTAAAACTTATTAAGAATTTTTTTCTATTAAGAACCCACTTGTTGACGTAATTTAACCGGTTTTGAGTAAGAAAATAAGTTATGGTATCCTTAACAACACTTAAATGATAATAATGTTTTTTTTTTACTAGCCTTTCGTTTGTAATAATAACAACAATATGACATAATTAATATTATTTATAATAGTTATTGATATATTAATTATTTGATATAGGAGGAGATTGCTCAGTAAGAGTCAAACCCGTACAATATACAAATTAAAAAGCAAAGCAATTCAATAGAAGCGAAATGTGCAATGATTTTAAGATCAACTGATCAGCTATTTATGAGCAGAATATTGTGCGCTGTAAAATTACCTTTTTTAGGGTAGCAACTGGTAACCCTGTGGTCTTCACACTAACTCCTCCCGAGTGCTATATGGAAATACGTTATGGATATGGAACGTCCGGCAATAGAGTCACGGGACCTGTGAGAGTTGGAGACCCCCTAACACTTATCATTTATATGCGTAGCAAATATGGTGAGTGTGCTAACTTATGTCAAAGAGTTTCATCTAATTGGCGCCGCCTGACGAATAATAGTTTTTATATTTACGTTACGACTTTTTCCGTTACGTTTTCCCCACTAACATTTTCCGCATCTTTATTATAAGGTAACGGATAACGGAAAGAAGTCTTAGCTTTTACAACAGTTTTTGTAGTTTTACAACAAAGCCATTGCATTAACATTTTTGTAAGACATCTGATAAATGGCCAATACGCTCTAAGTTTTATGATATTGCAACCGAAATGCTTCGGTCACTTTATTTACAAAATTTTTAGTATTGTTACTTCAGGTTTTTTTTAAAAGTTTTATAATGCTCTTAAGATCTTTACTAAAAAACTTTTACTCTTGGGGTTTTATAGCTTACTCCGCAAAATCATTATAAATCTTAAAGCACCTAATAAATATTCTACAACCTGGACTCCCTGTGCTTGAAACTACTGTTAAAGACGTAAAGGCTCTTAAAGACGGATTAAAAAAAAGAAGATGTATTTAAAATTACCATAAAGCTCATATAAAATTATAAGTTTTTTTGGAGAACAACAAGTTTTTCTGCATTTTAATTATGAAAAAAAATCTCATGAGAAAAAACTTTAACTTTCATGTTTTTATTAAAATTATGTTTTACAGAGGGCGCTTCAGTTTTAGGAAGGGTAAAATATAAAATTGTTCGATAAATTTTTCGCGCCAAATAAAATAAAGTGGTCGTAAGAAATTTTTGAGTTAATATTAAATAAAACATTTTCATAATAATGTTAAAATAAAAATCCATTGCTATTAACCTTAGAGTAAAAGCAAAATACGCCGAGGACACGAAACAAACAATAAAATGTATTCCTTGTCTTTAAAAAACTTATTCATAACAAAATAATGAGTAAAATTTGTATATGCGCTAAAATTACTGTAATCGTTATCTTTATAAATTTATCCATGTATAGAGGCTTTATAAGAGTAAGGTAAAGGTTTCGTGAAAAATTGATAATTGCTGAGATTTCATTAAATAGATAGAAATGTAACCTTTACCATTATAAACTAGAAAACGTTAGTTTCGAGTCCAGACTTCACTCCCAAACTAATAATAACTGTTCTAAATCTGACATAGTTTGTTTAACAGTTTTCTTGGTCCCACAAAAATAAGATCATTTGATTTGTCTTATAACTTCCGTTGTATTTGATTCCTATTTTTCAGACATTTTGTACAAAAACTGAGATTAACTTTTTTAAGCACAGACAGATATCCCCACCCCCAATCAGCAAAACTTAATTCTTAAATCTTACACCTTTCTCCTACACCGATATACCCGGTTCTCAAGGAATAAAGTTATGCACCACCATCAACAAAACCCAACATAACCCACCGGTATAAAAAACTTGACTGGCCCCCTTATGGATCAAGTAACAAAAAAATCGTACAGCGCTATAAGAATCTATTATTAATTTTAATTTTGCCATTTATATATTAGTAGTATAACCTGAATCATAATTATCTTTTCTTTTCAGATGGATTTGATATAGTAGTCAACGATTGTTACGCACATAACGGCGCAACTAAGAAAATTCAACTTATCGATGAATATGGGTGAGTTGTCTCGTAAAAAGATTTAGGTTTTATTTTAAAATCTGTTGACCGATAAGAGTAGAGACACTTTCTAATGTCTAAACCAGTGGTTCTGGGCGAGGGTCTGATCAAATCTTCTAATAAACTTATTTGCACGAGGCAATATTGAAAATAATTGACTCCAGAACAAATATGTTTCCAAGAGTATCGTAATTAAATTTTGCTTATAACTTTTAATGAATTAGTTTACTTTATTAATTGAATGTTAAATGTTAAAATCTAGCCACTTCAGTAATTAATTTTTCAACCAGTTACTTTGGAAATTTTATGATTGTTTTTTCAGAACATATAATTTTCGTAATTTTTTCAACATAAATAAATCTATATATTTCTTTGCTACGAGTAATTCTCTATATTTAAACTATTTATTTTTTTAAAGTTTTCCTCAAAATTAGTAAAAGATATTTCGTTCTATACATGCGGATTCAGTCTGAAGATTTTCAGCTAATGCTTTTGATGCCCTTGAATTCTAATTTTTGCCTTTTGCCTTTTCATTGAAAGACTTTATCTGTAACTACATTCGGACTTAGATAAGTAACTGGGAGGACCAAGTAAAACAGAGGGTACTATATACGCAGCAGACGTGATATTAATAGCACTGAAAAAAATTCATAAGCAACAACTATTTTCGATTAAACGAGCTGTAGCTACTGAAAATGAAGCCCACATACCTTAAACTGAATAAGATTAGAAACTTTTTAACTTGCTAGCCCACCTTGTATGGAAAACTGTTTCAGTAAAATTCACCTTTGTGTTTTTGGTTGGAAAAAAACGAATCTTATCTTTTTTTTTACTTGAACCCAATTTCCGCAATACCTCCGCTTGTGGGGATAAAAAAATTGCTATTTTTGATTCATTTCAGATCAAAATATGAGAACGAAGGAATTTTATATATTGTCACAAACAATTTTACAATCTGGAAATAAAAATCTCAGGAAATAAAGAAATTTACAGGACATTTAAACAAAAATTCTACCCCCTTCCGTAATAGTTATGCAACAAGTGCGGTACACGGCATTTAAATCACGAGTTTATTTAGCACGAGCGTACTTAAAAAATGTACCAAACGTGTTGCATATGATACTTTTTCTACACTTTTTGCAAAACAATACGAATACATCAGAATTGACAAACGTCAAAATTCAAACCGTGCGGTAATATATCCGGAAACATCCGATTGCTCCTAAACCCGTGCAATAATATTCCGGAAATGTCCGAAGTGGCTCAGATCGGTGGAACAAGAAACTCACGTGGTAAAGTGGCGCTTCTCGCATGCTAGATCAGTGAATAATTAGGTATTTCACAGTAGGGAAGTAGTATGTTATTAATTACATTTTTATCAAATTTATAACACTGAGAATTAAAGTAGGAGTAATATTTTCTGCTCTTTAGTTGTTAGTTGGTTCCGCAAATGGGGTTAAACATGCAAAGTTTTCCAAAAGTTGCGCTTTTTTGTAACTGAAATCAAAATAAATATAATTTTCTAACAAATATTCCTGGATTTCAGTTTTTTTATTGGGAATATTCCTTAAATGATTGTTTTGAAACCAATTATTACTGGTATGTTCATGATAATTCAAGTTGGAATCCTTAATATTCTTTCCATACAACAGCAAGCAGTGTGGGATAAATCCGTCTTCTGATCCAGCGTGTGTTATAGTTCTTAAAGGTGCCTTCGTCTGCCTTCGTTTGAGTGGAATCAATCCACCCTTTCGATACAGTGTCGCGTGTACCGAACCATGTTTCATCAAAGTAAATTATGTATCTGTTGTCTAATCTATATCTTTTAATTTCTTGAAGGTAATTAAATCTTCAATTGCATAATCTGTGTGATTCCATCGCCACTTGCCTTTTGTCTATTTCGCAGTAGATAAATCCCATTTTACAAACAACTCGGTGGAGGGAGGCACGGCTTAAATTTATATTGGTTTCATCTTCTTCTAGCTTCTTTTACAATTTATCCAAGGTATGAACAAATTCTCTTCGATCACGGCAATATATTTTCCTTGTTATTAGGTCCTGATCACTATTGTCTCTACGGCGAGTTTGAAAATCACTACGTCTATGTTGCGGGAAGCGTCACTTTACCACGTTACACTTTACACACAATACAAGGTATAATGTGTATTATTTTTTTCAGATTTATTATTATGGAATATAATATTCTAAGCAGGGCTACAGTGTCAAAGTGAAGTGAATTACAGTTTATAGTTTTTGAATTTTTTAAATTCGAACTAGAAATCCATTTTGCTATTAAGTTGATGATGGAAAACGATTAAGAGATTGGAAATCTTTTAAATGTGGAAAAGCATAAACATAAAACTCTTCCTTGATTCTGAAGGTTTTGGGGTTTTAGGAGTTGAAAAAAAAAGGAAAATGTCCTGTAATTTCTTTATTTTTTGAACTTTTCAAAATTTGTAAAATTATTTGTGGCAATGTATAAAATTCCTATCGGCTGTCGCAACCGTGGCCTTGGCCTTATTATAGAGGTCGTGTTGATGGAAGCATATGCCTAATACTTTGTACGGTATTTCACTCCATTCACATGAACAAGCTCCTTTCTTTTACTATTTGTCTGTTTCTAGTTTAATATTTCAAAATTGTTTTTTTCTCAAGTGTATTAAAAAATTATTTACTCTTGCCGTCTTTCTAGATGTCCAGTCGATGACAAGCTAATATCAAGGTTTAGAGGATCGTGGTCGGAGTCGGGCGTTTTTGAAACTCAAGTTTTCGCGTACATGAAAACGTTCAGATTCACAGGCTCCCCGGCGCTGTATATAGAGTGTGACGTGCGAATGTGCCACGGACGGTGCCCCGTAAGTTACATTATTTATAAGTCGCACACTCGATTTATTGGATTATCGGTTCTCGGCATTTATAAACTTAACTGTGACATCTCTTCGCCCCAGAGCCAGCCGTGTCACTGGAGGAACGTAAAAAACGTAAAGAAGAGATCAATCCAATCCGATATCGAGAAAAAACTATCGCCCAACGTTTCCTTATCGGAAAACGTCAATCTGTTTCAATCCCTACGGGTACTTCAAGAAGAAGAATCCGACGAACACAACAACGTAACATTGAAAGGTAACGAGCGTTACGTTTTAAATGTTTTATTCCTAATTATATATTTGTAAAGAGGTATCTATTGCAAATATACTTAATGCAACATACAGATCGGGCGTTCCATCAGGGCAACATGGTAGGGTCTAAGGGTCTCTATTTTAGCAGTGTTTTACCTTATCTTCTTCTTCCAGTGCCTTCTCCCTTTCATTGGAGGTTGGCGATCACTACTCCAAACGCTTCTCTATCCCTCGCAACATGAAACAATTCCCCCACATTCAAGCCTGTCCAGTCCCTGACATTTCTTAGCCAGGATTTATTTTTTCTTCCGATACCCCTTCTTCCATCTAGTCTTCCCTGCATAATAGTTTGTAGTAGACGGTATTTATCATTTCTTAAGATGTGCCCCATATATGCGGTTTTGCGTCTTTTTATTAAAGTTATTAATTTTCTACCGCGGCCAGTTCTTCGTAAGACCTCTTCATTTGAGATTCTAGCCGTCCAGGGAATTTTTAGTATCCTTCTATACAGCCACATCTCGAAGGCTTCCAGTTTTTTGATGATCTGTGCTTTTAGTGTCCAGGTTTCTACCCCATATAATAATTGTGACCATATATAGCATTCGACGAACCTCAATCGCAAACTGAGACACAAGTTTTTATTACAGAGTATCTTCCTGTAACCAAGAAATGATCGTCTTGCTATTTCGATTCTGACCTTTATTTCTTGATCTTGATCTAGGCCAGAGGTGATGTACGCTCCCAAATATTTGTATTTTTCGACTTGTTCAACAGCTCGTTCTTCTATGTATAACTGATGTTGCCTGGCCGGGTTCTTTGAGACAACCATAAATTTAGTTTTTTCTATGTTAATTGTGAGCCCCATTGCATGACTTTCGTTGTAAACTCTATCCACCAGCAATTGTAGATCTTCGAGAGACTCAGCCAGGACTACCATATCGTCCGCAAATCGTATATTGTTGATAATTTCTCCTCCAATCCTAACTCCCTCTTCTCTGTCCGAAAGAGCCTTTTGAAAGATTACCTGAGAGTATAAATTAAAGAGTGCCGTTGAGAGTACACATCCCTGTCTAAAGCCTCGCGTGACTGTGGCTGTCTGGTGCCAATTTATGCTTTTAATTATGTTTATATCATTTTGGTCTAGTTGGATGTTCTTCAGTTCATTTATTAATTTCATGTGTTGCACCTTATCGAACGCTTTTTGATAATCTATAAAACACATATATATACTTTTGTTGTATTCTCGGCTCTTCTGGAGAAGTACTGTCAATGCAAACAACGCTTCTCTTGTCCCCATTCCTCCTCTAAAGCCAAATTGCGAGTTGTCCAGCTGTTCTTCGCATTTCTTATAAATTCTGTTCTGGACAATCTTCAGCAAGACCTTCAAGGGGTGGCACATGAGGCTGATAAGTCTGTAATCATGGCCTGACATTGGGTTATTCTTTTTAGGTAATGGAACAAAAGTTGATTTTAGCCATTCTGTTGGGATGTTTCCGGAATTGTACACATCATTAAAAATTTGTGTTAGCCTGATTATGTTCTCTCCATCGAGTGCTTTCAGGAGTTCGATTGGCATCCTGTCATGGCGTGCGGCTTATTTATTATTACTGTTTTTAGAGCATACTTGAGTTCGGAAGGAAGTATTTCCAGACAGTCGTTTCGCTGGTTTGCTGTTGTTATTTCTATGGTGTCTCGGTCGTCGCGGAATAGTTGTCTAATGTAATTCTTTACCTTATATTGATGAGAAATAAAGGAATAAAGCTCCCATTACTAAAGTTCAAAGCGTAGGCGGTGTTGTCAGCAACAATAACAAAAATAACAAATATTGTGTTAACCTTTTAAATATTTTTATTTGACTAGTCTCATACTTGTTTTTTTCTGGAGAATATCTAATTTGATCATACCAAAGAAGTGCTTTCTACGGTGTTTGCATATTCGAGTCGATGGTTTGAAGGTAATTTTTTGTAGCAGAGGCATATATAATTTCCATTTCGATTTTTCGAGAATGCAAAATATTGGAAAGCGAAAGCAGTTTGGCGATAATGATGATCTAGCGCAGGAGGCCGAAATCCTTTTTTAAATCATAATGTGTGGGATATAATTCAGAGACATGTTTGGTCCCTAGCATTATTTCCGAATTAAGTTAAAACCCAATAGCGACATAAGGTTAAAATTTGATAACAGGTGCCACAAGTCCTTAATTTTAACGCAAAATCTGTCATCTTACGAATATAAACAATATATTTTATAAAATGAACAAGATTGCTTTCGAAAAATCGTCGCTGGGAGTGGCAAGTTCGTCGCGCGTAATAGTCGCGAAATCGATGTAGCTTAATTTTGCATGCACTGTATAAGGTGTCTTCCATATCTCGTCGAACTTCAAAGTTACGAAAAACTTTGGTAAATATTAAAATTTGTACCGGTAATTTCGATTTCAAATTATATTTTTTCAAACATCTCGCGCTCCCTGTATGATGAATCTCTCTCTCAAGACAGTTTACGATACTGCTCAAATCAAATGACTTGTCATTATCGCCAATAATTTAAACACAAAAATAGGAAATTTTAGGATATTTTAGATTTTTTGCCCATAAACGACAGACCCTCTATACCTATAATTCAAACAATATGCGAAATTGAGTTTATAGGACTGAATCTCTCACTTTCCTGGTATATGAATTTTTCCAATACAGTAAATGGTTTTTGAAAAAATACTGGTGATTTTCATTTGGATTATTTCAAATATCTGGAACAGCGTATGTGATAGATGAAAACCGCAAATACAAACATTTTAGCTCTCGATGTGGCCTATAACACTGTTTATGATTTATGATTGGTTTACGACTAATGATTTACTCTGGAATAGGGTCTTTAAGATTTTTGTCCATAATTGAAAAACCGTGTATATAATCGAAAAAATACTTGAAATAATGGTTTTAGTCGGTACATTTTTGGAAAAATTGTCAGGAAATGATTTTTTTTCGTGGACCTTAGCGAATGCGGTTTTCAAATTTTAAAAAATACTTCTCAACCCCCCCCCCCCCCCAGTTTCCACCCCCCCCCTCAGAGGATAAAACGCTAGTCATATGCTGAATTTCAATTGGACAGCTTAAATTTTTGGAAACTTATCGTATTTCATAGCAATGTCCATTTGATTTAATCGATTTTTCGAAAGTAACCATTCGTATATTACATTAGGGTAGATTTTTATGGAATTTATTTATTTCCAGTCCCGAGTTCCACAAATTAATTTGACTCATTTTTATTTTGAACTTCACTTGAACAATCATATAGGCACAAACCTAACTAATTATTCGTTTCAGATAAGGCGATACCGCCCCATCCGGGAAACATATGTCTTAAGACAGGGTGGTTTTCGGCCCTGCTCGCGCTGGGCGGAGGTCTGGTGTGTTTGATGGCGGGCGCCCTTTTGGTAACTTGCACCAAAATGAGAAAAATCGCAATAGACAAAGTATTAGCGGCAAGTCATTTTAACGGTTACATGAACCACAGGAGTAGTTTTAAGTAATGTAAGAAAAACTCGAATAGCTACGTGAAAAATAGGATAATAAATACGTGCGAATAAAAAGTCTATGTTAGGAATAAAGTTTGCTGTATCGGCAAGTGATGGTAGCCGCGTTTGACGAAGCTAAATAGTTGATATTGTGCAATTCGATTCAGCCATCGGCCAAAGTTTCTTAAACGCGTCGATTCAGCTAGTGCTCACGAGTCATCCTTCAGATATCTACAAGTATAATTTGCACGAATACACAATTGATTGACATAAATTTTGTTTTTCAATTAGTGGATTAGTTAGATTCTTGTAAAACTGTGCACCCGGTGGCTCGCAAAGTGGACGGCTTTTTAAAGGACAGCACTGGAGAAATAACCTTAGTTTTATAATAGTTATTTTAAGTAATCTGCCCATATAGCTATCAGATTATATAAAGGCCGTTAATAATAAAATTACTACATCTAGGGCACCTATGACATTATCGTAAAACAAAACTAATTATTGTTTTACTATGGTAACGGTTAAAAGTTTCGATTACCTATTTTATAAAACCTTATCGATTGTTCGTGAACCGTTTTGATTTCTCTTATAAAACCTCTCCAGCACTTAAATAGAGAATCTTATCAAGATCACAGTGACCATATAAAAAATTTACACCCTATCAATTTGTAACTACGAGGCTTATAAACTCTAAATAAGTTTTATTATGGCGGCGAATACATTTTCAATACCCCTATGAAACCTACTTACAGAGATTATAAACACTAAATAAAAAACTCCTCCTTTTAGCTTCACCTTTCTCGATATTATTCGCTTGTTAAAAACTCACAGTTTGATATGGTTTAAACGCAAGGTGATTTGGAATTTGAAAAATGAATTTTTAAAAAACGTTATCGGTATAAAAATTGCACAAAAACGGTGCTTTAAGAATTATAAGTGTTTTACCAAGTAAGAAATCCCAATAGTATTTATAATTATAACGTTTTTAAGAACCCTATAAATATAAAACTCATAGCAATGAAGACCAAAGGTTTTATTAGTATTTTGGCATATAGAAACTGAAAACTGTTGAATTGCGTTCAAATTGATTGCTGGATGTCACATACCTATATGTCACATGTCAGATACCTATATAAATTACTCTTCTCAACATTTTGTGATATTGACCTCAAAAGTGCCTGTTCATCGGCATAGGCAAGGCCCTCTGTATACCTAGTATCTGTGCTATACACCGTGGGCAAAGTTCCTTTATCACTCTAAAATATTTTCAAACATGGCGACATTTTGCTTGGTTTAAATGGCACCGTTTATGTATCATTTCATTTTTAAGTTCTAAATTCTAAGAAACAACGTTGATTTTGTTTAAATTTTACCATACTGTCCTCGGTCCACTAATTATTAACCGGACTGTCCAGGCAATTCCAACAATTGGCATCAAATCATTGTAGACGGAGCATATACTGGAACACAAAGTTTCGTACGCAAGTACGAACAGAAATGTTTTTAAGTAAATTGAAACTAATTAATCAAATTTATTTCAATTACTTTTAAATTAGTAAAAGTACATATTTGAAGAGTGAATGACGAAATTCATAGAACTTCATGATACCAAAATCTAAAGTCTGAACATTTTATATATTTTATATTTTAAAAATTGAGAAAAACGATGGGAGAACTATAGAAAAAATACAAAGAAAAAAAATCATTTTTAAACTAAAAAAGCTAAGAGGAACTTGACCAAACTTAGGATTATTTATGCACCATTGATAAAATTATTCACTTCCTAATTGTAACTACTAAACCAATCTAAACTTTATTTATGTAAAATGACACCTTGATCGGCTCCCTCCGCAAGGCTCCAGAAAAAGTTCGGATTAGTGTTAATTAAATTTTAAAACGGAACTAAAATTTGTGCAAATAAGGTCCAAATTATTTATAAATCAAGTGTTATTTCGAAAATAGTAAGGGGCATTTAAAGGGAATCTAAACAAAATCCACTTTATGTTTTTGTGTAAAAACACTATGGCATACATTGAGTGACTTTTAAATTAAATAAGATGTGCCTTCGTTTTTTTTTAGATGCGGCAGCACTGCACGCTCCAATATTATTTAAGATCAATTTTCGTATTCCAGAAATTTCTAATTCCACTCAAAAGCCACCCGGTACAAAAGAATTAAACATACATTACATTACATTACATACATGGAGAATAAGCATTTTCGCATTTACCTTTTCACGTCAGGCTTCTTCTTCTGTATGTTTGAAATGTTCTGGATATTTCATATAAAATTTATTTAATTTATATAAAATATCTCCGATCACGTCATTGTAAATACAAACACAATTCCTCTAAACAGCTACATTAGATTTGTAGATCCTAGTGTGTACTTTTAGAATTATAAATAAACAATTCTTTTTTAATTGCTTTTCATTTACCCCACTGACAAAAATTCAGGATTCTTCATAATTCCTGAATGGGTTATTTGGATGCTCGCGGTTCGTTTTTTGGGTATCATCATTGACATTTGTCAATTTCGTCTCGACTGAGGGATATGTCCGCTATTAGCGAGGAGAGAGGCTCGCGTTTTCGCAAACCTTTGGTACTGTTTTGTGAAACGAAAGATGACAACAAAATTTAATATTGCATTTGTCATATTTAAAAAGTAAAATAAGTCGCCACAATAATTTCGGAGAGGTCCAAGCAGCCACTGACGCAGCTTTTGAAAGTTGGAGAACGCCACCTCTGGTTATTCTGCGTTAAAGAAAGACATTTTAAGCAATTTTTTAGCTTTATAAATTAAAATAATTATGTTCAGATTTGCAAAAAATGATAACATTTATTTTTAAATAATTATTTTAATATCTAGGTTCGCATTTTGGATTATCTTTTTTAATAACATATAGATCGTAAAGCTATGTGAAATGTTACAAATAAAATGTTAATATTAAACTAAGTTGGCTACATGCAAATTATAAAAGCTATTGTCGAAGTATTGTCAGGAATAAATAAATTAAATATTTTCGATATTTAATAAATCCTTTTTCCAAGGTCTATCGCAAATACCCAAATGAAAATTTAAAAAAATCATTTTTGTGAGGTCATTTATACAAATAACCCCATACTGTTTATACATTTTTGAGGACCTCAGAATCGAGTTGGTCAATAAGGTGTTTCATTAAAAAAAAAAACTTATTTTTTTTTTCAAAAAGACGAAAAAAACTGACTACGCCACTGAATTCTACGTAAAAACCTATAAGGATAGGTGCCCCAAAACTTCAAATTTCCAAAATCACCCTGTATTTTAAAAACTAAGCAAGACATGAAAATTTTGTAACGTCATCTTTCGTTTTACAAAAAAATACCAAAGATTTGCGAAAACGCAAGGCTCTATCTTCACTAACAAGGGACATACCCCTCAGTGGCGACCAAAATGAAACACAGTGTACATAGTTGCCGTTGCCAGAATGTTATGCTCGATTTAACCAGGAAATTATATTAAAGGTGCTTATTTAATATTGCCTATTTCATAATGCAATAAGTTGCAACTTAATAGACTTAGTTAAACTGAATTGAATTTGGTCAAAAAGTTTCCCTTAAAAATACATATTGTTTTTTAAATATGTTGTTTGCAGAGTGTAAACAAGAGAAATACATTTTATCTTGGGCAACACTTCAAAAGGCAAAAAAGAGCGATCTTTTAAGTATATTTTTCATTTATACAGTGAACGGATAAAATATAGAACAAATTCATTTAAAAATCAGGTATTATATTTAAATAAAAAATGCTCGCACATATTTTTTATTGCGCATTTTTAGCAGTAAATAGAAAAAATTTCACGCATAACTTATGTAGCATACCCCATACTTATCTCTTACTTTTTATTAGCAAAAAAATGCAGAAATTAAATTTTAAAATGAACGGCTAGTTAGTACCAGTAAAGTTCTTAAATTGTCACAAGTACATTTCTGTCAGTAACGAAAGTGATTATTGGATATGGAAACAAAACTAGAACTCAACAAGAAGTTTGTAATTTGTTTAACGCAAAATATTCAAAAAGACCCATTACAAGATCCACAGTGAGTAAAATTGAGAGACAATTTATAGAAACAGCATGTGAAAGAAATTGTTTTATTGGGTGTTGAAAACTAACTTCTTGACAATAATGAGGTTTAAAAACCCTTTTCATTATTTTGCCTTATTTTATTTAAAATTTTTATAAATTTTAAATCATCAAAATTTTGTAGACTATAATATCTGGAGACATTGCAGGCCATTCTATTGATCCCTTTCTACCATTTCTTTTTCTTTACTAATAGCAATGTTAAAAACTTTATTGGTACTACATACTACTACGCTACTACTACGTCGAATGTTCATTTGAAAATTAAATTTCTGTTTTTTATTCTTTTGCTCACAAAAAGTAAGAAATAGGTATAGGGTATACGAGATGAATTTTTGAAATATTTAGAAAAAGGAACTCTGTATCGACCTCTACTTTTTGACCCTGCCTGTATATTTTCTATTTACTAACCTTTTTCTTAAAATCCAATACCTGTTTTTTAAATGAATTCGTTCCATATTTTTGCCGTTCACTGTATAAAAGTAACAGCCGTAGCAATTTAACATTCCCTTGCTTTACGAAAATCAGTTGTTGACCTTTCAAAATTATTAAACATCATTGCTTATCACAATGCTATAAAAAGTATAGCAGATTATCTGCAGCAATTTAACTGTAACATAGAAATAGAATTCCCAAAAAGCGCTTTAGAAGTAAAGAATTTAATCGCTGTATAGAAAGGAAGAGGAACACACTTGCACACAATGAGTAGTATTTATGATGATGAACTAATAAAACTATCCAGGGGCGTACCAAATTAATACTAATAAGTCGACCTGAAGGCGGACATATTTATTTGTTTTTTTCAATTTGAACCCAACATTGCTTGCTATACTAGTATATTTTAGGATGACCCCATGCCCCAACAACATATTAGGTGTATAATAGTTAAATACAATATTTTGCATGTTAATTAGTAGGTACATTTATTTTAATGAGTAATATGCAACAGATATTGCGTTTACATTTTCTTATCTTTACCTCTTAGCACTGTACATATCAGTAATTTTGACTATGCAAACTTAATATATTGTATCTGAAAATCTACACATGCAAAACGTTTTCTAGAAAAACTCAAAATGTCAAAGGTAAATGGGGCAAAATGAAACAATTAACTAGAAACCATACTTTATATACGATATTTTAGGGAAAGACTGGCAATTACAATACCAAACATACATGATGATTTGTTTAATCCACCGATAATTAATTTTTCTATACTATTCTTTCTAAGGTGCGTTATGAAGCACTTTATTGAATGCACTATATGAACTTTCCAAGTCAAACAATAATTGTCTCACTTGCGCCTCAGATAGTTCATCTGAAGCCTGCATATCGTTCAATGTTGCCAACCATTCTGCAGCTTTTTGCTTGCCTTCAAAGTCTGATGGCAAGATACTCAATCGATTCATAGTGTCAACTAAATCTCTTAATTCCGGATGTAAATCATCCATTGCCCTGATTTCTAGCCTCAATTTATCCATTAACGTTATAAATAATGACACAATATCTGCAATGCATTTGCTGGTATTGCCTTTGTCGTCTTTTATAGTGATAGGTCTATCTTCCTTAATTCTTTCTAATGCTGCTGGACAATCAAGCTATAATCAGAAAAAATACTTGTTCATCCTTACTTATTCTTTTAGCTTTTTTAATTTACCCTAAATTTTTTGACAAAGGCATCAACTGTGGGAAATTCATTTCCTTTGACTTGACGAAATGCTGCTTTATACTGCAGCAATAAGTTACTACAAGCCCCAGTATACTCTTTTGGAGTTACACAGTCTCTGATATATGCCTTTTCAAGCTGTTGCAGAGTATTAATCACTGCATAGAGGTCTGCTAAATTATCATACCTAAAAAAATGTCTTTATAGACAATGAACTTGACAAAAAATAACTAACTTTTCTCTTTCTCTGGTGTTTTGATGTAGTTTAACTTCTTCATAAAGTTCAGGACGAGTATCTAGAACAAAAATTAAATATCGCATATTCTTTCATTATTATTGGAAGAAACTTACCGGGATTTACTGACATTGCAAAACCTATTCCAATATCAATTGAACTTTCGAAGATTTGTTGTAAATCATGACATTCTGTACAAATCAGCTGAAACTTTGACGTTGACAGATCAAAATGTGCGCATTCACTCCACAGAACAGTTACTTTAACATTATCGGTTGTTCTCTCAGCATTAAAAGTTCAGAGGTTAATTTAAGTAACGTTTTTGAAATGGGTGACATGATAGTTACATGTCATGATTGGTGAATGCTTAAAATTATGACGTCTAATAGTTTCTATATTTAGGCAAACGACATTTAATTTCAAAAGAACTGTTTTTAATTCATTCTTATATTTACCTAGTATGGAGCCATCCTTGATAACAGATATTAGTGGTCTGTGATAATAATTTTTTCTTCTTTCTTCACACATAGAACGCGACTGTAAGCGATGCACAGACCACAAAAATGTTGTATTCTATGCAGTACCTTAACTCCAAGACTCGTAAACCTAATTAGGTTTACCATTCTTGCCTCAGCCCGGGTCATTCGCTCATTAACAAACATACGAAAAATAGCAGTTTATTTTTGAACTAAATTTCTACGTCTCTAAATCAACGCAATATCATCTTTTAACACAATAGATTGTTTTCTTTTTGATACGTGTTTTATTTCCTTGTTCACTGAACTGTGGGTTTGTCTAATTTTTGGGTAGATCTATGAATTTGTAGCTAATGTAAACATTTGATGAATTTTGTTGAAAATATGTAGTTTAGTAAAAAAACATGATTTGATTTAATTAATGATAAAAAACACACATTTTCTCGTTGCTGTCAGTTTGTATGAGGCAAAATTATTAATATGTCCACTGACTATAATGCAGGTAATTTTCCAAGCTATCAAAATGAAAATGTACCGTCTGCTCTCCAAATCTGTAAGTAAAACAACTAATAAATTCCAAACAACATGAATTTTTTGCAGCACATTCGCACAGCATCAACACAATATCTTCCATTCGTGATTGCATTGTCTCTGAAGATCTTTTAGCTGGACAAAGGCTTGATGGGAGGATGTCAAATGTTAGAAGGTTTTTTTGCTTATTTGTAACGTTTGATGTGCTCTTTATATCACTTATGTGGCTTATATGTATTATGGTAAGTTAGAAACCACATGTGTACCTAGGAAATTTTGTTTAGACTTCCAATTTTTTTTTATAGTTGAAGGGTCAAAATATAATGAATGCACTAGAGCAACAAATTGTGCATTACAATATCCGTACTTCTCTATTCGACATAGTTTTAGTAGCACTAGGTAGATTTTTAGTTCTAGTATTTTTCTATGCGCTATTGTATATAAATCATTGGATTATAATATCTGTAAGTATGTGCAGCAAGTTAATTAAGGGTTGATGTTCATTAATACCTTTTTCTAGTTGTCAACCTCTTTCAGTTGTGCGTTCCTGATAGGAAAAGTATTTATGTATGATGTGAGTGGTATTGCATTTAAGTTTCTCAAATCCCTTTAAAAAATATTTGTTTTTAGTGGCCACACTCATCTCAACCGGTTTTTGAAGTTTTGTTAGTTCTCGCTTCATTTATTTTATCATGGGGTGAGGCATGGTTTTTGGACTTTAGAGTAATACCCCAGGAAACTCATGCAAGCAGATACCTGATAAGTATGGACTTCATAATGACAGTGTGTCCAATATAAGGGTGGGATAGCATGGGGTTATCAGAAACCATATGAGATACATAGTCATTTAACAGCAAAATTTGATTTTTTTTTATATCATCACTCTCAACAGACATTTGGAGAAATAAATGTTTTGACAGTTTAATTATTGCTATGAAGAAGTGGTGAACAAAGTAACAATTTATTGACAGTTTAACTTCAGTTACAATTTAGTACTAAGTGTTACATTTTCAGTCATAGTAATACTCTAGAAACAAATTTCCAAGTGTATCAAAACTTGTTTTAATAGTTCAAGAATATCTATTGAATAGGTTTTCTAGCAAATGAATAGGTACACATTCAGTGGCTTCTTGACCTGCATGATCACCTGATATAAGTTTTTTCCCGGCTTTGGTCTTTGGGGCTGCAATCAAAAACTATGTGTACTAAAGTAATTTTCAAACAGAAGGATTAAGGCTACTAATTTTAGAAGCATTTCAAACGATCACACCAGATGTACTTAACAATGTTTTGGGTTCCACAGTTAGGTATACATTTGTTTGAACATCTTTTGCCATAAATCTCTAAATATTACTATCATTAACAACATAAATTCGAATTATTATTTATTTATTTATTCCAATGTAATTAGTAAATAATTCCAAGTTATTCCAATGGAATTAGTAAGTAAAGAAATTTTGTTGGAAATATTTCACTCTTGTATAGTAACCTCTTGCAGAAATTAAATGTCATTCAGAAGTATATTTTGAAAATCATGCACTCTCAAGGAAAACTATCCCCACTCACTACGACAACCAATGTTGCAATATGTATCAAACCCATGGTATCACTGAGGGTCTGCTGTGGTTGCCTGCTGTTACCAAGGCCAAAACCCAAAGGTTTCTTATTTACACAAAGTCTACAATGTCTTGCCCCTGAGTTTGAGAGATACGTGTAACTTACTATATACCATCTACTACTGCACTCAAGGATATCATCCATACAAACCACAAAAATTTCTTAAATTATTGATTTAACTCTCTCACTATTATCGATTTAAGGGAAATGGAGCAGAGACGCGCGTATTCACGCCGACTGCTGATACTGATCTAGATATAAAATTATTGTTTTTTTTTTTTTAATAAAGAACTACAGGTGTTTTCACGCGTAGATGCTGGCATGTATGCACGAATTTGAAGGAATTTCAAAGTTCTGAATTAGTTGATATTTGATGTAACATCGGGAATTTCTTATTAATTTACTGTTGACATATTCTCCAAGTTTTAGCAAGGAAAAAAGGGAGATAAGGATTGGGTTGTTAAAAGTAAAAATATTTATATGGGACTGTTTTCTGCTTTAAAATTGTAAAACATCAAAGATTTTAATTACCAAAATTGTTATTTTTGTTATTGACTTTTCAATTTTTAATTACAATAAATTTAATACTTGTTCAGTGTATCCAATCAACTTTTGTTTCAAGGCTTACTATAAAAAAATCAAATTTTGCTTTTGTGACCCTACTAATGATAATAAAGTCATCATATGATACATCATTAAATCTAATCCAATCTATCTATCTAATAATTAAAGTATTTAATATGATGCCCATAAGAACATTTAAAAATCTATGGTGTATCTTGAAAACAAATGTTTTCTTTTATGTCATCATATTCTTATAATAATGTACTGGTCCCAGGATCATGGTTGGCGGATTTTGTGCTTTACAGATAAAATGGCACAAATTTCTCAGAAACAATAAATTTATCATAAAATTCTTTAAAAGCTTCCTAATTTAAACAACCCTGCATCTCCTATAGTTTTTGATATCCCCATACTATCCCATCTGTATATTGGACCCCAAGTAATGCTAGAACTAAATTTTGTGTGAAAATTTTTTCAGAAACTAGCTCTTTTTGTTGAACAGAAAGAAAAAACTTAATGATATTATCAAGATAGAAATTGAGATTTTTCTTAGAAACGAGAAACATTGTTATTAATTGACTTAAATATTTAGCATCAACAGAGTCTGAGAGGGCACCATTGATTAGAAGTTATGTCCAAGGTCTTCCTTCAATGTGCACTGAAAGTGTGGGAAATTTTTATTCCCCGTTAGGCACTCCAGAAGGTTCCCTCTACAGAAATGAGGCTATGCATGTAACATATCCTTCGGTCAAACTAACTGGAGAACAGGTACAAAATTTTTCTATTTTATTAAACCACAAAGTGAGAAATCAAATTATATGTAAATTTTTGTGCCAGAGATTGTGTGAGATTAATTTTACTGCCTGTTAGCCATGTTAATGTAATCTCATGTTAAGTTAAACATTAAGGAAACATTATGAATCTGTGGGGACAAAATTTGTGTACTTAACAAATTTATTCAGTTCATAGGGTGAACTTAACAAATCATAATATAGTTGGGTTACAATATTCTGTGAGGCGATGTTCAATATTTAATAAAAAAAAGGTTTCTGCATTACTGCAAGCAACTACTATACCCAAAAATAGAATGTTTGAAAATTTTATAGTGTAATGTAAAATATGTAGTTCTTTCCAAGTGGCATTAAATTATTGTCTTTTACACTCTGTATTAACGAGTTCTTGTGAATTTTACATGATATAAAGAGACAAAAATTACATAATTTTTCTTTTCTTATTCAACTTCAGTTGTTTAAGGAGCACATAGGTATCCTATTTAACTTTGATTTTAAAGTGAATGAGTTTATATGTCGCAGGAAGAAGGTTACCAAAGTAGGGCCGCAATGGCTTTTCAAAATGCATGGGACTTAGTGCAAGAGTCAGATTGGAAACTTGAACGCCAACAGGGACAGGACAAAGTGTTCACCAGAAATGTTCCAAAAGTTGGGAAAATATTTAAGCTGGAGGTAGTGATTTTTTTAACTTATTGTGTTCTTCACTTCCCCATTTTATAGAAAAACGAAAGTGTAATTTTATTTGTAATAACCAAATTCAAGGCAGAGGTGGATGCTTCTTCAAAGTTCCTTTTAGAGGAGCTCTATTACAAGGTTCAAGACTTTCCCAAATGGAATCCGGCCATTAAAGAATCTCACAAAATACAAATCATCGATGAACACACAGATATTTGTTACCAGATATCTACGAATGGAGCTGGGGGTTTAGTCAGTAGTAGAGATTTTGTGAACCTTAGACGCTGGGGTCACATTGAGGATTGTTACATTATCGCTTTCATGAAGACTGAACACCCGTCGTTGCCGGTCAATAGCAAGTTTACCAGGTGAGAAATTTTCCCGGCACATGCATCTTTTTGATTCAGAATTTTTCAGAGGTGAAACCGGAGTGGGCTGTTATTTAATGCAGGACGTATCCAAAAAACCCGCGAAGTGTCGGTTTTGTTGGGTACTTAACACCAATCTGAAAATTAAAATTCCAAAGTTTGTCCTTGAAAAAGAATTCGCGGGTATGATGTTTACTTTCTTGAAGGATCTAAGGCACCATATTTCCAATTCCACAGAACTAGAATAACGTGTAAACCGTAAGAATTACGGATAAAACTTTTTAGAAAATGGTTGAAAATAATCGTTTCCGTTTTTGTTATTGGCAATGTTCTGGAAAAAATGTTGCTCCACTGTCTGCGAATGTTCTGCAATTTTGGATGATAGGCTAGCTTAAAATCGCGAAATATTTGGAGATTTTTAGTCAGTAAGTTCTTCAAATCTTTTTCTCAAGAATAAGTTGTTTTCTATAAACTTTTAAAAGGGAGTACTGAGGATTTTGTTAAACGCAGGGGGTTATTGACATGATTATCATGTAATTTAATAAGTGAATCTTTGTTTTCATAAGAGTTTCATGTTCATAGTTTTAGTTAGTTGATATTGTTTAAAAAATAGTTCGTTTTATGGATTCATAAAAGATAAAACAATATAGCACACTTTTATCTATATATTGAAAACTCACCAACAAGCAACACAGTTTATGGATACAAGGCCTCTTACAACATTTGCAACAATGCAAGAATGCTCTTGGAGTTATGGGCCTCTGCAGTAGACCTTTATCTTTCTGCAAAACAAAGGCTTTCCACATTACAGTTTATGGTGGATTCGTGCAAGCAACCATTGACATTAATTTACCACTAATTTTACATTAAGATTATAATTAAGAAGATAAAGGTTAATTAAAAGTTAATGGCGCATGCTTACTTTCCGAGTTATTCTTTATAACGAATAATTCCATCTTTGACCTCTTTTACTGAAAATAGCCAATAATCCAAAAATCCATTTTCAATTTCAAGGCTATATTCAAAAAATTGCGTTTGGATAGAACAACGGACAAAACTGACATTCGTGGCATGCATGCGCTTATTCGTGGCATTGCATGACTATCTGGATTCACTAATGTTTTCCACAAAAGACACACCACAAAGACTGTTAACAGAGCTACGAATAATATTTTATTATCGCTTATGCAGGTGGGATGAACATTATTGGCAGCAGCGCAACAATCGGAGAATAAATTCGCGAGTAATGACAGCGGTAAGGCAGGCATAAGGTTTTGGGTTTCCAAATCTTCGGTCTATTTAATAAGGTCAAATGTGAAAAAACAAATTAAGCGATCATAATATTTTGGCTACTAATGCAACAAACATCTCCTGATTCGTTTTAAGCACGAATATTGCCAATTTTATAAATTAAAAAAACGTGTGTGCCATATTCTTATTTGATAGTTTAATGGTTATGGAATAAACTTCAAACGTCTTTCTTTGTTAGATTGCTTATGGTGTTAATCGTTAGAAATAAGCTTGTTGTCTTGACAGCAGTTGCCGACGTCTTTAAGCAATATGTCAGTTGCAGTGCAGTTGTAAATAATAAGTTAATCTGGAACCAGCATATCTTGTTGATCCTTCAACTAATAAACATCTAAGAATTTCCACCTTTGTTATTAATTAATTTTCATTGTACGGGTTTTACGACGTACCTATTTTTTCAAATTACCTTGACGCAAACGTGCCCTGATCATTTGACAATCTTTGGTTTTGATAGAGATCGTGGTTGCCTGCCTGTCACTCGTGCTGCTGGGTTGCAAAAAATAGCATTTTGAGGTTCAGATCCACTTATTAGATTATGTGATGTCATTTCAACCTGTAGATAAGTTTGTGGTACCAGATTTGAAAATGCAATCAATTTTTATAGGCATTTTTATTTGTCTCATTTTAACCAATTTTCCTTACTTTTAATATACAATTTTACATATTGCATTTGTTAAATTAACTGCCAGAACAGCGCCCAAAAACAACAATTACGAAATTTTTGGAATGTTTCAGTTTTTTCACACAAATTTTGAACTAATATAAACCAATGTGTAGCGTGTTATAGAATTCAAATAATATAATGTAATGAGTGAATCTCGGTCTTGTAGAATATATTTAGGGTTTAGATGTTTTATCTAAGAACACCCAACAATAACAAAAGTAACACTTTTTTTTTAAAGAAACTTCCACAGGCTACTGTAATACTTGTTATAAACTTTCTGAATTTCTCCTGCGTCTGTTTTTGTTGATGAACTTGCTAACGTTTCACCAGGATGATTGGCGAAACATTAGCTAATTCGACTCAGAAAAAGCTGACGCAGAAGGAATCCAGAAGTTTTATAAAAAGTAAAGCACAATTTACTTTGTTTGATCGAATGGACAATAATGTTAAGTTTTTATGGTATTCTTTTCAGAGGCCCCTGTCGTTCTTCTGTATCTGGGTTTTTTTGGAATCACTTTTTATCAGTTGACAAGGCTTTATTGTTAGCTTCTAATGTCACAGAACGTTTATATTTTAAATGAAAAAGTTTTTATTTAATTATTAAATCGTCTACATTTCAAAAACTAAACAAAAACATATTATTTTCATTTAAAATAAGTTTCGACCTCTAAGAAAAAAATTTATATACTTGGCAACATCGCGTAGATTCGATTTCAAAAGTTGCGACTGTTACAGAACTTTTCATGTTTATAAAACAAAACAATATCAATTATTTGTAAAATTTTCAGATCATACACCTTTTTTTTCTGTTTTGATCAAAAATGAGGTAAAAGTAGTAGGCAGTGTTGTCTCCATAAAAAAAACTGGATGTGTGCTTATAAACATCACTTCTTGAAAAATAATATAATGTTTTCAAATACATACCTGCAGATTACCGTACACATAAAAATTCGGAATTTATTTCAGATTTGTACTTTGGACTTTGATTTAACATAACATTTAAATAATCCAGATAAACAAATGCTTAATAACTCAGAGTAAAAAAATAATGTTTTGACTTGTTTATTTTTTATTCGGTCAAACTAGATTTTTCTGAGTACAGGTGGAATTATTTGTTTGTTAGAATTAAAAAAAAAAAACAGTGACACAATAATTTGACCAAACAACAACTTTGTTTGATAGAGGACGCCCAAAAATATTCAAATTACGACTACAACACAAATAAAATAACGAAAAATACAAATCGAATTTGACAGAACCAAATATTGATTCAGCATCAGAATGGAGTCCGGATTCATTCATTAAAGTTTATTACGAAAAATACCGAACATCCTGTATACTTTGGATAACAGAATTAAAAATAATATTCGAAATACATATTTAAAGTTCTTTAAAGTAAAAAAAATCTCCACAAATAAAATTATTTTCCCTATAGAAAGACTCTAGTTGTGGACCAAATATTTTAAACTTAATTTACTGAATTTAAAACCACCCGGAGCGAATAAAAGCAGCAACGTTGCTTTAAAGTAAGGAAAATATCCCTCTATATGCTCTCCGGGCCCTCTATTCTTGTAATGTCGGGAAAGGAAGCTTTCCCGGGAACGTACCCAGGGAAGCTAGTTCACTTTTACACAATGCACAGTGTTACTTGTGTGTTATGCAAATGTCAATTTGAATGTATATCCTTTGAATGGTTTGAATGGAATTACTGTTTAGGCCGATAATCGTATTGGCACAGTAACATACTATGTCCACTATTTCACCGCACAAATTTTCCGAGACAAATTTTATTTGAGCTAGCACATTTATCATTATTTCATACATTCATTTTCATGACATTATTAAAATATTCTGCATCCATGTTGTCTTTTAATCCAATTGTATAAAACCACACACAGAACCAATAAACAAAATTTCAACTTTCGAGATCAGAATCTTAGCAGCAGTTCGTTTTCTCTGGTCACTTTCAAGAATACGACTTTGCCGTTTTAAAGTGAACCACGTCCATTTCCCGAGTACCCAAGTTCGGTTCCCCAAAATTCAAGAATAGGGGGCTAGGTTCACAGTAAGTCACTCATTATAAAAAAAATTCACTGATTTGTTTGTTTCAAATAGTTTTGATGAAATCCATTATTTCGCATTTTGGGTGTATAACAGTGTATTTGATAAATTGGAATCGCGTTCTTTTTTTTTGCATCATTTAATATTTTTTAATGCCTATTTTGACTGTGATAAATATACGCCCTAATTGAAACCGTTTTGTATTTCAAATATATACGCTATTAGAGATATTTTTATTTTTTATTTCGATAGAGCGCGATTAAAGCCCTACCCAAACGGTACCCACTAGGTTTGTTTCGAACTATTTAATATTTAATAAAACAAGAGACAGAGAAGTAAATATAGGAGATATCAGGTGAGCTTACTTACTGGGCTTATAAAAATTTACTTGAAGTTGGTAAGTATAAATGACCTTTTTTTTTAATATAGCATAAATGGATTCAGCAACATTAGCAATGCTTCTAGTCTCTAAAATTTTTACAAACTCACAACACACAGAGTTTAATAAAATGTTGCTTTTGACATTTTCTTCTTGAATCGCTTGTAATATGTTCCCTAGCCAAGTTAGTATTTAAAAAGTAAACATGAAAACTGTATTCGCGAATCTTGCGAATCTATCTATAAAAAAAGTGCTCAAAAAATATGCTTATTGTATGCTAGATAGTGAATATTTGTCTATACTTAAATAATGTGCCACATTTTCAGTGTTATTAAACACCACATTATTGCCGTTGATCACAAATGTTGCTGTGAATTTCAAATCTGCCATTACTGTTTCCATTTTGTATATAAGTACGGTATAAGTACCGGACGTTGCTTTTCTAACGGTCATTCATAGAACCTGTTTAATACAGAGCGCCCTTCCTCTTCCCTTCCACGCCTTTATAGACATGCTCAACCGGATCTTAAGCTTTTTGAATGTCCATAAAGCAGAAGAGCACGGATTTATTATACTGCTGCTCGGCTATAGTTGTTTTACAACAAATATAGCATCAGTGCCAAATCAGCCATGTCTATAGTCTTGTTGTTTATCTTCAATATTCATCATTATCGGTGAGTTAGTTTGCTAGTCGTGGTAAGTTTTAGATAAGTATTGATTAAGTTAATACCTTTATAGTTTTCGGGGTTTCCCTCTTATATCTTACGAGAGATGAATATTTCTTTTATCAATATGGTAATTTCGTCCCAAAAGTGCGTCAGAGGCTAAATTTTGCAAAAATTTACGCTCCCAAACGCGTGACTAAAGTAGAAAAATATTGCAAAATTAGTTATAATAATTTAAAGTACTTACTCACCTTAAGACGTCTGCTTAGTTACCCATGGTCGTGAGTCGCTTCTTAAATTTCCGGTATTTTAGTCACAGGTTTGTTTTCGATACATTTTAGTCATTTGCTGTTCGTTAATTTTGATCACGTCAATCAGTGAATATGTTGGCGATGTAATATACTATGCAACACATTAATAAACTTCTTCAGCCACTCGTGTGAATAAAATGGCGTTTTTATGAAACTTGTTGCTTAATTATTTGGTTATCTTTTTATCCTGGAGCAAAGGACACGTGAATGTTATTAACTACTAAGGTTTGATTGTGGATTATTTTAATTTTAGAAAATTGACATAATTCTTATTGTCGTATATAGGTAATTTTCGAAGTAGTTGGGGTAGCCTTTTCTTCACTTTTCTTGGGATGGAAACCATGACTGACACGCATCATTTGCTATTTCGCACATTGCCGACAGAGCCTTACTCGCCGCTTCATATTCTGAAATTTCAACTGCGATCAATTCGCGTTTAATTTTCAGTAGCGAATAAAATTGCAGTTAACTGAAATTATTTTTTTATAATTGAAAATATGAAATTACCAACTTTTTTTATGATGTATTATTTTTACGACTTAGTTATATATTTTATGTTCGAAAAAATTATGCTGACTAAACTAACTAAATATTGGAACAAATTGTTTTTTTAGCAAATTAACATTTGCGTGTAACGTCGCCTTTAACTCGGATGGCAGATTGATGAATTCTATTAAGCATTCTAGATCTTCAAAGAATTCAGAATCAGACTAATCCTATATTTCTTGCAATTTAGCACGTAGTTGTGGTAAAGTATGCTGACGATCATGTCTTGGGCGGTGTCTTTACTCGTATAAGTAAAAAAAAAGAGAATTTATATCGTAAAGAAGTGCCTATTAAACATCTTATAACAAGGCATTTCACGCATTGTTTTCCTTTTATGGTACTTTCTCGCACTTTTCCGGGTTTTCCGCGCACTATTATTGTATTTTACTAATAATAAAACTGACGGTTATACTCAAATTAGGCGTAGTAATTCTTGTTGATGACATACTAATTGCTCGTATGTTTCAGGCTGACAAAACTAAAGAAATGTGAGGAAAAGCACAACATGTTCCGATATATAGTTGTGAGTATTTTTCGATTATCCAACAATTAATTAAATAGTAATCAACATAAAATATATAAATATAGCTTGTCCAACATATACATGCAAACATATAGATTGTTACGGCTCGTATCTTAATAAAATTTAAATTTATACTCATTTAATATAACGTCTTAGCAGCTGAATATTCTTACCGGTATTCAGTCCAGATCTTTTCCCAAATATTGACCCGTTAAATGGGGGTTTTCTATAAGTGGCTTCAGTTACAGAAAACATGTAGAACAATACGCTGAGGACAATAAGGATTGCAACAAACTGGCTGTTTGCAAACTTCATTTTCTGCAATAAATAACTTTTTATAATATAGTGCATTTTTTAAGGTGGACTTTACTTTCGAATAACATTTCTCAAAAATGCGGAACTGGCGTTAATGAATTGATGATTTTTTCATCACTCTGTTTTTAAAATAGCAACACAGACCACTAAAGTTGTACGAGGAAATCAACCGCAAATATGTTAAGTCCGGAATTATCCCGATTTGAAATGACGTTGAAAAAGATGCAATTGTTATAATAAACAATGATAATTTTAAATGTCTGGTCGGAGAAGTTTAAACATATACAGAATGTTCTACTTAAAATAAGGAAATTCTGGACCACGAAAATACGAACTCTGTATATGTAACAATATAATATTTTAAATGTATCAGTTAATCCAAACAGTCTTTAAATTATTTTAATATTTTTATCAGATACGTACCTTTTGCTATATAAACGCAGCACTTTAACAATAGAACAGAACCTACTGAATTATCCAGGATCAGACGTACGCCTTTTATACACCTGAACGCTGTCCTTTTTGTTTATTGATTTAGAAAGCAATTTCAAATCCATTTGGCGGCTATATGCGCTGCTAATTGAATAACCCTGGTATCCAGACTTGCATTTCCCTGTGGCTTTTGGCGGACGCCCTAATGTCCCACGTGATTTGCGCTGATTTAACACTCTCAGTCAGTAAAAGTAAATTTAAAAGGGTTTCTTGACTTTGAATGTACTCAAATGTACCGAGCGAAGGGTCGGACATATAGAAATTTGCAAAAAAAAAAAAAATAAGTAATTCAGCCAAGCGAAAGTGCTGGAAATCTTCAAGATTTTTAAAACTGTTTCTACAAAAATTTCTAATATAGTTTATGACAAATTTTAATCTTTTTTGTTTAATACTGTTTGCTCTAAAGCAAAGTGGTGGGGTGTTCGGACATTTTCGTTAATAATGTCATAATATAACATACAAAGGCTTAACGCATTTTAATACACATGGAGTCTTTAAAAAATGCTTTTACTGGGCTATCAATCGTGCTATATGTGACACCATTGCTGTTTGCCACCAGGTGGCATTTTCTGATATATTCGCAAAAAAATATATTTTTTGCAAAAATAATAAATGCAACGGTATGACTTCACCGTGGACAGATAGTCAAATGAGGTCCCATCAGGCCAGTGAAAACCGCTTGTCAATATCTTTATCCTAACCTGAAATATGAAGAATAAAAGAATTTAAAAGTAAAAAGAGTGAAGCATTTCGACTTTACCGGTTATTATTATTGCACAATTTTCCCGAATTTACTAAACCAAGCGCTTATTACTTAGGATGCCATTAATAAAATTTTGTTATTTATCTTTATAAAATAAGTACACATAATTACTCAGTAGCTGACATTACTACGTTTCGATACCCTTTCCCATTTTCAGTTAATTTATTATTATCACTTAAACATTATCACTTCTTTATTTTTTTTTTCGTGTATATTGCAAAAATTACTTTAACTTCGTAAGTAAAAACGTCTTTGTAGGAAGCTACGCAAAATTTGTATTTTACGTGGTACCAATAGAGCAGAGAGTATTCTAAAGAATTATGAGTATAAGTTTGATTACAACGTTTTAGGGTTTCCTTTTGTGAGTATGAATATGAAACACAAATGATTTTTTTGTATGTTTGTATGTTTTGTGTTCATTTGATAGAACTTAATATAAATATATAACTGCTATCATTCCAAACCAGATATCTCACTTTTTTACATAAAATGCAAAACAAACTCATTTACAGTATGATTTTAATTTTTTATATATCGAATCGTTCAAGATTTGCGTTTAAATATTCATAGAATTATATACTTATATTATGTACGTAGTTATTCAACTTTACCTTTTTTATTTAACGTTTGGGAAAAAAACGTCAAATACAAAAGTCGTTCAAAAAACAGTAAGCTATTTGCGAGATATATTTTTATATGTGCATAATAATAAAATTAAAAATATAAAAAATATATAAGTATAAAAAAATATAAAAATAAAATTGATAAAATCCCCCAAAAATTCTGCACATCTCTTGCATATGTCCTATACCCAAATCCGATAGTTCTTGTTGTTGCTTTTAACACAAAAGCAATATTCAAAAGTAAAATAATATTCTAGAATTTATAATTAATATCTTAAGTGCCTGTGAAATAGTTCGTCAGGAGAAAAAAAATGTTTCTTTATAATTGACTGCAACAGTTCTTTTATCATATATAAAGTGCCTTTTTTGCAAAGAGAAAAACAATGAATTTTGGAAACTTTTATTAAACCAAATAAGAGGGCTAAATTGGCTCAAAGGGAACTAGGTGTAATTAAACCCCGAATGCACATTTCAAACAAACTTTCATCGAATTTATGATAAATTCCAACAAACATTCAGCATAGCCTAGAGAAGCGAACATTTCGTCTACTATTATATCCTATTACCTGTGTCATATACCTAAATTCAATAGTTTTCGAAATGTTTGTTAACTTAAACGTAATATTAATAGTGTATTATGCAACAAGTACGGTAAACGTCATTTGAGTCACGAGTTTATTTGGCACGAGCGGAGCGAGTGTTTAAGAAACGAGTGATACTAAAAAGTTTACCAAACTTGTTGCATACTATACTTTTTCTACGACCGTTAGTTTTTAGCTACACTTTTACAAAACTAGACGAATACATTCATGACCATCAGAATTGACAAACGTCAAAATTCAAGCCCTGCGGTAATATCCCGGAAATGTCCGAAGGGGTTACGCTCGTGTCAAATAAACTCGTGGGTCGAATGCCGTTTACCGCACTATCGGATTTGGGTATACGACATATACAAGAAATATGCAGAATTTTTAGGGGATTTTATTAAGCTTATAATATATATATATATATATATATATATATATATATATATATATATATATATATATATATATATATATATATATATATATATATATATATATATATATATATATATATATATATATATATATATATATATATATATATATATATATATATATATATATATATATATATATATATATATATATATATATATATATATATATATATATATATATATATATATATATATATATATATATATATATAAATATATAACTTTTATCTGTGGGTGATTTCTGCAACAGCCTGTATATGTAAATATATATCTAGCATATTTTTAGAACAACTTTTGTATTTGACGTTTTTTTTTTTTCGAAAAAATGAACTGTAATTTTCAGATTTCATTTAGAAAATAAAGTTTTTCTACTCCCGTCTGTAAAATACCTAATTACCCATCGATCTAGCGTGCGGGAAGCGTCACTTTACCACGTCAGTTTCGTTTCCCTTGAATCCGAGCCACTTCGGACATTTTCGGGTTTTTACCGTACGGATTTGGGAGCAATCGGATGTTTTCGGAGATATTTTCCATGCTTTGAATTTTGACGTTTGTCAATTCTGACTGTCATGTCAGTGAATATATTCGTGTTGTTTTGCGAAAATGTAACCAAAAACTAACTCGTTTATTAAAAACTCGCTCCGCTCGTGTCAAATAAACTCGTGAGTCAAATGACGTTTACCGCACTTGTTGCATAATATACTATTTTAAAAAGCCATCTTGTCGTCGCCTGAACATAATTGGTGCAGTAGGATTGCGAGCTCGGTAATTGAAAAACGAAAAGTTTACAATTTGTGTATGTATGTCGCAGAGGAAACTCGTACATGCGATTTTTCCTTTCTCCCCTCTAAGATCCGCTGTTTCACAGAAACACATTTGCAATCCCTTTTAATAGTAAATTGTAAATCAGAAACACCTGTGAATATTTAAATGCATTCAGTAGTGACCAAAAATCTGAAATCAGTGTATTTTTTAAAAATCTAACTTTAGAGAATAAAAAATGTCAGGAAAAATGATAGAAGAATTATATTGGAATTTGTTCAAAACATTCAACTCTGTGATAGCATAAATGAGTTTATCAACAGATGCGAAAGCTTAATTAATGGTTACGCTTTCCTTGCAAGTGTGGAATTAAATGAACACATTTTCGAGTGTATTGAAGAAAAACTGGCAGGCCGCAGTCTTAGTAGTCTTGTCTGGAACATATTTTTCTTATAACGGTCAAATTTTTGAACAAACGTCGGGAACAGCTATGCGTTCTCCACTATCCAAAATTATGGAAACGCTACGTCGATGATACTTTTGTTATTTGGCCTTATGGTCAAGAATCCCTAGTGGATTTTCTTAGGCATTTAAACTCTATACACCCCAACATGCGTTTTACCATTACGTTGGAAACTAATAATAAACTCCCATTCTTAGCTATTCTCATCAATAGAAAATTATTGTGTTTACAGAAAACCTATCGGTTATCAACTCTTGTTTACAGAGCCCAAAAATTGTCTCACCCCGAGTCAGAATTACCTCTGCTCTTCTCTCTAATAATTTCCATTAAATATATTAGGCGTTTCATCACAAAATACAGTTCACCATAACCTTCCATTAGCAATGAGGTCAAAAGCAATCCTACACTTATCACTATGGTCCTTCCTTACATTCAAAACATCACTGACCACATATCAAAAGTTCTAAAGAAATATAACGTCAAAAACCAGATTTACCACTTGTTCAAAAATCTCTCAACATCTTCGTCAAAGACAAAATTCCATTTGAGAGGCCAGCAGTTTGCAGCATTCCATGCATATGCGGCAGAGAATACATTGGAGAGACCGGACGAATAATATCAACTAGGCTCAACGAACATTAAAGAGCCTTAAGACTAAGACAAATAAAATAAACTCATCAGCAGTTGCCGAACACAATCACGAAACCGAACATACAATTTTATTCGATCAAACTAAAATTCTTGCATGTAATCAATTCTTCTACCAACGAAAAATCCGAGAGTCTATAGAAATCTATAAATAACCTAACAATCTTAACCGCGACTCAGGTCTTTACCTATCACCAATATGGGAATCAGTCGTCCGAGACGGTGTTTATGCCCCTCATTTAGCTCCGCCCCCTCAAACAATATGTACGCAAGTACAGAATAGAAGGCGAGCCAGTTTCAGTCAAGCTCTGAAGAAGCCAACAGGATGATTGGCGAAACATTAGCAAGTTCGACTCAGCAAAAACCTAGACAGGAGGAATCCAGAAGTTTTGTAAAAAGTACGATGAACACCTTGCTACAACCAATTCCCATAGAATCGTTTATATAGGAAGAATTCTAAATATATTTTTTTGAAACCATCAAAAAATTCGATAAAAGTAAATATTTTCAAAAATCTCCCTCAAATTCGATATAACTCTGAACTCTGGAGAGCAGCGAACAATCTAATTTAGTGATTATATTTACATCCAAAGTTTGATACGAAATGAAAACTACGGACAAACTCTCGGTACATACAAAATCATATCCCTACCTTTACGCCCATAAAGGCGAGGTTAGGAAACAAATAAATGAAACGTTAGAAAAAGATATCATTTGCTCTTCAACGGGCCCTTGCCGCTCTCCAATTTGAATCCTTCCAAAAAAATCAATGCTTCAAATATACAAAAGTGATGCATAATAATCGATTATCGTAAATTCAATCTTAAAACAATTGATGATCGATACCCTATTCCAAATATTTCTGATTACTCGACAAGTTAGGACGATCTTTCGACTTTGGACCTCCCGAGCGGATTACACCAGATTGAAATGGCACAAAATTCGATAAAAAAAAAACTACGTGTTCTGTGAAACGCGGACGTTATGAATATCTACCGATGTCATTGAAATTGAAGAATGCGGAGAGCACTTTTCAACGTGTTACAAAGTTCTTAAAGATCTTCAGAATTAAATTTGTATGGTTCATATGGACAATATAATTATTTTTAGTACGTTTTTGCCAAGAACATATTCCTTGCATTTTCAAAATAAGGCGATGCAAAATTGAAAATCCAATGGGTAGTAATATATGAAGGCATCAAAGCAAACCCTAAAAAAGTCCAGGCCATTAAAAAATTCACGATACCGAGTACATAAAAAGAAATTAAACAAGTCTTAGAGTTGCTCGGTCAATACCAAAAATTCATTAGAAGTTTCGCGAAAAGTACAAAACCGTTAATTCAATGTCGCTGGCGCCCCAAACTTGAATAATTTTATTGCAATCTAAAATATCAAAAAAGAAAACAGAATCAAGCCGTTGCGCGAAACCCTGTAGGTAGTAGTAAAAGCATGGACCAAATTTTTGCAAAACGCCGACGAATTACCCGAATTAAATTCGAACTAATAAGAATCAATTTTAGGCAACAATTCCCAAAACAAAATAAATGCTTTGTCAGATATTATTCTGCGACCCGCTCAAATTTCTCAAAATCGGCCTTTATTATAAAAATCAACTAATTGTACCAAAAAGAGACATTAATCGACTCCAATTCCAAATTACAAATATTTTCAATAATACTAGAATTTTGGTAAAACTTGATCCTGTCACATAATTAAATTCTTAAAGCAATTTATAGGCCCCAAAAATCTTTACGCACTTTATTTTACATCAAAAGGATAAATTAAAAAGCATCCTAGGAGCATTGACGTTGGCAACTCTGGGTCCTCGGCTGATAAATAGCGAAGATGTAAAATTAATTTTCTTAAAAAATACTCTTTTTCCTATATATAAAGCCTTTCTAATTTAATTTTTACTAAACACACATTCCTTCATTTTGTGGACTTAAGTAATGCATGACCAATTAATTAACATACAAATCCATTTTCATATGATTATGAAACAAATTTCAAAGGATACCCAAACAACCCGTCTTATCATGGTTTTGCCGAAAGCTTATTATTAAGAACCGATTATTTAATGAATTTAGCACGAAATTAATTAAAGAACTTTCAGCCTCGTTATAAATCACAAAGATTATTGGTTAATGTAGTAGGTAAAGTACAGAAATAGCTTTTCGGCATTCTTGACTCGAATGATGCAAAATTTTATAACGATGCCTTGGGAAAAATCAGAAAAATGTATTGAAAACTTTTTGAAAATTTTAATTTAACGATTTCAACACTATTTCTCAATCAAAACTTAAGGATTCGTATATTAAAAAAATTTGTTGATAATACAATTAATAATCTGTGGTATATAACCTTTCAAAGTATTTCATCCCAAATTATACTGGACTGCTAAAGCCAGATAAGTTTCTTTGCGCTTACTAATGATCGATTACTTAAAATTAATATCTGACGTAAATGAAGTACCAAAATTTAATAATACGTTATCTTATTACCAATGTTTGGGTGCTCAAGGAACGTTTATAGATAGTAAAATAATTTTTGCTAATCAGGTTCCTATTTTAAGGTTTAAACATTTTTATTTCCATCACATGTTTCGTTTTATCCAAAATAATACGATAATTATGCCAAAATATAAATTTAATTGCTTGAAAATCTGCCTCTAAATAACTGTCGAAGTCATCAAATCGAATTACCACAACCTCTTGCAGAGCAAGTAACGCAACAAAGAGTATATGTTTTACCCTTTGAAAATACGTTGGAATTCCAAAAACTTGCATTACCTTGGGAAGAAAAGTTACTTCAACGGTGCTAAAATTATGAAAGGAAAGGCTTTGCTGTTATACGTGGGCCAGAAATATAGTGCTTTTACAACCGAACTCGTCATTAACTTTGCCTACTGTTTATTGCTCCGAAACCACAGCCCCTTATAGAACACCCTGCCTAGCAGACCTTTACCCGTAACCATTTGAGGAACGTCCTAGAACTTTATCTACCTACACTATCAAGCGGGATATAAATATGTTTTCAATTTGTTTCGCCGTGCAATTCCTGAAACGTGCATAAAAAAAATAGTATAAAGTAACAATTTATTACGTTCTATGTCACATGTTTTTATTGCTGCTCCTACTTCCCCTTGAGTGTGCAGCACACCGATGCATGAAGGAAAATTGAGAATACCAAGGTTGTGACGAGTCTCTTCTTTGTAGACAGGGCTATATCTCGACTCTTAGAGATCCTGCTCAACATAGCCATGGCTTTTTTGGCAACCGCTGACCGCTTTTTAATTTCGCCGTGGACCCCCCCTGAATTCGTTATGAAAGAGTCAAGATACACGAACTCTATCTATTATTTCTTGATTGATCGATAATCATTATCTTTGTCTTTAATCTGTTAATGGTCAGTCCTGCCTCGCGGCTAGCCGTCTCGACTCGCTGCAACAGTTCTATTAGTTCTTGCTGGTTGCTGGCAAATAAAGTAGTATCGCCAGCATACCTAAGATTATTAATCGTCCTACCACCCACAGAGATACCTCCTTCCCAACTTTCTGTGGCTTTACGAATTATACACTCGCCATAGATGTTAAACAAAAGTGGACTCACAACACAGCCCTGCCTTACCCTGCCTTACTCCCTTGCCAACGCGGAAGCATTCGGTCAATTCCCCACTGACTTTGAATAGTCTTAAGAATCAATGGTCTATATAGTACTAAAAAAGACTGTTGTTGTTTACAAGTTGAAGAACTATGTAGAAAACACAAAATTACAAGAAGCAAAATGTTAATCGACAGGCACACAAGACAAAAATGATTATTTTTAAACTTACCTGTAAGATAAATAGAGTATAGGTACTTTGAACTGTCCAGTAAAATCAGCCTCGCATGGTCAAAGCTCGAGAATCATGTACATAAATACATACTGGAAGAATCACAGTCAAATATCTCCGTAATATATACGAACATATTACAATTTAGATTAAACTCTTAAGAACGATACATATCACATGATGTTAAAATAAACGCTTCTACTTATTCAAAAATACCCCGCAGCATCAATGCTTAATCAAATTTAAAACAGTCCAATTACGTTTCAAATAAAAATTTCACGTTTCTACAAATATTCGTTATGGTCCATCGTAGGCAAGACAAACTTAATGAAGAATAATTATCTTTTGGAATGGGGTTTACCACGGTCCTGCGAAGGTCTGCGGTTAAGGTCTTGTTGTAATTTTACTTAAAATGCCAAAGCAATAAACGCACTATATTTTTGGTCGTACAATCCCTGTAGTCTGCATTAAAGAATTGAAACCAATGATGCAATTGTGAAACCATTGGTGAACATCGGTCAAATTAACCTGCAAAGTCTATATAATTAAGGGATACAGCAAATCAACTACAACCGATTGAAGAAATTGGCCTGCCTAGACCTACGAGTTTAATATCTAATATTATTATTATATTCTTTCTAGGGATCGCTGAAGCCCTAATCCATCCAAACTATTCTATCGACCTGATAAATCAGATCAATCGGAGCAAACTCATTATGTTTACTTCTTAAGGAGGAAGAAGTTATGTACAATGATTTCTATGATGACACCAATGAGATTGAGATCCGTGATGTCAGTATTTCGCTACGACGGTACTAAGAAGAGACCGTGAAATCTATAATGTCAACGTTTTCATCCGAATGTTGCTGTTGCTGGAGGAACTGTAATTTTCAAATTGCATTTTGAAAATAAAGTTTTTAAAAAGCCATGTCGTCGTCCAAAATTTTTTCGTATTTTTCGTGACCTTTTTGCTAAAACAACAGTGAGAAAATCTAAAGTAGTAATAATTTCCACAGCCACCTTATATAGAGATTTTTCTTTGTTATTTTGATGCTTGTTTTTATCGAAAACATTTTTGGAAATAAAAAAGTTCTATTGGATGGATGGAAAATATACAGGGTATTACATTTAAAAAAGTTATTGGTGCTTTTCTTACTTTTACGATTTGTTTACTTTGACAAACACAAAAAGAAGAGAGCTGAATCTCTAAAACTTTTGTTTTCAAACTTCTATTCTCCCTCTTATAATAATCTTATAAATAATAAACAGAACTTTTTTAACGTTTAACGGCCAGCTCTGTCATGAATGTCCAGACCCAAAGTCGTATCAACCGGTCAACCTGACTTCGTTTCTGCTGATCAGCGTAAAGAAAATATTGAAATACGTCTACTAATACGCGTACCGAGCAGGTAAATCAAATTAAATACTCTGGTCAACAAAACACATTGTGAAACACTGTTATATCGGATTTCTCACCCTAGCCATTCGTTAAAGTTTTTGGGGTTAGGAAAAACTTCATTCAAGATTTCTTTTCAGTTAAAAATATTTTCCTTATTTTAAATAGAACACCCTGTATATTATCTTATTTTTGGATTTCTGAGGAAAGTTTATTACGAGTTTAAAGGGTCCTACCTATTTTCCACTATGCCTCAGATATGTTGATTTTTTGGGAAATTTTTACAGACTTACCCATATTTTTAACAGTTTGCCTTTTATTCGTTTTCAAAAAAAATTATTTTTTAAGATGCAGAATTTAATTTTTGCATCGATTGGCTATGTTGACTGTACCTATTTTCAACGGTTTTTTGTTAATCCGTATTTTCTATTTTAATGTGATTTTTGGCAGAAACCTCTATCGTTATGTTTTATAAAGCAAAAAATAAATGTTAAAGCAAAGAAATAAATAATATACAAGTAAAGATAATAAATACAGCCATTTTTCGCCCACGCAATTTAGCAAAAAAAAGCAAAACTGAAGATTTACAATACATACATATGTACATATAAAATAGTCATCCCGGTGGTCCTGGAACAATAAGGTCAACAAAGTTCTAAGGAAAATATGTGAATACATACAAGATCCAGGAACAACTCAGTGGAGGAAACGGTGTTGAAATAAGGGAAATGATTAAACAGTCATGGAGGCTTGCATGGACAGGTCACGTAGTCAGCTCGAAAAATAGCGATATGGAGATCATTTACAGTGGCAAACCAATCGCAAGAAAGTCATCAGGACAGCCTAGACAAAAATGGAAAGATGATGTAGAAAGAGACGATAATGTGTTGGATATACGAAATTGGGAAGAAGTAGCAAGACTAGATGGAGGGCGATGGTGGAGGAGGCTAAATCGCTTAGTGTTGTTCGGCTACGTTAAGTAAGTTTATTGAACTTACTCACGTCTAAATAATTTCCAAAAAAAAACTGTTGAAAATAAGTTTCAAACTCATATAGCTGTTAGACATATAGACGCCCTGCCTGCACTAGTAGTACAAATCTCGTTTTTTAGAAAATTAGCAAATTTAGTTAGTAGGCGGCCATAATAGGTAACCTATATTTTATAAATGTTTAGGCGCTGCCATGTCTATTCAAAATAAACAGTAACTTTGGAATTTCGAATCGATACCATACATTTCTTTAAGCAAACAAAAAAATGGATTAATATTTACTTCAGCAGGTGTAAACCGGATGAATCGTTTTACTTAATAGGTAATATTGTCCACCTAGCTTAATTTTATAGCGCAAGTAAGCTAGTCCTGGCCGTTTATTTTCAAAAAGTTTATATTATTAAATGAAGGAAAAAATGCACATTCTTGGGAGTCCATGCATTGTCTAATAATATTTTTTTTCTCAAAACCTAAAGAAAATAGGTAGGGATAGAATGGTTTAACTCCTTCCTTCCTAATTTTATCGTAAGACCTATAAATCAACTCAAGGTAATGGACCCTACCCCCAGCATGTGGTACATACATAAAATTGGTGTCTTTAGTTTTATAACAATTAAAATAAAAAATTAACACTATTTATAAATTACTTGTTTATTTTTGCATTTATACCATCCTAACAAAGTTTACTAATAAAAATTAACCTTCTATGGCTATCAAATTCTACCATAGGAAAAGATAACGAGAACCATACTTTGCTGGTGGTTTTTCTATATCCTTTGGCAGAGCAGGTGTAGCATCCTCATACACAGTAGGGCCTTCAACTTTCGGTTTTGGACGATCTGTTTTATGCACATGCACTCTAGCATAATAATCATAGGGAGGTCTGTCAATACCTAATTGATCTTTCACACATTTATCAAATACCGCCTGGGTCTTCCGACAACTGAAAGAAAACAAATTACATAAATTTAATTAACTACATAATGTTACTTACGGAACGAAATGCTGATTTGGACTGGATTTATCCAAGCAGTTTACATATTGCATAAATTCTGCAGCACAGGTTTTTTTGACTTGCCTAAAAAAGTTTAAAGCGCAACTTGTAACCGCCTTTCCTTCTTTTATACATGCTCTGGCATCATTTAGTTCGTTTCGGCAAAGAACAAATTCCTAAAAAATAGTTTTTATCAAAGCAGATTAGGTAATAATTAACCTCACATTATTCTCAAACTCGCAAGCTTTGCCAAGATGAAACGCCCCTGCCCTGAGGGCAGGACCAGATAAATTAATTTCCTGTACAGTAAGTTCTTCTTCAGTAGGCAGCGTAATTTCGTCCGTCACAGTCATTTCTTATTACAAAATTATTTTTTAACACAGAAATTTTAGCCAAAAATACATCAAGGTTTACGAACCTTACTTATGATCCTTGGCCATAGATAAAGTTCTTGTTAATACTTACTTCAACTTAACCAGCTTGGTCATCTTGAACAACACTTCGCTCTACAAAAACATATTTTGATTGTGTTTGTTTTCTCCAATCCCAAACGCCAACATAAAATATTTTAAACTTAAAACTACTAACTTATTTAAGGAGGCTTAACTTTTTTTTTTGTCTTGGTGAGTATAAGATAGAGGGGAAGATCGCGTATACTGTTACGAATGCCATATATTATCTGTGTCCAAGTACTAAAGTACTGTCATGACGGTTTAAAGTAATTCGTCACACAAAAATACTATAGTAGCTTGTAACGGAAACAGCACTTTTTTTATATTTTAATAAAAAAAAATTAAAAGTATTTTGACATAATTTTTTTTTCACATTTTATCTTTCAAACTTCCCGCGTGTTTTCCGTTTTCTTAACTGGACACAATCACTAGAGGCTTTTACGCTTTTTAACATTGTCACTAACGGGAGCCTTCCCCTCTATCTTATACTCTTTGATGCTAACCTAGAGTGGCAGAAGCAAAATAGTTTATGCATCGGCGATTTATTTTCGCTCTTAAAATTTGATAAATGCTACTTTAGTCACGAATTTCTTTTGACGGGAGCGAATCGATATAATAAGATAAGAATAAGATCGCTCCCAACCCGTAAGTACCGGAAATTCGATTGGCAACAGTTTTTAATGAAGTTGACGTTTCTAACTGGGTATTTTTGGAGCAGAGAGTAGGAAAAATCAATATTCTTTGCGATGATTGACCGCCATGATAATTTGACAGATAAGTCACTATACTGCGGCACTTTGAATAAGTTGCCCATCCTGGAATTAACCTCAAATTCTTTCATAATCTGGGTTTTGGGCAAAGAAGGTATATTTTAGATTGTTTTAAAGATTTTATGGGATTTAAAAATGAAAAATACTCACAGGACAATTTTTTTTTGTTGGTCTGTTGTCGAATAACCTGCATTTTGGTTTTCGATGATAAAATTTCATCGAGATAAAATTGGAATTCCTTTTACGCATTGTTTATGTGTACATAGGGTTGACAAATTTAATGGCTAGCAATACATGGTAACTACTAATTCTTGTGTTGCATTTGGGTTTTATTTTACAGATGTCCAAAATAATAAAAGCTGGAGGCGCTGAGCCCGATGCGTTTGAAACGCAAGTAGCTCAAGCATTGCTTGAGCTGGAAATGAACTCTGATCTAAAGGCCCAGCTCAGGGAATTAAATATTACTAAAGCAAGGGAAGTCGAATTAAACAACAAAAAAGTGAGTAAGATGTTAGAATGTGGTCAATAGATTTATTGCTTTTAAAGATATAATGAAGTTAATATTACTGCTTTTTAGTCCATCATTATTTACGTGCCGATGCCAAAGCTGAAGCAATTCCAAAAAATACAGACTAGACTGGTGCGAGAATTGGAGAAAAAATTCAGTGGCAAGCATGTGGTGTTTGTTGGCGAGCGTAAAATTCTGCCAAAGCCAACCCGTAAAACCCGCATGAAGAACAAACAGAAACGTCCAAGGTCTCGTACGTTGACAGCAGTTTATGATGATATTTTGGAGGATTTGGTTTACCCAGCCGAAATTGTTGGTAAAAGGATCCGGATAAAACTAGATGGGTCTCAGCTGATCAAGGTTCACCTTGACAAGAATCAGCAAACTACTATAGAACATAAGGTAATTTTTCTTTCCTTGTTGCTGCTTATTGTATTATGGTTTTATTTTAATTTTTAGGTGGATACCTTTGCATCTGTTTACAAGAAGTTGACGGGAAGGGAAGTGACTTTTGAATTTCCAGAACCCTATCTGTAATTTAAAAATTTGTTAATAAAATAATATCAAGGATTGACTTTTTTTCAATAACCTATGAAATTATGAGGGAATGTGGATATAGTTCCAAATGCCACTAGAGGATACTTTGTTTTATTTTTCTCTATTTAGGAACTTAACTTCAAAAAAAATAATTTGACTTTCTTAAAACCATGTTATGTGACTCTAGTAGTGCCTACAGGTTTATATTGTATTAAGATACAGCCCCTAACTTAGTCGCTGGCATTTGTTCCATCTAGTGTCCTGTAGCCTGGTTGTCATTGTAAATAGGTTTTAATTGATAATTTTGTCAGTTAAATGATTAAAAGTAGATCTAATCATTCTTAGTTTAAAGTTTTAATATTTAAAAAAAAATGTTTTCCACAATATGTTCACTTTTTTTGACAAATTTTGTTGAAATTAGTCCACTTCAATTGCAATTATAAAAAGCTTCATTCTAATCCAATTTAAATAATGTTAAATGAGTTCTTTTCACTTTTAAGTGCCTCAAAAATGGTGGTCGGTGCTAAAACCAGGAAAAAGTTTAGGTGTTGTGTGTACGAAACTGAATGACAGTAATTATAACAACATAATTTGTATGTGTCATTAGCTAAAAGTAGCCAAAGTTCCAACACAAATTGCAAGAAATCGAAAGTGTAAAACAAATTTTTTTATTATCGTAAAGCACTAATACATTTTTATAAATCTATAGGACACATTAGAAGAAACCTTAAAGCGGCGCTTTGTACACTAATTTGAACCAGTAGCCACATTCACACCTTTTAGGCTCTCCTTTGTGCAGCCACATCCAGTTTACGCTAGTGGCATCTTCCTCGCACACGCAACCTACTATGCGAGAGTCGAATGCTGAAGGGATTTCGGTGGGCTGATCCTTGGTGCCTGGGCCCCTCTGGATAGCTTTCATGTTGTAGGGATCATCGTTTCCGGCCAACTGCGCTAGTAGTTCGCGTTTTTCCAAACCTGTCGCGTGTTCGACTGGGTCGCCAAGAGTTACTAAAATAAATGCTTAGGTTAGAAAAGCCTCTGCCCAATTATCGTCTTTCGGGATCTAAACTCAAAATACCCAAATTACGTAATGATTAAATCCTGTTGGACATGGGTAACCTATAGGAATGGGAAAATATTCATTACCTTTAGTTCTGAGACGAAAACTCGTGGTATAAATTTGTCTTCGCGCAGCGGAAAATACAGCTCGCTGGCAAATAGAAGCCATTTTGAGACAAATTAAACAAAACCGAAACGGGCTGTTTTTGACAACAGTTAACTGAGAATTTAATCGATTGGTAGCGTTCGCTTACTGCCATGATTGCCAACTTAACAATATCAAGATTTGAGCTAGGCTATTGGGCCATATTTTGGGCAAGTCACCATTACGAATTACTTGAAACAAAATTCGTAAATTAAGCAATAAAAAATGAATCTGTTTTAAGAGATTTCTGTTTCCTATAAAGTAACACAACGTTTAAGCATTACCCAAAGACGGTAAATCAAAGAGAATAAATACATGGGAGATTAATTTCCTAGAGGTTAAGAGATTCACATAGCGCCTCTTGATACTGTTAGTTTGGCTTAAGTGCAAAAAACTTTGCGGCTGAGAGACGTATTAAGCCCTTTCCATGAGTTGTATTAATTCCTTCGGTGTAACAAAGGTAATTTTATCATAGTTAGGGCCCACAAATCATATTTTCAGAATTTGTAATAAGGCTTTTGGGTCTTTGAATACAACTGATCCATTCGTGCTGAAAACTGAAACTACACAAATTACTTAAGTATTTACTAGATTATTTTCGTAAACAGAACAATCAGGAGGGACCTATTTTAGGTACCATTGCAATGGCAACTAGCCATAACTACTCTGATTAAAAATAACATTTCTTTCTTTCTTCAGTGATTATTTTCCCACTGTTTCCTTTCTTCCTTCTCTTTGATTACATCGTTTACAAGAGGGGTAAGGTACAATTTATCATCCTCTAGTTTCGTCCACTGATCTTTAGGTAGAATTCTATGCTCTAGCGATAATTGGGCGGCCCTAATAATCCTATAATTGCGTTCGTCGATAACGTACTCGGGCAGCCGTCTTAGTGCTTCTTTCACTTCTGGAGTTTCAAGCAAGAGGTCGTCTCTCCACAGTCCAACCCTATTAAACCCAGATAGATTGTATATCCACTTTTGTAGTGCACTGGACGACATAAATCTTTTCTGAATCATATTCATAGCCATTAGGATGTTTAAAGTAAAAAATATTCAATTTGTTACGTAAAACTGAATTTCAGATAGATGTTTGACAGAAAACAGTGGGAAACACAGAATACGAAGGTTATTTTGGTAAGTTTTGGTGCAGCTCAGCTAGGCTACTATTAATGTCATTTTTTAAAGTGAGTGAAAAAAATCTTAAAGTAGGTTTACACCCTATATTTAGCCCACTTGTTCATGTGCCCGGTTGCGGCAAGTAAATTAGGCATACTTGTTTAATAACTTACTTATTAACTTAACAAATAAATCAAATTAAACACGTAGATATGTCGGCAGGGCATGGAATCGAATTTGCTTTAATCTGGTGCAACTGGAAACGGCAGATCTGTCCAGAGGCAGAGATCAAACTTCCTTCATTTGAATCCCAGGAAAATATATCACCACATCAATATCAACATAACCTCGTAAGACAAAGGAGGGAATGCAATGAGAAGGTAGATAAAACTTACAATGCCGGTAGATCACAAACGAATTAACGGCCCTGACGAAAGCGTACCGTATCAGTTATATGCCAGGCTAAATACTCGTTCATTAGAGCAAAGGCTAAAAGATGCTTCTAAAGATAATTTTCGCCAAGATTCAAGAAAATTTTCGGAACAGCGTAAGATCTGTAAGTATTGCTTCTTAATTATTTGATATGCATGTAATTGTTGAACACGTGTTATCAGTTTTAAAAACAGGAGTCGTCAGTCAAGCAAAAGGTTCATCATACATTGAACAAGGAATGACAAAATTGATAGTATCAGTATTTGATCCTCGAGAAATTCCCAATAGAACAGAGTATCGATTGAAAGGAGAATTATATTGCGAATTTAAATTTGCGCCATTCAGCTGCCCGAAACGTAGACTGCATCAACAAGATAGTGAAGAGAAAGAGTACAGCTCCATTATGAAAAAAGCATTGGAATCTACAATTTGTTTACATGAATTGCCAAACTTTCAAGTAGATGTTTATGCTTTAGTCCTAAGTAATGATGGCTCTGCTGTAAGCGCAGCAATAACAGCTGCGGGTTTAGCTTTATCAGAAGCAGGAATCCCAATGTATGACATTGTTACCTCAGTTACTTTAGGAATCCAGCATAATATACAGTTTTTGGATCCAACTTGGAATGAAGAAGAATTGTGTAAGGCCCAGATAACATCATCAGAGGAAGATGAAAAAAGTTGTCATGGTTTTGTTATTTTGTCAAAGCTTAACACTCATCAACAGGTGTGTCAGTTTCACCAGACTGGAAATATTGCTGCTGATGATTTGAGTCACATCATTACTGCTTTGTCCAATGCTTGTGATGTTATTGTACCTCTCATTCAAAAATGTTTGGTCAAGTCTGTTGTTAAAGATGTTGAAAGTAATAAAATGGATATATGACTTGCCTATTTATGGTTTTCTAAACGTCATAACATTTCAAGCAATATTAGAATATTACATGGTATAATTTAAAAAGAAGATAAGTTTGTGTTGTAGAATAAGCAGCAACTCTTGATTACTAAAAACTAGAAGTCAACATAATTTTAGAATGGGACACTATCATGTGACCTATTGGAAATGCCTATCGGCCCCTAGCCACTAATCGCTTGAAACAGCGGCCAGTGGTGGTGCGCAATTCTTATGTAATAAAGCACATTCTCTTTAATACCGTTTTTTTTAGGAGCGATATTAGTACAAATTGCCCAGAGACATAATAATAACCAACTACAAAATTCTAAAATTACATGCTCCTGGTCCTTATTAGTGATTTCAATTTTGTTGTTTTGTGGCAATGTTACATCAAGGCGGGTAATATCAATAAATGACTTAAGTCTACATCCTGAACATCCATTGGAACAAACCGAATTCTACATAATCCATAAAAAATTAATGATATGGACGATTAAAATTGAGATTCCGATAATTTGGGCGGCTGAATATACGGATCGAGTGGCATATGCTGAGTCGATCGCGTCGAGTTTTTACCGTATACACGAAGTTAATAGGTACTTATAATTAATTAATATAAAAAAAATCAGATTCATCACTAAAAAACGGAAAATATTCGTTTACACTGACGGACAAATCACTTTGTTTTCCATCCACCTAACTACTTATCTCAAACTCGTTCAAAGTACGTACGATTCTTCATCAATATTCGTTTTCACCTTTGATCGAAAAATCATAGAATAGGCAATAACAATGCCGTTTTCGGACCACTCTTTCAAAATTAGCACAGTAAAGATCGATCAAGTAATGACGTCATCACAAACGATATCTGTATATAAAACGGGAATGCCGCTTTTTTATGGGCGAATGTAAAGTGCAATTACCGCGAATTACGGTAAAAACTGCCCAGTTTGGCAACACAGCCTCGATTGTTTTTAGTCTAAATGGAGGTTAAAGTCCAGAGATCATAGTTTTATTTTTAAGTTTTAATTAGTTCGTTTTTAGTCATTTTGTGTTTTCTTTGCCTTTTTCTTAAAATTTAAGCAAAAAATCCCAAAATAGTAACAAAAAAATGGCCTGTTTCGTAAGAAATTTCACTAGAACCCCTTTTGCCGTTAATTTCCAATCCTGTCAGTTTTCTCGTAAGTGCTCTTTTTAAATCGCCAAATCGGTTTCAAGTTAAATTACGTGCATATGTTTAGATCCACTTCGCACCTTTATGTTAGGGGCGCAGCTGAAAGAGAAGAAAACATTGAAATCTCCAGGTCAGAACATAGTGTTGGTGGACGGGGTACGTACGCCTTTTTTACTTGCTGGAACTGACTATTCCAAGCTAATGCCTCACGATCTCGCCAAAATGGCCTTAAGGTAACTTAAAAATTGTATTTTAATAGAAACAAGGTTTACCGGTTTCTTTTAGGGGTATTCTAACGAAAACTGGAGTTCCACAAGACCTTATCGAATATGTAATTTATGGTACCGTCATCCAAGAAGTGAAAACTTCAAACATAGCTAGAGAGGCAGCTCTTAGTGCTGGCTACAGTGACAAAATTCCAGCCCATACTGTTACTATGGCTTGTATTTCTTCAAATGTAGCCATGACCACAGGTTTGCTTATAAAATATATTTAATCTAGAGCTAGAAAAATCACATCATTTTCCTTTTAAAAATACTAGATAGTGCTCAAGAATTTCAGATTTGTCGGCCAACTATCAGACAACTTCGAAATGAGTTAAAAGTAATATTTCCTGGTAGATGCTTGGTGCAAGCCTGAAAAACCTGGAAACTCATATCATATGTATCGATTATTATTTGCTATTTAACTTAACAATTTTTCTGGCAAAAAAGATGTAAATTGTCATAAAAAAGTTGGATTTTTTTTACCTGGGGAAGTTGTGGAGTTTTTCATAACTTTGTCCTTAGTTCTGTTTTTAAATATTTTGTGATTTTTTGTTATACTCTGGTGAATTTGAAAGAGCTACCATAGATTGATAAATTTCTCATTATACATAAGGTTTATAAAAAAAATCTTTGGAATCTTTATTTAGAAAGTATCTTGAAATCTACTTACAAATTTCAGCCATTGGTTTGATAAATAGTGGAGTCTACGACATGATAGTAGCCGGAGGGGTGGAGTTTATGTCCGATGTGCCCATTCGACACAACAGAAAGATGCGCAGTTTGATGTTGAGGGCAAATAAGGCCAAAACCTTGCAGCAGAAGTTGACGCTGTTAGCATCTATTAGGCCAGATTACTTTGTACCAGAAGTAAGTCTTGTTGGTGGGCAAAAATCTAACATACCCTTGCGTGATGATTCATTTAAAATAAGATTCTTGAAAAATAAAGTTGTGGATCGAATGATAATGATTTTATCAAAACTATGATAAGAGGCAATCAAGTGTACCAAAGTTTCTTTTTAAAAAATGTTTATATGCGCCTATTTATTTAAAAAGGGACGAGATTAGATAACATTTTCTGTAGTATTTAATGTGACTAGTTCATTCAACAAGTATATTCCCATTTTGTACAAAATTTTGTTTTGAAAATTATGTCAATTATATCCCAACCTATAATATCTAATTATTGTCATTCCATTAAAAGATGTGAAATTTTTAAGGAATGGAATTCTTTTTTTTTATTTAAATTTCAAATTTTCAGTTTAATTTGAAAATTGTTTTTTTTTTTAAATATATGTGGTGTCTTCAAAAAGTAAGGCGACTTAAGTTTTATCAACATCCATCAATACACTTGTGCCAAAGTTTTTTTCAATCCTTGAAGCACTGCACTTTGGATTTTCTATGGAGTTATAGTTATAGCATTCTCATAGCTTCAATTTCGATTTTTGACGTGTTTAATTTGTATATTGTTAAATGCAGTCGAAATTGGAGGTTTGCACATTGTTTGTGTGATTGTGTATCATCCTTTTAAACAATAAAGGAAAATAAAAAAATAGATATTTTAAAAATCTTAGAAATAAACTTTACAAAATCACAAAACGTAACAGCCTGTAACTAACCGACCATTTTCGAACTTATTTTCTCATTATAAGCTGAGGGTGTGGGTTGGGTTTTATTATTATTTACTAAAACTGAGAAAGTTTAAATTGTAATAGTTTATTAGTGCCAGTATTCAAATCAGTATTAACACAACAATGTTTACTTAAGTCATAAATCTAAGAAAAATCAATAAAATTTAAGTTTTAATTAAAGTTTACAATACATAAAATGATCATCATTGTTATTAAATGGAAGCTTATTATAAAAGTGACTTACTACGTACTTACACGGTGTTTATAAGATGCTGATCCCTAATAACAACCGCTTCATTTCTTATATACAGGGTGGTAAAAAACGGGATTTTCAGTTTCATTGAAACTACTTTAGATATTTTGTTGGAATTTGGTAGGGGTCATAACATACACTTTTTTTCGACTGAAAATCATTTTTCAACTTTTACCAGAAACATCACTTATCCGCCATCATGTCTTAGTAACAATAAAATTTTTAAAGCAGAAAATAAGGAAAAAAAAAAATTAAAAAATATTTTTTCAATACCACCATATCAGAGATAAAGCTTTTGCGGAATCTTAAAGATCAGTATCTTATTATGAAACAACCTGTATAAACAGAGATGCGTTAGTGACATAGAATTTTGCGCTGTAGCTGCCTGCTGTAGCTGAGTTTTCGTCTGGTGAAACTATGGGTCATTCCGCCGATAGGTTGGCGGCGGCTTTTCGAGTGGGTCGGCAGGAACAGGACGAGTTTGCCATTAGATCGCATTCAATGGCCCAACAGGCTCAAGACAAAGGTTATTTCACTGACCTGATTCCAGTACAGGTTAGTACAAGTAATTATTTTGCGCGGTAAGCGGAGTTTTACAATAATTCTAACTAATGGAATCAATAAAATAACAATAAAATTTAAAATAACAATAAGGATAATTATAACTAAATAAATAATTAATGATCTAGCCTTAGTATGAAACTTATTTCTAGTGCATAATGTGATGGAACACGTGTAGCTCCCTATGTTTACAACAGGTTTCCAGAATTTTCATATGAATCAACTTCCAGGTCCTGACAATTATAATCCTGGCCATTCAGTTTGTATGCAGCATACCTTTAGAACTTGTGTTTGACCTTATTGTAGGGTGATCAAATACAAGACCCATATTCAAAATGAAGGCGAACAAGTGTATAGTAGAGGAGTAATGGATGAAATATTATGAAATTCTCCAGTGCATTTGAAAAAACCCAACATTTGCAAAGCTTCGCAGTCATGAGGTTCTGTTGGGATATGAAAGATAACTGGCTATTCAGTCTGATCTGCGAGCATGATTTCAATAGTCTATTGTTTATGTTGTATCTGTGATCATTTATGGGAATCTGTCTCCTACTGATTTGCAAAGATATTTGAACATCGTTAACATATATGTCAAAGTGAAGTGGTTCAACACTTTTATTTCCCTGGATTGTTTATTATTCACCCTCACAACTTGAAAACAATCCACCATATGTGGTTTTTAGTCACTTGAGAAAACCACCACTGACATCCAGACTCTCACACCTGTACAAAAGTATACTATGGTTGATCCTGTTGATCTGGAATAAATTAAAATTGCTGGTCGATCAAGCTCTCAAACCATATACCAATGCCTCAGCTTTGATGCATTAACCAGGAATACCGCAGCCTTAGCAATTATAATTATATTTTTCAGATCCTAAAAATTATTGGATGAGTAATGTTTCAGAGGTGTAAAAATTTCTATAAATCTATTCAAAAATAATGTGTCCCATACAAATTGTGATAAGAAATTGATATCAAAAATCAGTCATGTTGGTAGGAGGTTTTTCTGCTTTTAGAAGAAAGGATAAGGGCGGATGATGAGCATCAGGCTACAAGAGGATTTCTTCTGCCTGTGTGACACTATTTGGTCCGCATCTTGAGAAAATACAATTACCAAGAATGAATTCCTTGCGTTTACAACTGAGTTTGAGCACATACCCGATAGCACACTCAAATAAACAAATTTTCTATTTAGGATTTTGTTAGTTTTTTTGAGATGTTCTGAGGGGTTATCATTTACATATTATTTAATAATCAGATTGTTTTAGCCTTTTCTTTGTCTATATTTGAATTCGTTTTTTAGATTATTAAGTGCGTGCGTTTTTGACGCGTCAGATCTGTTCCCAAAAATACTTTCTCGTACTTAAGTGTTTTTTGCTTCTTAATACCTTCAAAACATTCCCCGGACTATTCAGAGCGATTCTCAGTGAACTGTAACAATTTTTATTCCTCTTGTTTGTGATATTTTTTTTATTAAATGTTTAGCGGGGCATTTTTGTTGTTTTAAGGTACCTGGCAGCGACAAGGAAATAACGAAGGACAACGGTATCAGGGTGTCCACTCCCGAGCAGTTGGCGAAACTGAAACCGGCGTTCATCAAACCCCACGGCACCATAACTGCCGCCAACGCTTCGTTTTTGGTCCGTTTTAATTTTTATTCCGTTAATTTTGAATAATTTTTGAAAAATCGCACTTGCAGACAGACGGCGCGTCAGCTTGTCTGATAACTACGGAGGCGAAAGCCAAAGCTTTGGGTCTAAAACCGAAGGCCTATCTCAGACATTTCCTCTACGTGTCGCAGGATCCCGTCGATCAATTGCTCCTCGGGCCAGCGTACGGCACCCCGAAAATTTTAGACAAGGCGGGTCTGACGTTGCAGGACGTGGACGCGTTCGAGTTCCACGAAGCGTTCGCCGGCCAGATCCTGGCCAACCTGAAGGCGATGGACAGCGAATGGTTCTGTAAGCGGTACATGAACAGAAACACCAAGGTTGGGATGCCGCCGTTAAACAAGTTCAACAACTGGGGAGGCTCCCTTTCCATAGGACACCCATTCGGTGCTACTGGGGTCAGACTGGCGATGCATGCCGCCAACCGATTGGTCAGGGAAGACGGACAGATCGGTTTGATAGCTGCCTGCGCAGCTGGCGGCCAGGTAAGTACATTTTACTTATTTCTGAGATTCGGAATTGATCCAGATTCCGGCTTATAAACATTCAAGGTGGCTTTTACTTGATGAAAATCTATTTAAAATATCAAAATTATCGTCAAACTTGTGCATTTCTAAATATAAATCAATGGCAAAGTTAGAATCTGAACTTTTATTTTTATACGCCCTTATTGTGTTGTTTCCCTGAGTTGTACATCCAAAAGATAACACAAAAAGAAACAATTTCATCATTTGCAACAAGCATTCGACACAGTCGACATTTATCTAATGCTTCATAAATTTCAAAAAATGGGCTTCAGAGATGTGGCACGAAAACTTGTACACACATACTTCAAAGACGGCAAAGGCTACACACAAATAAACAAATCAAAAAGTAAGTAAGTAAGTGAGTTCTACAGTATATACTATATACAAAACCTTCAATACTTGGGACCAACAGCAAGATATTTCGATAGAGTACTAGTTCTGTCAGCAACAAAGTAAGAAAAACTGGAAAAATGTACAAATGAGCACTTAAATAGTTGTTACACATGGTTGTATTATAATGAGTTATCTATAAATACAAATAAGATGGTATGTATGATCATCAAACAAAAAAGTAAACAAAACTGTGATATAAACTTGTTCCTTAGGACTTATCTTAACAAATAAACTTGAGTGGGACATTCCAAATGTACCAAGCCATAAAAAAATTTCTCCTATCCATGGTGCGATAAAACGGTGTGCAGACATTTTAAATAAAAAATCTAGATTTTTGCTTTATAATAGTTCCATTGCACCTCATATAAGGTACTCAATTCCAGTTGATCACCATTATATAGTTGCATTCAGACTTATAACTCTATACCAAAAATGATTGGTAAAGAAAAAAAAATAAAACAATTTTGTCAGAAGTTTCACTTTCTACTTAAACTTAAAAAGACTTGCATAAAATACCAAGCTTATTATATAATCGTTTTATTTTGATCGTATTCTAAGGCTCCTGTACCACTTTTAACATGGTTTTGCAGTCAGCTGTAAAAAAATAAAAAAAATTGAAAACATGAAAATCTTCAGTTAACATGTTGGTATTTTAGACCAATAAGACTTTTTCTTTAATATTCGAGACTGGGATGAATCCATAACGATACCGAGTTGTAAACCAAATTAACTCTTTGCTTTATCGCAAGTAATTACAGATGGAAGTTTCACGTCTCAAATATGATTATAGAAACTATGGGTATTGAAAAATTTAATCAGGAAAATTTAGAACTGTTATAAAACAAGCCAAAAAACAGTTTGTTTAAAAAAACCTGTAATTAATTAATTATTATAATTTGTTTCTTTTTAATATGGGGATTATGAATTTTTCTTATATCCACAAGTTATTATACTCGTGGTAAAAACCATGTAAAAAGTTTTACCATTTAACACTAACAAACACTAAAAAGTATCGTTTATTGTATAAAAATTTAAAAGTCAACCTTTAAAAATGAAAGTCCACCAAAATAATCAATCCCACTTTGCCAATTGCCAGTTACAAATTTTTAACAGCAATTTTTATTTTTCTAAAAATACATGCAGGAGTGTGTTTTGTAAAACTTATTTGCGATTTTTAATGGTAGATATAGAAGTAATAGCGTGTAAATGTTCTGTATGGGACTAAAATTTGGTCACCATTAACTTTATAAGATTCTCCATTTAAATGCTATAGCAGTTTTATAAGAATAATGAAAACATTTTGCTAGAACAAAAAATATTAGTCGAATAAGAGCAATTTTTTTTTCAGGGTGTGGCAATGCTGGTAGAACGTCATCCAGATGCAACAGCCGACTAATCAACCACCCAAAAGGAGATTGTATTTATTATTTGATAATTCTTTTAATCCGTAAACGAATCTTTAGCATTTTTGCTTTTGCGGAATATTTAACTAGTATAATGTAAGACTGGCTCCATAAAAAGTGTCTACACAGAAATATATAGGTAATAAATAGGCTTTATTTTTATCAAACTTTAATGTTTTATATTTATTGAATAAACTCTATATTGTTATATTAAATAAAAAAGAAACGTTAAAATCTCAACTAGCTTGTTTTATTGGCCCATCCAGTGGAAGCACCCAATTCCTTAACATGATTTTTCACTGTTTCATCCAATATATTCCTAATGTCTCTGCATCCTTCTAGGGCCTTGTTGAGCACTTTTGGAAGATGGTCCAAATGGAACCGTCTAGACATTTCCATAAGGACTATTTTACCTGATGTGGGTAGGGCAGCTACAGTCAATGTAGGACCCCCAATCACCTCCTCCTGATGTGAAACGTCAAGTAGAGGTGTATCTTCGTTAGCTAAACTGGCAGTGCAGGCACACACATACTCTTTGATTGGAATGCCAGCATCTACAAGAGCCAGCGTTGCCGCGTTAACACAGGCCGGGTATGTACCTCCATCAGCATGCAGTACTTCAACATAAACATCTATCTGAGACCATGGATAGAGCTCAGTTAAGACAACCGCTTGAAGAGCTTGCTGCAAGTGTATGGATAACTCAGTAGACTTTCGATCACCTCGAGGCCGTTTCTTTCGTTCGTTTGTTGAGAACACAGCCATGCTAAATTGAGTGTTAATAATGCAGGTGTCGTGTTGCGCTTTGGATCTATTGCGTACCTAAAATATTGCTGATCAAATATAATCGGATAGGTAAAAAAAAATGCCCTACCTGATGGGGACCATAAACTGCAGCCAAAACTTTGGTTAGGCCTTGTTCTAAGTAAGCACTTCCATCGGGCTGCGTGAAGACGCCCAACTTACATCTTATGCGCCGTAATTCGTTTGCTCTTCTCCCATCGATACGGAGACCTACTTTTGACAATAATTCCTTATTTCTGCTCATACTATTCACCTTTTTAAAGTTAGCAAATCCGCAGAGTATTACTAGAAGTCAAGCAAAACGATTTCTCACCTTTGGTTTACAGAAAGCTTCTTCTTTTCGTCGTTTTCGACAAGCTGAGCATAAATGTTATGATCATTCGCATAAACTAACTAGGTCCTCTTTCACAAATTTATTACCATTGGGCACGTATCAAAATAGATTCGCCCATTTCTGAAATATATCTAGAATTAATCTTTAATTCTTTAATCCTGCCACTTCCACCGCAGTCAGTCCGAATTGATTCGTTGGATTGATCGAAAATTTGAAGTAAAGAAGAAGAGAAGTGGAATTGAGTGTACCTGAAAAAGAGGAAGAGCCTACTTGGGACTTCCTTCACCATCAAATTAACGGTACCAGATCTTAAAGCAACGAAAAAACGCCCAAAATGGTTTGTAAATTTACAGAAACTCAAACGACCTATACACCTTTTCTTTTAGTCCAGCGAGGTAGAAGAGACAATGAAAAGAATTCAGTCCCACAAGGGCGTTATTGGTACAATTGTGGTGAATTCCGAAGGTTCTTCAAAATCGCTATTACTGTAGTACCGTGTTGAGTAGGATTGTTTTAGGCATTCCAATAAAGACTACATTAGATAACACCACCACGGTACAGTATGCTGGGTTAATAAGTTCCCTAGCTGACAAAGCCAGAAGTGTAGTTAGAGACTTGGATCCTTCAAATGATCTGACCTTTTTGCGGATTCGATCGAAAAAACATGAAATTATGGTGGCGCCAGACAAGGAGTTTATCCTGATTGTTGTTCAAAATCCTACAGATTAATATTTTAACAATTTATTTCAAAAGTATTTTTAGACTATTGCACAGAAGTATATTTGTTTCCTTTAGCACTATCCAATAATAAAAACTGTTTTTTTATTTTAGTTGATATAATAATTATAATATTTCTTTCAAATAAATTACTGAATGTAGTATAAAGTCTTTATTTAGGATAAACCTCGCAAATGACAAATATTCACAATCACTAAACAAGTTGGTGAGTGCATATTTTTAATAGAACATGAAATTATTACTACAATGTAACTTCCAAAACCAATCAGTGGTGATTATGGCTGTCACCATGATCGCTGGGGTACAGCTTTTCATAAATCGCAGTTCCAACTACTGTGACCGCGGCAGCTATAACACCATACAGAAAACCCTTATTCATAGATCTAAGCCGACTGCTATCATTGCCGAACTCCTTAAAATTATAGCGCCACACTTCGTTACGTAACCATGGGTCTTTTAAGCCATGGGAAGCGAGGGCCTTTTGAACTTGTAATAATTTTGGAACATCGGCAACCTTATAAATTCTGTAATCAGGAATCTCGTACGATTCCCCATGACCGTGTCCGCCCATTTCCGAATTTTCGAAACTACGAATAACAAAAAAATGTACGTATGTATACCGATATACATCTATTAAAAAACAACCTATAATGCTGACAGGTTAATGACATATAAATGTTTATGTCATTGGTGTTATACCAACGAACAATTGTGTAGTTCCAGAATACCATAGATCTAAACAACGCACAACGCGGAAACCTTTAACAAAATATAACCAGATTTTCAGCTTACCGCAGCAGCAAAAACACTAAGTACTAATACTCTTCGCTTATGGGCGCGCTATACTAGTATTAGGTGTTTTATGGCAAGACTATTTGGTCGAATGAAGTGAACAGGTTCTTTGGATTGAGCGGACAACAAAACCTAATATGCACAAATCATATATTTTCCGCACTGGACTAAACTACTTGCTCATGTACTCCCTATGCAGTCGTGCGTACCTTTTCACAGAAAACTATTATTCAACAGATACTTCTGTACGTTGTTACCGTCCTTGCCCATAAACCTTTGATTAAGTATTCCTTGTCTACGAAGACCTTTAAAATATTTTTGTTGAATTTTAAACCTATTTTTCAAAATTTTGCGTTGGAAATTTAACCAGCGTTGTGATTAATTTTTGTAATTTTTTTTCATATCGGTTTGCAACAAAGCCAAGAGATAACTTAATTCACGATATATATGGATGGTAATATTTAATGCAAATAGTCGAACAACAATGTACCAATATTACATAAAAATTTTTTTATTAAGCCATGTAAACACGATTTGTACATCTACTTTTTCATATAAATATTGCAACGAGTTTACCAGCAAATTGTAAGAAATGTGGCAGATTTAGTTCCACTCTTTCAAAACTGAATGGCAGGAAATGCAGGAAAAATTTAAGTGGAAAAGGTGTTCAAGAAGCATCTGTAGAATCTAAGGATTAAGAAGTCAATTCCAATGTGGTTTTTGACTTATTGTTTAGAAAAAGCAAAGCCTCCTAGTCTAGTGATTGTAGGTGAAAGTTTCTTCTCAAATATATATATATATATATATATATATATATATATATATATATATATATATATATATATATATATTTCTTTAATTGTGTTTACCTAACACGGAAGCTTGATTGCTTTAGATAGTTTGAAACAATATATTTTATTCAAAAACTGTGTGGTATTTATTGCAATTAAAAATTCAACTATTTTTTAATAAGCAGATACAAAAAACTGATTTTATAATAGTTTACACATATTCTGTAATGAGGAGATACAAAAACCTGATTGTATAATAGTTTAACACAAAGAAACAAATCAATTTTCTTTAAAAAAAATCCACATTATTCAACAGGTTTAATAGTAAATTAATTCTCATCCTCCTCAATCTTCGGAGCTAAGTAATAACGTAAGTAACCCAAGTCGGGGATTTGATATTCAACCACCAAAGGCACATTATCGCACATGGATAGAGTGACTTGGTTACTAAGTGGTGTGGCTTTGGTAAAAGAATTGAGATACTGACAGGCAAAAGTTAATGTCACAGGCTCTTGCATTTCAATTGTGACCGACTCTTCTTCTTTGTCAAAATTGTTGGTCTGGGCAATTTTCACATTACCTGTACCAATATCACCCTGGGTGGAGAACTTGACACCTTCTTTGGTGCATGAAATGACTATAGATTCGCCAAACTGCGACAAATCACGCACTATCCGTGCAAATTCACCAGAAGGCATTTTGATTATGCACGAGAACTCAGTCTCAGGAATGCCAAGATGTTCTTGATCTAAATTCATCAGTTTCATCTCATAATCTGAGATTTTATCGCGTTTTTTGGCTTCAAACATAAATGTAACCGTATCCGCATCGTCTTGAGCCTTAATTGTGACAGTATCATCAGATCCACAACAGCGAAACACTTTGGCTAAGCTGGAAATAATAAATAATTTAAGACTGGCACACAAGAGCCATACATACATGCATACCTTGCGAGATTCATGCCCATGGTTAAATTCCTATCGCAACGGTATTTATCGAAACCATCGAACTTTAAATTAAGGGACACTAAAGAAACATGGGAGTTGTCCATGGCCTGCAACTGGATACCACTTTCTGAACAATCGAACGAGGCCTCGTTTAAAAGATCTTTGATTGCATCAAGCACTTTTTTGAATGTCGCACTCTGAACTAATCGAGCTTCAAACATTTTACTGCTTTGCGATGTCTACAAAAAAGTTAAAAATCAACAAAATAGCGACCCGTTACTTTTTCACCTTCCCATGAACAAAACGCGGGAAAATATGGCTTTCCAGATCCATAGTATATTATTCGGCGATGTGAAATGGTTCATTCTATTTTCAGAAACCAAGAAATCAAATAACATTTCACTCCATTTTCCTATGCAAATTCTGGACGGTAGGTAAGCGCAATGCGTAAATTATAATTCATGAATTTATGAAGCGAGGGAACGCTTTTTTAAAAAAATTACCGTTTTTCAACTATTAATACATATAAAATAACACAATGGTAACCGGTCTATCAAAAACAGCTGGTTATGCGCTGTAGTCGATTTATTTTCGCCAGTTTCAAAAACAATAGAATAAATAACCTATGGAATGAGGCGTAGTACGTAGTGCACATTATCGTTGCCGACTGTCGGGAATTCTGGAATCTCGATAAAGGCATGTCGCATGCACTATAGTGGCATAGAATACAAAATTTAGTAGTCTGTGGTCGTAGATGGTTTATTGATTATATGAGAGTGGTGATAAAATACAAAACAATATTAATAGTTGTTGTGGTTCATTTGTTGCTGCAGCAAAGAGTATAGTTTTTTGCTACCATTACTGCGGTATGATCCAGTGAAACTGCGCTTTTTCATTTTTTGTTCCATAAACTATTCCGAAAATGTTTAATCAAAGCTCTTTGGGGGCGTTCGGGTCTAACACGACCTCCAGTAACGCGAATCCCATGAAAGACTACGAAGTTGTCCAACCTCCTGATGATTCCGTCAGCTCGTTGGCTTTTTCGCCGGCAAGCCTGCCGCAAAACTTCCTTATTGCGGGCAGTTGGGACAACAATGTACGATGCTGGGAAATTGAGCAGACTGGTACAAGCATTCCCAAGTCCATACAATCCTGCGGCGCTCCCGTTTTAGATGTCGCCTGGAGTGATGACGGAACTAAGGTTTCTTTTATTATTATTTTTTAATTTTACAAATATTATACAAAGACCTATAAATAAGCAACAAAAATACAATAGTTGTAGAACACCATAAAGACATATTAGTAAAATCAGTATATAAAAATTGTTGCAATCCATATCAGACCACCACAGTTTTAAAAGTTGAAGTTGTAAAAAAAAACAAACATTACATTCTTGATTTTTGAACTAAACACATTTAGAGAATTATTTGCATTATTTGAAGAGTGTCAGAAGAAGATAAACCATAATTTGCTAACAGTTGTAAGATTAAAGCAGTAATTCTTATAGAAAATATCCTTATTTTTTAACATATATAACCTTAAATAAAACTTTTGTCTACCTTTTATGCCATAACATTTAAAGTGCACTCCCAGGATTTTTTATAAGTTTATAATGAAATATTTCAAGCACCCTGTTACCTCATTGATAAAAACAAACTAAAATGTACCAAAGTGTGAACCTTGTGGAAAACCTGAAGACATCAATATCTCTATAGGTATAAAATTGCCTATTTTTACCTGTTGTTTTTTGTTGGTCAAATAACTAAGAAACCATTGCATAATATTGCCAAACATCCTATGCTTTTCAAGATTCTTCAAAAGCAGATCTTTACTATACCTAAGAGAACTATTTAAAAATTGTTGATAAGCAAGCAAATTACTCTCAATGCTTTTTATTTATAATTGATTTTAGTGCAGTTTTGATTTTAGAATTTATAAACACTTTTGCTATTTAAGACATTTGGCTTATTGCCATGTAGTTTTTCAAAGAAACTTCCACAATCAATTTTAAAACTATTTACAAAACTTCTGGATTCCTCCTCAGTTGTCAGTTGTTGTTGAGTTGAACTTGCCAATGTTTCGCCAATCATCCTGTTGGCTTCTTCAGAGCTTAACTGAAACTAGTAAACTGAGTTTCAGTTTCAGAGCTTAACTGACACTAGTAAACTGAGTTAAGCTCTGAAGAGGCCAACAGGATGATTGGCGAAACATTAGCAAATAGTCTTATTGCCATGTAGTTATTAACTTCACTTTTTGCAGCACTCTTTAATGTAGGAGTTATAAATGATTTTTCCAGACATCTGGATAGATACCTTTTAACATTGGTTTAGCAAAAGTAATGCTTAAAATAAAGGTCAAAATTCATGTGCAATTTTTTGTAGACTTCAATTTTATTAAAATTAGAAGTACTTGTGGATCACGACTTAACTACATTAAAATGACACAAATCGCACTTAATAGTTGAAACGAACTAAATATAGTAGTTTATAATAGTATCATCAGGGCATTTAGTTTTGTAAGATATGGTTTTAGCAGTATTAAGATTTTTTTCCTTTACAAAATTTCAAAACATCTTTGCTTTTTTGGGTTTGCTGTAGCATTAGTAAAACTTTTAGGTTTTTATGGCCGGCTGCGATAAACAGGCCAAAATGTGGGATTTAAATTCCAATCAGGTAGTGCAGGTTGCAGCTCATGATGCCCCCATAAAAACTTGCCATTGGATCAAAGCACCAAACTATTCTTGCTTGATGACGGGATCCTGGGACAAAACTTTGAAATTCTGGGATACCAGGAGTCCTACTCCTATGATGGGTATTAATCTGCCTGAGCGCTGTTACTGTGCTGATGTTGATTTCCCTATGGCTGTTGTTGGCACAGCTGGTCGGCAGATTATAGTTTATCAGCTCGAAGGAAAACCCCAAGAGTTTAAAAAGCTGGATAGCCCTTTGAAGTATCAGCACAGATGTGTTGCCATTTTTAGGTTTGTTTTATTTGAATTAAAAAAAATATGTTTTCTTATTTTAACATTTAAGGTAACACTTCAAAACTTATTGACATAAAATGTCTGATTTTTCATAATTCTTTTTTTGAAATAGTTCTTTTTCCGAACCATTTGCACAAATAATTATTTCTTGATGAAGGGTATAATTATGTTTCCATGTAGGGATAAAAAGAAATCACCTACCGGCTATGCATTGGGTTCGGTGGAAGGTCGAGTAGCCATCCAGTACGTAAATCCTTCTAATCCTAAAGACAACTTTACATTTAAATGTCACCGGTCTAATGGGACACCGAATGGGTACCAAGACATTTACGCTGTCAATGACATTGCTTTCCATCCTGTTCACGGTACCCTCGCGACGGTGGGTGCTGATGGTTCCTTTAGCTTTTGGGACAAAGACGCGCGTACAAAGCTCAAAGCCTCAGAGTTGATGGAACAGCCAATATCAAGGTGTGCTTTCAACCATAATGGGCAGATATTCGCATACGCTGTGAGCTATGATTGGAGCAAGGGTCACGAATTTTATAATACCCAGAAGAAGAATTACATTTTTTTGAGGTCTTGTTATGATGAGCTGAAACCGAGGACTTCTTCTTAGGTTATGGAATATATATTTTTTGCATTTTCAGGCTGACTTTAATAGCAATGTAATGGATATGGATATATTTAATAAATTTGAAGGATAACAGTTTTTTTTTGTACTATAGCTGCATGATGTCCTACAGAGAATCAGTATAAATACAGGGTGGTGAGAATTGTAATAGAGAAACTTTAACATCATATTCAGCAGAAAAAAATGAATAAAAAACTTTATATAAACTTATGTCCTCAAATGTTTCATTCCGGCGACATTGGTTAATTTGAAATATTGCAAACAAAATCGTTTCTTCCTAGTTTTTAAAAATTTCTAGATTTTGCTTTCAAACTTAGGAAGTATAATAATTACAATTAAATTAATAAAATTAATTATTATTAAGTTACTATAATTTCTGGAATCATTATGTAAATAAAAACAAATTAAAGTAGCACAAATAATTCTAATTAATTTGCAAAACTCAGTTGTTGTAGATGGAAAAAAAATTCTCGAAAACAGTTTGTCAACAAAAGAGGTAAGGAGACCATTTTTATTTAGAATTGATCTAAATTTACTAAAAACAAATGCAATAAACCATTGGAGTATCATTTTTTTATTATTTAAATTAATTGAAACGGTCCACAAACATCACTCGCTAAACAAAAGCTGCTTTTTCTAAGCTATAAATTTGTTTTTAAATGGTAAAATGACTACTAAGTTTGATAGCAAAATCTGGAATTAAAAAAAAATAAACGATTTTCGCAATATTACAACAATCTGTACCTCCACAAGCAAAGTAATTTTAAGCATAAATGTATATGAACTTTTTTACTTATTCAGGGAATTGGCAAGAATGCTGTCCTTCCAACTGATAATGACACATTTTTTATATATTTTACACTTTCTCGATAAAATGAGGCCAAATTGTAGCAAGCCTAAAAAATCACTTATTATTGAAAAAATAAGCAAGTTTACCGAAATAGACAAATTTCAATAACACTTTCAAGAATGGTTCTACTGCCTATACCTACTATACCATACTATACGGTGTCAAAATTCCAAAAAATTATAAATTTCTTAATTCTTACAAATGATTACGCTCTTAATTCATACTGCTATAAGGGTTTAATGATTTGATAAATATAAATTTTGATCTTCATAGTTTAATAAAAATAAAAACTTTGAAGTTTTGTGTGCGTAAACGTGTTACTACTCCATGACAAAAACAAACATATTGAAGTACCGCAGACCGTTTAGTATAGACAACTTAAAACTTTCTTATTTTAAATAGGCATTTTTGAATTCCTTAGAATTTGCTGGACATTTCATATGTAATGTCATTTTTGTCATATTTTGAATTTGACCTCAAAAGTGACGTTTGCAAGTCTAAATATATCTATCAATTTCTCCGACTGAAAATCTTTTTTACTAATTTGAGGTTAATTTCCTTATAGATCCTATGGATTTACCGTGTGGTAGTGTTGATATTTTAAAAGTAAATAAATACTTTTTTTTTCAAATGGAAAATCTCCATTTTTATAGCCGCATCGTATTTTGCATTTAAAGGAATGGTAACTTTGTATAAGGTTGCCTATCTCAAAAAGTTTTGGAATTCGAGTTATTAGCATTTTGCCATTATGAAAATGCTACACCGGATACAAAAAAAAACGAGCATTACATAAATGACTCCTACCATGTACTGCGTACAATTTTGTGACAATGTCTAAAATCTTGACGCTAACCAACCTACCAGGATGATCAGTCCTGTATTCGCGAATTTATTCTCCGATGGCATCGTTGCTACCAGCAATAAAACGTGCAATCAGTTTTGTCGAATGCGAATCATTAGTAAAAACAAAACTTAAGCAGCAACCGAAAACTTACAGGGGATTTTGACAGTGTGCTTTCACGCTAACAAAAATAAAAACGCTTAATATAAAATTATGTAAAAGGCGAAGTATCGATAAATCGCCTTGCTTCCAGTTGTGAAACTTATGTGTCAGTAAGTTACATACATATACGTTGCTAAAGTGTGTTAGGTAATGCTTTAGAGAATAAAATTTTGTATCAAAAACTATTATTAGGATAATAGTTATTTAATTTTTCTTGAGTGATACTCATCGACAGAGCAATTTGTTTTGTGTTTGGATTTAAAACCGGTCAGCTCTTCGTTTAATGTTGAACTCCTCAATGAATCCATAAAGGCACTGAATCGCAAGCGATACGAAACGAACTATATCTTAAGGTAACAACATAAACCATATCCAACGCAAACATGAAACTCATTTGAAAATAATGCTGCTATTCCAAAGTTTACCTCCGAAGTAGCTTAACTTTTTTCCGCCAGAGTTCTCATTGAATTGTAAAATCGCCAATGGCGCTGACTGCTTCAACGGTGCACCGTAATTCGATATCTCGAAAACAGGGTTTAGTTACTGTGGTCACTTTAATTCATTTAACACTAATATTACAGGACGCCACCAATTAAATTAAAAATCTGAATTTACACTCCCACATATTTTATTACTTTTCTAAACACAAACTCGGGTACTGTAGATTGCACTAGGTCTAAAATTGTACTAGATCCGGTTTAAGTTTTTATTTTTTAATCGAGTTTTATTAGGATTTATATTATTTTAAATTTATTATACGCACATTTATACATCTACGTTACATAAACATTTGGGCTTTTAACTATTTTAACATTTAATATGGGTAACGACGTGAATTAAAATCCTCAACCGACAGTAACGGAGCTGCTGGTAATAAAATCACACCGGGGATCGCCCTAAATGCTTAGTCAGAGAGAGCGATATGGTGCTCTGTGCATATGGTTTAATCTAACACGTGCTTATCATAAGTTTTATCTTGTCTTTAATTGCTTACATACAACTAAAGCCCAATTTTTACGATGCAATTTATCGCTGTCGCTACTAAAGTTGCATGATTTTCAGTCGTTTTCACTCAAATTGGAACTTGTTTTAATTTCAGGCGAGACGTTGCAGCAACTTAGTAATTTTTGTAGTAGTTTTCTTGTTGCCAATCCAAAAATTATGTTGGTAGTATTTGCTTAAATATGAAATAGGCGTTGGATAAATTAATTTCAAAGAATTATGGAACGGTAAGTTTTTTTGTTCGCATTTTGTGAGCTTAATTTGGATGAGATCATTCCAGATAATCAGCACGGAGCGAGGTTAGCCTACTTTTCGGTTAGTAATACATTGAAAGATTTATTAACTCTTATTAAGGCTTAACTCCTTTTTGCCCGAAGATTTAATGGTATCTGGTCATATTTTGAGATAATATTGCCGTAAAAATGCCGCATCCAAACTTACTGAGGATCTGTCAACCGTCACGCAGTCATTGGTTAAAAAGGAGATTAAAAAATGTTAATTTGTCTCCCTCTAAGGGTAATTTATACGTTATTGTGAGTTAAGAGTTCTGATGAAGTTTATAACATTAAAGAAAAACTAGATTTAAGAACAAAGGCTCTTGCACAGAGCACTCGTGTATCTTATCGCTACCTCTCATTATTATGGGGCGATACCTAGTTCTTGTGTGATTGACTTAAAATTCACCATTATTTATTTATATTTAGCCAAAGAAACTCTGAATGAACCATATTTTCAAGGTACAACCAAGTCGGAAGCCGTGCACTGCAATTTTTTTTTGCATTTAAAATTATAATTTTATATAGAAGTTCAAAATGACAGGGGGACTAGAGGCGTTGTACTGACTATGTTGATTATGGCATCCCTAAGATATTAAAAGTAGATTATATATACTTTATTCCGACTTCGTTGCCACAGAACAGAAAAAGATTGAGGTTTACTACCTTTGAAAAAGTGGTATAAATTTATAACTTAAGTGCCATTTCGTTATGGCCTTGTGGGAATTGTTAGGTTTTTATTTAATCAAAACTATCGCCCGCGTGGAATCCTTAAAATAATGAAGTTTTTCTTTCAAATTTCCATCTAATTTGCTTGTCTTGCTTAAACTTTTAGCTTTCCATGATTTTGTTTAATTATATACGTTTTAAGATATTATCCACCTCACGAAAATAATCAAATAAATAAGAACGAGGCGTAAATCATCATAGGACCCTTTTACTTTGGGGGTCGAGAGTACGGCGACTTGGGGTAGCGACTCTCGACGTGACGTGAATTCAATGCCCCGCCCCCCGGTGCTTTAGACTTCCAGCTTGAGCTTGGAGATTCTCCATATATTTTCTTGGATGCTTCTAGAATAGGTAATTGAGAAAAAAAAAACAATATTAGGTTTAGGTTCCATATTTAGGGTTCAATTTATGCTCACTTTGTTTAAGATTACCAATAATTAATTTTTTTTCAATTACCATTAAGTGAAGGACATTAATTTAAATTGTCAATTTAATTTAGCTTTTTAGTCGTAGTTAATTAGTTTAATTTTTTTTATTAATTAGCAAGGCATATTAACAGTATGTGAGGATTAACTTTTTTGATACTTAAACACTTTTTAAAAAACATATTTCCCATATTTTGCACGCGCACTCTCAATTTATGACCTCAAGTTGTTTGCCTACCACAAAGATAGTCTGCCCATATATTCAGACCTTACAAGATCCTACTATTTACCGAGCCAGAATAGATCACATACTAAGTGCACATAGGTCAGATTTATTTCACGCTGAATGGACAAATATATATTAGGTTGTTAAAAAAAGATAAAAAACAAATATAAAAACGCTAAATAATGAAGGAAATATATTCAATGTAAACGCAACTATTTAAAAAGGTCTATAAGTGAATAAAAATACATTTCTGGGACTAAATTTTTAAATTTTTCTTGAACATATTAGGTTAGCCAATTTTGTCGATAACTTGTGTTTGGTCAGTATGACTATATATTTTAAGACAGCTGATGTTGCTGGCAAGTTGTCAACCTGGAAATAGAAGGTCTAATAATTTTTATATTGTCAAAAAAGATGACACAGATAACATCACCTAATATTCCAAGGTCAAAACCTTATATTCCAATCAAAAAAACAAATTGAAAACGTCAAGTTTCGTAATAAAGGAATTGGAATGGTAAGTATTTTTTAAAGTTTCATACTCTGAATATTAGCAGGCAGTACTTCATAATTATAACCCTTTGCAAAAATGTGGAGTTATGAGCTGAAATGCTCAGATTTTCACTGCCTCTTGTGTAAACTAAAAGAGAATATACAGATAACAAAAATTTTAAGCTATTATCTTCATTCGGGTTTAAAGGCCGTCGTCGATTGGAATTACTTAATAACGTTTCGCTAGCACGAGTGGCGAGCTTCTTCAGAGGTCCTTCCATCTCCGATGTTGGACGTAGACTGACGATTTCTCCTGCGCAGGTTGTATTTATGCCGATTGGTGGTGGGCGGGGCTTGTTCCGCTTCGGTTGGTCTCGGGATATCGATCGGTACTGCTCGGGCGTTCCTAAGGATCGGGTTCCAGATTTGGTTGAGTCTAAGGGTCTCCTCCTTTCGGTTGAAATTGTGTGGGTGTTTTTGTATCTCAATGGCTTCCCTGACTAGTCTGTTGTAATAGCCGTTGTCCGATGCTAGTAACTTACAGCTCTCAAAGTGTATCCTGTGTTCCCCGCTGCCCAGTGCGTGTTCAGTCACTGCAGACTTCTCTGTATGTCCTAGCCTGCAGCTTGCTTTATGCTCCTTAAGTCTCGTTCCCATTGATCTCTTGGTAGTTCCGATGTAGACCTTTCCGCATGAACACGGAATGCGGTAGACTCCCGTAGCTGAAAGTGAGCCCCTCTTGTCCTTCGCTGACCTGATGGTCTGCTGGATCTTCTTTGTAGGCTTAAAGATTGTTTTGATGTCGTGTCTTTTCAATACTCTGTCAATCCTGTCGGTGACACTCGGAATATACGGCAGATATGCGTGAGAGGTGGAGGGTCGTTGTTCGGTATCCCGTGATCTTGATGATCTTGAGTTCATTGATCTCTCGATCTCCCTCTTACTGTGGCCATTTGCCTCGAACGCAGTTTTTAGGTGTTCAAGTTCCATCTGGAGGTTCTCCGGTTCGCAAATCCTTCGGGCTCGTTCTGTCAGGATTCTGATAACCCCATAGTTTTGACTTGGGTGATGGTTGGATAGAGCATGCAGGTATCTGTCCGTATGGGTTGGTTTTCTGTAAACTGTGTGGCCCAGCTTCTTACCTCGCTTCCTCACTAGTACGTCCAAGAATGCAAGTTGTTGGTCATTTTCAGTCTCCATAGTAAAGTGGATGCTGGGATGCTGACTGTTGAGATGCTGCAGAAAGTTGTTGAGCTTGTCCAAGAGTTCCTCAATCTTCCTTTCGTACTCCTCGGTCTTCAGAAGAACGGTTGCGTTTCCTTTGTCCGCTGGGAGTATGATGATACCCTCATCCGTGTTCAGGCTACGCAGTGCCAGTCCTTCACTTCTCGTCAGGTGATTTGGAAACATGGTATGGATTGACAGAGTATTGAAAAGACACGACATCAAAACAATCTTTAAGCCTACAAAGAAGATCCAGCAGACCATCAGGTCAGCGAAGGACAAGAGGGGCTCACTTTCAGCTACGGGAGTCTACCGCATTCCGTGTTCATGCGGAAAGGTCTACATCGGAACTACCAAGAGATCAATGGGAATGAGACTTAAGGAGCATAAAGCCAGCTGCAGGCTAGGACATACAGAGAAGTCTGCAGTGACTGAACACCCACTGGGCAGCGGGGAACACAGGATACACTTTGAGAGCTGTAAGTTACTAGCATCGGACAACGGCTATTACAACAGACTAGTCAGGGAAGCCATTGAGATACAAAAACACCCACACAATTTCAACCGAAAGGAGGAGACCCTTAGACTCAACCAAATCTGGAACCCGATCCTTAGGAACGCCCGAGCAGTACCGATCGATATCCCGAGACCAACGGAAGCGGAACAAGCCCCGCCCACCACCAATCGGCATAAATACAACCTGCGCAGGAGAAATCGTCAGCCTACGTCCAACATCGGAGATAGAAGGACCTCTGAAGAAGCTCGCCACTCGTGCTAGCGAAACGTTAGGAAGTAATTCCAATCGACGACGGCTTTTAAACCCGAATGAAGATAATAGCTTATCAACGGGCCGCGAAAGCCTTAACCAATTTAACAAAAATTTTGCTTGATTGTGGTAACATTTTACATCCCCTAACATTTTGGAGTAAGTTTGACACATTAAAGGTGTCATAAATATTTTCTTTATCTGCATATACATATAAACAATTCTACACATGCTTGTCACTATTAAAATAAACATTATCACATATCAGTAATTGCTCATGTGGAAATACATAGTGAATAATCAGTTCCAGTGTAATGATTTATATTTTAAATCATTAACCAGACACCTCTTTAAAGCTTAGAAAAACTTCTATGCTGAATGGTGTGTGTTCTAAACTGTTAACCTAACCTCACTTTTCACAAGTAATATATTCAACAGCATAAACTGAATATATCAATATACACGATTGTTTAGCAGTCATTTCATTTACATGTATAACAAATTATTTGCAAAAAGATTGGGAAGGTTAACCAATCATAATTTAAAAGTTGCAATTGTTGCAATTGATCGAACCCAAAGGTATTCAGGCAGTATTTTGTAAGGTCTTGTCTTTACTATCTCAGCTTCTCGGCCCATTAATTTATACAACTTGGCTGAGTTTTTCTCTCCAGCACTCAGTTGTTCAAGGTTATTTGTTTCTGCTACTTTCGAACGGCCATGTGCAGTCCCATCCCAGTCGTCAATTAAAATTTACAAATCAAGGAGGAATACTTTGACACCAATTTGAAAACTAAAACAAAATGCAAATAAAATTGAAAAATAATAATTTTGTTTTCAAAATAAGAGAAATTATAGGTTTCTATGGTTCACTTCAATAAAAATTCTTAAAAACATTTCAACACTTTGATGATGGGAGGAGGGGGGGAGGGGTTGTAACAACATACCATTGAACATTACATTGTACCCAACAATATTGAGATGTTTTTGACATTAATTTCCAGAATCTCCTAATGATGAGAGAGGAAGAATTGAGTTTCTTAAGAGTTATAAGTCTCCATGTTGCAAAATAAAGTTCTTTGTGGATTTTTCTTTATTTTTTATTTCCATCCTCATAACTTATTCTTGCCTTTAAATTAATAAATATGTAAGGTGCAACAACTTTCTATCAGCTTAAATTTGGACTTACAGGTCTGGCTAATGATCAACTTCCAAACGATAATTAATAGTTTACTTACCGTATGAACTGCTTTCCTTGTAATAATCCTGATCATAATCACAACTATAATAAGGGGACAGTTTTTTGGAATAAGAAGGACTAGACAAGTAGCCATCATAGGTTGACCTTGGCTCATACACTTCGTCCTCATAATCATAACTCTCTTTCATTGCTGTCCTGGCCTTATCCAAAATAGATAAGATTTTAGTTTTGGCGGGCATTACAGGCCTCATCACAGGAGAACTTACTGGAACACGAGTTGCAGTTCTCATTGGTGGAGGTCCGGGCCTCGGAAGAGCTAAAAAGATTTAAATAAACAATTTTATATCATAATGAAACGAATAATCACTTTTTAAAATAGACTTTTTCTCATAGGATCTTTCAAATGAAGGCCTGTCGCCGAGAATTTCCAATTCCTTCATTTGTTCTTGCCTAATGTGGTCATTACTGTCAGGTACCAAATACTTGCGAACCTCTGCTAAAGCAAAAGCGATACGAGCATATGATTCGGCCGGAGGGCCAAATGCTGAGATTTCTACATGCAAATCATCATACAGATGAGCATACTTGGGATCAAAAGATTTTCTCAATTCTTCCTCTCGATTTCGATCTTTCATAGAGCCCTTGCCCAAAATGGCCATTCGGCACATTGTTTCCTCTTGCAAACGCTTCATCGAGTTGCCTTTGGGTCCTAGTAGCTTCCCAACAAAATTGAACTAACAAAAAATTTACTTATTACCGCAAAAAAAAAGTAATTAAAAGTTTACTTTAGGGTGCTCTCTGATGGGAACCAGCACTTTTACGGTAACTTTTATAGGTTTTTCTCTGTAAATATCTACGTATTTGTACTCCCTGCCTATGGGTCTACCAGTTTGTTGCAATTTGGAAATTTCTGCAAGTTGATGATATAAAATATTTCATCACTGTTTTCAATATTACCTTGATCGATTAAACGTACAGCGTTTGGCAGCCTGTTTTCGTCAATAAAAACTTTTTCTGCTAAAAGCTCTCGAACTTGTTCTTTCATTTTTTGGGTTAGTTTGGATTCTTCACCTTCATGTTCTTGACTACCGTTTTCGTGGTGATCGTTAGAACGATCTGCGACAGGCTCGTACTGTTCAGTCATTTTAAGAAATTTTAAATTGTTTTGACGAATTGTTTATTTACTTAGCATTCATTAAAAACTGTTTCATCTAGGAAATGTCATATTTATTGTAAATCAATATGGCACAGTTAAAACATCACAAAATGAGACCCTTGGGGCAAATGTTTACGGGTCACTCTTTTTTTACCGGCATTTAGCCCTAGACACGATGCAATTTCTACGTGTTTGTCTGCATGCATTTTTATTAGATAAAAATTGCTCTCTGCTAATATAGATATGAAATTCATATTTAATGAAGAGTTACATTTTTTTATATATTTTTTGTCCTGTAAATTTGAAACTGTCTTGACTTGACACTAGCAAGGGACTGGTCTTCTTTTTCTTCTTTGCTTTTCTCAAACAATTAGGCAAGACTACTATGATGATTCGACAATTACCCACAACGTCGAGACATTTTTTTGTTCACAATAAACAAAAACTATAACTAACATTTGTTCTCAGCTTGCAAAAAAGAACTTTGGCTGATACCAAAAAGTCGGTCACCCCCGCTAACACTTAAAAACTTCACCAGACACTTAAGTAACAAAAACCACATGGTCAAAACCGATATCAAAGCTTTTAGGACGAATGCAATTGATTCTACTGAGAGCGAGCGGAGGTTAAACCGCCATGTGCAATACTCGCGCTACAATTAGTAAAGGACTCATTTTGCGTAAGAAAAGTATTTGATTAATATCGCTATTATAGTATTCTGTGGTCAATTGTAACGGACAGTCGACAGCTAGAGGTTGGGACGTAAAATTTTACATTATCCTTTTGGTCATAGACCAACAAGAATAAAAAGACTAAAAATTACCAACAACTTAACTCTGGTTGTACAAAAGAAAGATATAAAACAAACCGAAGCTCTTAGGACGAATTCATAGGATTCTGCAGGCTGAAAACAGAGGTTAAATTGCCATGTGCTATGCTCACGACGGGACGGAAAATAAACGTGCACCTGTTTCATAAGTTTTGTATTTTAACAAATACCAATTGATGACATTACAGATATCTCAAACCGTCTACGAAATATTCTCTCTTACATTAACGAAAACCAGAAATTTCACAAAATGCGTAAAATTTTATTATTTTGTTATACAGGGCGAGTCAACGGTACGAGTCAATATTTCATTGCTTTCAAAAATTATGAGAAAATGGTAAAAAAAATTTTAAAGATTGTTAGGATGTACAATTTAAAATTAAAATTAAATTTAAAATTTACTAATATCACACATCATAATAATGGCTCTATCGTAATCATTTGCAAGTGTAAAAAGTATTAAAAAATTGTCAGCCTGTATACTTTAAAATAATTTTAAATTGTGCATCCTAACAATCTTTACAACGTTTTGTATTTCCAAAATGCGTGTAAGCTACTAGTAAATTGTTTTGGTAAACTAAATTTTTAAATTTGATGAGTTCTTGTTTTTGCAGGAATTGTAATATGTAAAAATTAAGAATTGAGAATCCATAAAATGTTTTCCTTTTTATTTTATGCAATACTTATTAAAATATGTTTTCAAAATAATGATAAATCACGTCCAGTAATAAATACACAAATTTAAAAAAATATAGTATATATAAATGGTTCCATTAAAAATATAAGAAATTTTATAATAAGTTGACACGAGAAAAGACATTTTTTAATATTAAAAGCAGGTTTTTGAATTTTATTATTAAATTTGAAGTGATGAAAAACGTTGATGAATATAAAACATTGACCTACATGTTCATATTATTATACACCATACAAATCCTCTGTAAAAGAGCTATCTAAACTTACAGTAGTATGTTAATATCAGCGAGTAATGTGTATGATCCTCTGTTCTGATAACATAACATAACAAATATTTCATTTAGCCAGGGAGGGCTCCTCGCACAGGCATATAGGACCAGAGCCCCGCTTGGGGATCGCCCCGTGCGTGAGGCGGGGAGCTCTCGAAGCATGGGTGAAAGAACGGGTCGTGGTGGGCTGGATGGTTGCTCCGGGAATGGGGCAGGCGAGGCTTATGATAAATGGGCCCGCCCTCCCTCGGACCAGGGAGCTGCTTGGACTGCCAAGAAGGGAGTGTTAACTAACAGGAGCCTACACAGGACATTGCAGGCTTAGGAAGCTTGCTAGCCATTGGAGACGACCCGAAGTGCAGGTGGTGCATGGAAGGGAAGGTGACCCCATATCATCTGCTCACCGTGCCTTGCTTTGACATGGGCAAGATTTGGAGTCTTGGGAACGACCCTGATCGATCCGGATTCAGTGCACGGTATTGGGCTAAAGGAGTTGCTGACCTTCTATAGGAGGGGCGGCATTCTGGACGCCCTCTACGCGGTCTGCGGGTACCACGGGCTCATCTGGTGGCCCATCTGGTGCTTGGACGCCCGCGGGGAGCGCCCCCCTTAAATACCAATACTAGTAATTAATACTGACCCGAACTTCGGAAACAACACACCGGAAGAATCCTACTGACTGCGCCACTTTTATTTACTTTTCCAAAAACTTTATAAAAAAACTCTTTATTTGGAAAAATAATACAATGAATCTTTTAGACCTTACGTTGGTACAGAGCACGCCTTTTTATATAATTATTTCTAAATGTCAGCATATGATATCTTACATGACTAATAGCAGTGATTCATAATATGAGTAATCAGAAATGGCCATATAATTCCACCCTTAAGTCTGAGAGAATGGGGTACATTTCTCGAGGGTTTTGAATTGTATGCCCATTTATACATTGCTATTTTATTTTTATAACATCGATAAAATACAATTATAATTACAGTACAACAAGTACAATAATTATTAAAATACTAATTACAGACGTGTCTTGCGTTACAGTAAATGTTTTTAATTTTTTTCTAAATTTATTTATTTTAACTTTAAGGGTTCAATTTTTTAAACTAAGTCCTTATTAATGTTAATTGAAGGTAATTTTAACCTTAAATTAATTATATCATGTTTCTGTGGACTGAAATATTTCTTTTTTACTATCTGTTACTATCTGATTATTTATAGGAATTGGGTATACATAAGAGAGTGCATAAGGTAAATTTGAAGTGGTCAAGTAATGTGGAATATTGATTCTTAAAAATTACATCTGCATGTGCGACTTCATAGTACTTTATTATATTATCATAAGGGATTTTAGTTTTCTGGTTTAATCGTGATAATATTACCTTTAATTCGTTATATTTAAGAATACTAAGTATACCTAATTCAGAAAAGTTAATTGCTGTTTGTATGTTGTTATATTATTCATTTATTATAATATCTAAGATAATAATTAAATGAGTAACGGTAGATGTTTCCAATATTTTCCTGGATAAATCATTAATTCTTTACTGTAGTGCTTTTCGATTTATTTTAATATTAGTTAACGTTTTATCAATAGATTCATTTAAATTTTTAAGGATCGTTTGAGTAGCTGTTGTATCTTGTAACGAAAACTGGTTTTCTTGTATTATTTAAATGTAGTTATCATATCTTTCTCCATCGTCTGCATCTAACGTACCACAGAAATATTTATGAACTATTCCTATTATATTAAGTAATCCTCGTTTACGTCTTTCAGGTATAATGCTTTATGAATTCTTCAATTATCTTAGTATGATGCAGTAGATCACGAGTCCGAGTTGTCAAAAGATCTCGTGACAATGAGGTTAGTTTACTTATTGTATTATTCATATTAAGTAGTGTTAGCTTTATTTTATTAACGCAGTTTTTTATTTTAGTAACGTTTACATGGTAGTAGATACAAAGGTACCCATTTACAATATAGCTTTTTCCTTGAATAACCGGCAACAGCGGTTAGTTAGTTTTTCAATACGATTCTGTCCGATGCAGGCCATTATTAACGAAGATATGGCTAGCAGCAGAATGATGTTCATCTGAAAGGTTATATGCGTCTTTTAATATCCTTTGGATGTCTCTGATTTTTAAATGTTGTTTTGATAGATTTTGGTTTTAGTTTGTTAGATATTTTCTGTGAATTTTTCATTTATGTCTTCTTTGAATTCATTAAATACTTGTGCTAATTCATATATGTAATCTGTATAGAGTTGATTAAGGCTTTTTTTAAAATTAAGTTGATAGTTTAAATTTCCCTTTATTATTTGAAAGGGAGTAAAATCGTGGGCGGAGTGTATACTATTATTATTATAATTTAGGACAGCGATATCTATTAATTCTTGCGTAGTTTTTGAAAGATGTTCATCACGGAGGGCAATTATACTTTCCTTCAGTGTTGAATGAAATCTTTCAATAGGAGTATTTGAGCTAATTTAATTTGATACGTTTTACAGAGATCTAGAATAAGGTTACTTTTAAAGTGTTATGCGTTATTGGTTGTTATAATACATGGAGTTTCATGTTGCCAGAAGTATTTTGTTAAATTCCGACAGATTTCAATTGAATTTTCGTTTAGTGGATATGCAGCAGCGAATTTTGAGAAGTTATCTATTATAGTCAGATATTTTTGACCTGACCTGTCTATGTAGGGTTCGAAGGGTTTAGATCCTACAGGAGCTGGTTTATAAGGGTGTCTCTCATATTTAGACTTTTGGCAAATTTCACAAGTATTAACAAAATTGATTACATTTCTTTCCATACTAGGCCAATAATATGATTGTTTTATATTTTTAATATTTTCCGTTATTCCTCTCTGAGATGTTTTAGTCATATGATATCGTTCCATAATTTTTATATGGAAAATGTAAGCAATATATATCAGGTGGCAAATAACTTTTTATTAGATGTTGTATTTCTTCTGTTATAGGATTGGCATTAATATAGATGAATATCCTTTTCTTGTTCACTTTTATTAACATTTATTAACATAGGGCGCTCCTAAAATTGGATTTTCTTGTAACGTATGTATTGTTTCGGTTTCGGAATTGTCTCCATCCGGATTTTATTTTTATTTGTGATAAGCTCCTAAAGATTCTTTAGAGTTTGTTGGGACGGGATCGTCTAATATTATAGTCCTAGGCGGTCTAATTTGAACATCAGATATAATATGTATTTTCGATTTTTGCTTAGGCTGTTCAATTTTCCTTTTTACTAATTTATTTTCAAGATTACACTTTTTTAATTTAA